TTTTTTAATGTTTATTAATTTAAAAGAATCTGTTTTTGGCGAATTGTAATGATTCTCGGAAGACTCTTACGGGTTTTTTTTAAGAATTTCTTTAAAAATTCTCTGAGGGAATCCAAGTGTTTTTTAAAGAATTTAAATGAATCGTGGGAGCCCTATTGGTTTTTTTTTTTTTTTTGAAGACTTTACAAGAACCTCCAGACCCTCCTGATTTTTTTAATCAAAATGAATCTCCTAACCCTGTTTTTCAATAATTTAAAAAAAAGTTTCTTTTTTATTATTATTTAAAGAATGTCGAGGGACTATTTAGTGTTTTTTTTTTTGAAGAATTTTGAAGAATCTGAAAGAATCCTTATGTTTTTTAAGCATTTAAAAAAATCCCCGGGACTCCCTAGTGATTCTTTAATTTAAAAAAATCTGTTTTTGGAGAATTGTAAAGAATCTCGGAGGATTCTGGAGGTTTTTTGTAAGCATTTTGAAGAATTTACAAGAATCTCCGGGACTCCCTAGTGATTATTTAATTTAAAAGAATCTGTTTTTGGAGAATTGTAAAGAATGTCGGAGGATTCTTAAGTTTTTTTAGAATTTATAAAAAATCTGAGGAATCTATTTTTTTTCTTTTTTTGAAGAATTTACAAGAATCTCCGGATCTTCCTACTAATTTTTTTTAAATCTAAATGAATCTCGTAACCCCTTAATTTTTTTTAATAATTTAAAAGAAGTTCGGGAGTCCCTAGTCTTTTTTTTATAGAATGTCGGGGGACTCTTGTTTTTAAGAATTTTGAAGAATATGAGGGAAATTTCGTGTTTTTTTTTCTGAAGCATTTAAAAAAATCTCCGGGTCTCCCTAGTGATTTTTTTAATTTAAAACTATCTGTTTTTGGAGAATTGTAAAGAATCTCGAAGGATTCCTAAGGTTTTTTTTTAAGAATTTTTAAAGAATCTGGTGGAATCCAAATGTTTTTGAAGAATTGAAATGAATCTCGGGGGACCCTAATATACTTTTTTTTGAAGGATTGACAAGAATGTCCGGACCCTACTCCTGATTTTTTTCAATCTAAATGAATTTCGTAACCCCTTAGTGTCTTTTTATTTTTTAATAATCATTTAAAAAAAGTTCGGGCGTTCCCATTTTTTTTTTATTATTTAAAATAATGTCAGGGGACTCATTAAATGTTTTTTTTTTAAGAATTTTGAAGAATCTGAGGGAATCCTCGTATTTTTTTTAAGCTTTTAAAAGAATCTCCAGAGTCTCCTTGTGACTTTTTAATTTCAAAGAATCTGTCTTTGGAGAATTGTAAAGAATTTCGGAGGATTCTTAAGGTTTTTTTTAAGAATTTTAAAGAATCTGAGGGAATCTAAGTGTTTTTTAAAGAATTTAAATGCATCTCGAGGGATCCTAATGTTTTTTTTTTGAAGAATTTACAAGAATATGCAGTGTTTTTTTATTATTTGAAAGAATATCTGGGGACTCCCTAGTGATTTTTTAATTTAAAACAATCTGTTTTTGGAGAATTGTAAAGAATCTCGAAGGATCATAAAGTTTTTTTTTTAAGAATTTTAAAGAATCTGGTGGAATCTAAATGTTTTCAAAGAATTTAAATGAATATCGGGGGACCCTAATATACTTTTTTTTTGAAGGATTGACAAGAATCTTCGGACCCTACTTCTGATTTTTTTCAATCTAAATGAATCTCGTAACCCCTTAGTGTTTTTTAATTTTTAATAATTTAAAAGAAGTTCGGGCGTTCCCAGTGTTTTTTTTTTATTATTTAAAAGAATGTCGGGGGACTCTTAAGTGTTTTTTTTAAGACTTTTGAAGAATCTGAGGGAATCGTCGTATTTTTTTAAGCATTTAAAAGAATCTCCTGAGTCTCCTTGTGACTTTTTAATTTCATAGAATCTATCTTTGGAGAATTGTAAAGAATTTCGGAGGATTCTTAAGGTTTTTTTTAAGAATTTTAAAGAATCTGGGGGACTCTAAGTGTTTTTTAAAGAATTTAAATGCATCTCGAGGGCTAATAATAATAATAGGACTTTATTAAATAATAACACAGGCCTGCGATGGTTTTCCCCCAACAAAATCAAGTAGTAATTTCGGTAGGTCTTAGATACTCATGTATAAAAAAAAATGCAAAAATTTCTATCACGTACAGTTTCTGCAAAAAATATTTTTTTCAATTTTGTTCTTAGTACCATAAAAATTAACTTCTAGATTTTGTGGTAATAATATGTATGGATAATGGTGTTGATATTTCATTTGCTGTTTAGCTTAGTAAGAGTTATTTGTGTCGACTATGCGTTTACTACCCTGAATTTAAACAAAAATTACTAATGTCTTCTCGGAAATGGATTAATTCTTCACATAACTTCTGTTACATTTGTAGAAGTTATTTAATCAAAAAACAACAACAAATAATTTCTAAATTTATCGAACAACTATGCGAAAGTTATTTTAAAGTTAATATAAAAAACCAAGACAAAAAATGGGTGCCTCATAAAATGTGTCCATGCACCTCGCAAATGGTCAAAAGGAAAAAAAAAATCTTTAAGTTTGCTGACACCAATGATGTGGATGGAGCCACAAAATCATACAAACGATTGTTACTTTTGCTGTTCAAATATAAAAAGATATAATGCGAAAAATGTAACAGCAATAACATATCCTATCGTGAATACAAGAAAAAACGCTTAAATCAGAGCTTTGAAGAAAGAAAAAAAGAAGCTTCTTAATTTATTTGTTTTTTTAAGTCTTGTTTATAACTAATTTAGTTCATTTAATAAATAAATATTCAATTTTATATTTTTTATATTTTATTTTTTCATAAAAATTGTTTGAAAAACTATGAATATTTAGGCCTACATAAAAATAAATCCCGATGTGCTACAAAAAAACTAGAGTTATATTTTAATTCGGCATACATAAATACCTAAAAAAAAACAATATTATTTAAAAGGGAAATTAAAAGTTATATTTCGCAGGCCTGTGTAATAGGCAAAGTCTAGCCATAGGGATCCTAATGTTTTTTTTTTTTTTTTGAAGAATTTACAAGAATCTGCAGTGTTTTTTTATTGTTTGAAAGAATGTGGGGGGACTCTTAAGTGTTTTTTTTTTTTAATTTTGAAAATCGGAGGGAATCCTGGTGTTGTTTTTTTTAAGCATTTAAAGAATCTGTTTTTTGGAGAATTGTAAAGAATCTCGGGGGATTCTGAAGATTTTTTTTTAAGAATTTTGAAGTATCTTGGGAATCCAAGTGTTTTTTACAGAATTTAAATGTATCTCGAGAAACCCTGGTGTTTTTTTTTTTGTGAAGAATTGACAAGAATTTTCGGACTCTTCGCCTGATTTTTTTTTTTTTACTTTAAATGAATGTCGTAAAACCTTAGAGTTTTCTTAATACTTTAAAAGAATTTCGAGTGTCCCTAGTGTTTTATTTTATTATATTTAAAATGTCGGGGGACTCCCTAGTGATTTTGTAATTTAAAATAATCTGTTTTTGGAGAATTGTAAAGAATCTCGAAGGATTCCTAAGGTTTTTTTTTTAAGAATTTTAAGAATCTGGTGGAATCCAAATGTTTTTGAGAATTTAAATGAATCTCGGGGGACCCTAATATACTTTTTTTTTTGAAGGATTGACAAAAATCTTCGGACCCTACTTCTGATTTTTTTCAATCCAAATTAAAGTCGTAACGCCTTAGTGTTTTTCAATTTTTAATAATTTAAAAGAAGTTCGGGAGTGCCCAGTGTTTTTTTTTTATTATTTAAAAGAATGTTGGGGGACTCTTAAGTGTTTTTTTTAAGAATTTTGAAGAATTTGAGGGAATCCTAGTATTTATTTAAGCATTTAAAAGAATCTCCGGAGTCTCCTTGTGATTTTTTAATTTCAAAGAATCTATCTTTGGAGAATTGTAAAGAATTTCGGAGGATTCTTAAGGTTTTTTTAAGAATTTTAAAGAATCTGGGGAATCTAAGTGTTTTTTAAAGAATTTGAATGCATCTCGGGGGATCCTAATGTTTTTTTTTTTGAAGAATTTACAAGAATCTCCAGCGTTTTTTTATTATTTGAAAGAATGTCGGGGGACTCTTAAGTGTTTTTTTTTTAACAATTTTGAAGAATCTGAGGGAACCGTCGTATTTATTTAAGCATTTAAAAGAATCTTCGGAGTCTCCTTGTGATTTTTTAATTTCAAAGAATCTATCTTTGGAGAATTGTAAAGAATTTCGGAGGATTCTTAAGGTTTTTTTTAAGAATTTTAAAGAATCTGGGGAATCTAAGTGTTTTTTAAAGAATTTAAATGCATCTCGGGGGATCCTAATGTTTTTTTTTTTTTGAAGAATTTACAAGAATCTCCAGTGTTTTTTATTATTTTAAAGAATATTGGGGGACTCTTTAGTGTTTTTTTTTTTTGAAAAATTTTGAAAATCCTGGTGTTTTTTTTAGGCATTTAAAAGAATCTCCGGAGTCTCGTAGTGATTTTTTAATTTAAAACAATCCGTTTTTGGAGAATTGTAAAGAATCTCGGGGGGCTATAAAGATTTTTTTTAAGGAATTTCAAAGACTCTGGAGGAATCCAAGTGATTTTTACAGAATTTAAATGTATCTCGAGAAATCCTGTATCTGGTTTTTGAAGAAATTCGAAAACATCTCGAAGACCTCTTATGTTTTGTTTTTGAAGTAGCTTGAAAGAATCTCGGGGAGCCCTTGTCTTGTTTTTCAAGTAGTTGGAAAGAATCACGGGGACCCCTTATGTATTATTTTTGAAGTACCTATTTTGAAATAATCTCAAGATTCCCTTTCTTGTTTTTGAAATAATTTGAAAGAATCTCAGAAACCCCTTATGTTTTATTTTTGAAGTACCTAGTTTGAAAGAATCTCGGGATCCCCTTCTTGTTTTTAAAGTAAATCACATAACCACATGTTCACAATTTTGTTATATTTTACATAGATGATGAATGATGATCATTTACTTTTTCAAACAAGTCGGTGAAAATAAGAACAGTGTTCAAGTTGGTATAAAATTTTATTTAAGTAGCAAATTAATAAAAAACGATGTAACATATAAATAAACTTAGCACATAATATTAAAGCAGACATGAAGATCACAACATCTAAACAAATTTTTTTCAAAAACTGTGAGTACACCGGTTACATTCTAAAATATTCATACTATAGGAACTACAGAATCTCACTTTCATTCTTCGTCTATTTTTTATTATCGTAGATGTTTCAAAATTTTTGACAAACCATAAACAACCACAATAATAAAAAAAGAAACAAAACAATTTAAAAATATAACATATACATGCAAGTTCCATGTTTGATGATACAGTATATTCAGTCTTGATTTTATATGGAACATTCAGCACGAAATAGAACACCAAAGGGAAGTACATAATTATTACCAGATCTATGTTAAAGGGATAAAAGTTTAAGTCCTACCCTTACAACAAAACTACTGTTATAAAATATCACTGGATTAACCACGAAATCCACTTTACACTACCTTCATTACAGAAATCAACCCTCACCGTGCTCGTAAATGTGAGTATAGTTTAAAATATTCATGCTAGGTATACTCCCAACCACCCCATTAGTCCTTTTATGGACACTATCCAGCACAGAATTCCCGTATTTGACAGTGTTACTGACAGCCCCAAACATCCTATTCATAATACCTCTCCCAGCCGACTTATCCAAATCCCTCTCACTTATAACATGTTTCTTCTTGACTAAATGCTTCAAAAGAATCTCGTTAAACTGCCCGTGTCTCTCTTGGTGCGGAAAATGCCTAGCCCCATCCACGATCTTCACATGAAACTTCTCACAATAGTCCGTCGACTTGACAATATTCTCCAACTTGACACACTTATCCTGATCCCCCGTTATCAAAACCACCGGACTCTGAATAGTCCTGCTACTCCCAGCCACCTCCACATACAACAAGTTACGAAAATAGTTCAAAGGACCAGTCCAGTCCTCCTTGCGACAAAACGCATACTTATACCCTTCCAAATACCTGTCATCTGATTGCAAATGCTTGTGAAACCTACTCACAATCTGCACGTCTTCTCTCAAAGCATCCAGCTCTGGAAAGTACGGCAGTTGGACAAAACTCAACCAGCGGTAGTACGACGACGTGTATCTAGTGGTTTTACAGACGTTGGGGTGGGGGCAGGAAACTGCCACTAGTTTGTCCACGACTTGTGGGTACTGGTGAGCGAGGTACCACCCGAGGAGGGCTCCGATGTCGTGCCCTACCACAATGCAGCTGGAAACCCCCAAGGAGATGATCAGTTGGTGGAGTTCCTCCAGGATCATGTCGATCTTGTAGGTTTTGCGAGATGATGGTTTGTCCGAGTCGCCGAAACCTTTGAGGTCGAGGGCCACCACGCGGAAGTGCTCGGAGAGCACGGGGATTTGGTACCTCCAGCTGAGCCAGCAGTCGGGGAAGCCGTGGAGGAGGAGGACGAGGGGTTTATCCTTCGAGCCGGATTCGACGTAGTGGAATTTGACACCCTAAAATTTAAAAAAGATGAAGATATAGGTCATTAATTATGGACTTCGGTTTTTTAAAGCCATTGGGTCATAATAATTAACAGTAAACATTTTTGTTTACAGTCTGGTGGAAATGTACAACGAGTAAAATGCTCTTAACCAGACTATAAAGATAAAATAGCTTGTAATTATAATGTCTCTTGTAATTAATTGCTATTGACTAGAATAAACAATAGATGTACCGGATATAGTTGGAGGTCTTTCTTTTTTTTGTAAGAAATATTTTTATCAATAAATTAATGATTTTTACAAATTTGGTGTGATTTACAAGTTCAAGCAATTAGATGTAACCTCAACTTGTACAAATATTCGATTTAAAAGAGTTGACGATAATAATTGACCTTTCTATTGTAACTTATTGATAAACGATCATAAGCAGACACTCATGACTAATAGTACCAAAGTACCTAACCACCAGCTATCTATCTATAACGTATGTAAAAAAAATTGTAAACAATTTCCTCTCCTACACGACTTGACCCAAATACCTTTTCAAAAATCATTTTTTTGGTACTAAGCAACAACACTTTCTCCTAACACACTACATCTCAAACACTAATAACCCTACTTTTTTTTTATGGATCTACAAATCAAAACCCTTTAACACCACATATCAAAAAATATACTGACCTTCAACTTTACGTATTTGTGTTGACCTAGGGCAGAATCGACAAGAAACGCCGGTGGACTGTCACGCTGTTGCACTGTGACAAAACTTTTGGGGTCCCAGATCCACTTCACCAACATCTTGCAGATAATCCAGACGCCGAAAATGAAGGTAAAAAAGTGTATTTTTACGACTTCCCACAAAGGGACGTTCACAATCCGGATGTCTTTGGCCATCTTCATCGTGCATCACGTACGTGTGCTGTGGTTGTACTGAATCGGATATCAGAGAAATCCAAGGATAGTGGAGATAGAAACCGTACGAACAAAGGTCATCATACGATATAGATTAGGGCACGCACCAGGTTATCGGAGCACATTTAGGGAAATGCCGTAGGTGAGCATTAGTCACCTGTTTGACGAAGCTTAATCAGGGGTTTTTGTGAAGATTGGTAAGTGGTTCCGGTGAAAGGTGACTGAGAACGGAACTAAGAATGATGAGGAAAAATTTTGATTTTTCTTTTAGCTTGTAATATTGTGGGTAATGTAATAATGGTGCTGTTACATAATGCATGCATAATTCCAGACACCTATGTTATCAAATGATAATGAAGTGACCTTATCAATTTGGTTATTTTTATGAGTGCACGTTTTTTGATTTGAAAGTGTTGTAGAAGTGCGAAATTCAAACCTAGAAGTAAACATCGTCTCACGGGTCCAAGGTTTTAAATTGTAAATTTCTGGTTTCCGTTGGTTTGTCTGTCGGAAACTGTGAATCGTGTATGTATGACGTAACAGATCGTAATTTTAAGTCCTAGGAAACAATGACCTCTTTAAAAATTTCCGGTCACACTATAAGTGAGTCATAAACTCAAATATAAAAATATAAATACCACAAAATTCGCAACCTAATTAATTTTAATGTGTAATATTATCACACTAACCATAATAATGATTAGACGATTATGGACTATTGAATTTTGAATTTAATTAACGCCGATAATGTACTTATACTAACTACAAGAAAAGCAAAAGTGAAGAATTTTTCAAGGAAGATCACGAAAATATCTTCAGAAACTTTTAGTTTTACCCGCAGTTAATGAGTGTGTAGGCCACATTTTTTGTTTTGGCGGAAAATCAAGTAACAAAATGAAACTCTTTAAATCTGCTGAAATTAAGTTTCCAAGCCAATTTTGGATTTCAGAATTTATTTCTACCATAGTTGTTGAATATTGTTACGAAAGAAACCCGTACGCCACCCCGGTACGACGCCTATGGGCCGTCGAGAGCTTTCTCGTGACAGGTGATTCATCGTTGATGACGCGGCCGAGCGGCGTTCGAAAAGCCTGGAAGTGGAAGTCGCGATGGGTATTCGAGAAAGACCTCGCTGCAGAAGCATGGGTTTAAATAGAGGCCAGCGAGTGTCGAGAAAATCCAAACAAGTTACGCCGGAATTATTGTGTACATAGTCGCTCTGTAATTAGTCGTGTAAATTGGAGTTGCTGAGAAATAAAATTGTTGAATTTTACCCACGTCGATTTTATTCATCCGCTCAACGTAACAATATTAATTCGATTTCAACTGAAATCGCGTTTTAGTTAATCTCAAAAATATTTTTCGCGATTTCAAAATGGTTCAAGATTCCGACTTCCCGTTCCTACCATTCAATTCCTTGTAGTTTTTAGTAGCAGCAAATGGTTGTTGGGACTTTGTGAGTTAGCCATTCGGGCCTGAGAGACCGAAACAGTGCAATATCAGGTTATTAACGACTTTCTAATCTGACATGAATAACTTTGACTATTCCATCAACACGTATTATGTTTGTTTTATTTGTAAATTAAATTTAACTACAATCAAGTAAATGTTCATATAAAAACACGTGACGGAAATTCACTTATTCAGCCCCAATTAATTTTTTTGGAATGATGTGTAATTGTCCACACTTCTTAACTTCTCACTCGAGAGCTAAAATGGTTCTTTTATGACATTTTGAGAGAAAGTTATCATTAATTAAATTAATGTCATTGTGGATTCGAAATGGGACGCGCACTTATCTTTATCTTGCATTAATGTGTTATTTTCTTACATTCGTTTTATTTTATTAATCTTACGGCTTGAATTTGAGCATTTATTCCCGAATTATTATTTTGATTGATTTAATCTGTGCCTTATTCTGTTTACTTCATGTACGCTTTATTTTACGTTGTGTGAACTCTTGAGTTCACATATAACCTTGTTGACCTCGTTCTTGATTTAATTTGCTACAGTGTGGCGTAACGAAGATTAATACGGTCACCTAGTCACCTAAAAGGGATGTCGACGCGACAACCAACTTCTCAACTCAGCAACCAACAATAACAATGTGAACAAGTTGAAGTTCATCAGATTTTTAGCGAAAGTTATCCAGCCATAACGACGAAAACTGAGGAACTCGATCGCCTTGATTAGAGCCATCGATCCTATAAGCGTGATCAATAAGTTGGACTCTCATTCAATACCATCCATTTATTTTATTCAAAATTTCTCTTTTTGTGTGTTTAAATATGTGATATTTAAATATTTGTATCGATCGTAACATTTGATTTCATTTTTAAAAACTGGAGATGGTTTTTGCAGCTAGTTTCCAGATTTTCCTTCTTCAAAATGGAGAAATAAACGATTTGTCTTGCATATTTTGCATTCTGATTTAAGGACGCTTTTCCAACTTTGGGTTCACTATAGCATTTGAACATAATCGGCGATTAAAAACTAACAAGACAAAAAATACGACGTAGGGTTCCATTTTGTTTGAAAATTTTGGGCATATTTCTCAATTTTGTCGGGATGTTCATGTCACCACTTACCAACCTGATTTTTTTCGTAAATCGCATAAAACACTTAGCGAAAAAAAAATGAATAACTAAAAATAACTTGACTATTCCCTGAACACGTGTAATTTTTATTTAATTCAGTAACAATAATGGAAAATGTTCCTGTAAAACACGTGGCAAGACATTCACTTATTCAAACTTAATTTTTTTTATAACGATAGATAAAGTACTGGTTGTTTTTACTTAAGTTATTACATTATCTACACTTAAAACTTCTCACTCGAGATTAAAACTAGTTCATTTATGACATTTAAACTAATCTTCAACGTTGGTCTAGTTTGAATTTGAAAATTATCATCAGTTAAATTAATATCATCCTAAATTAGATATGACGATATGAGATGCGTATTTATGTTTACATTGTTACCAAATAAACCCATACGGCGCCTATGGGTCTTCTAGTAGGTATGCGTTTCTTCTAGTGTGTAGTATGACTCATCGATGACAGCGGCCGGCGCTCGCTAGAGAAAGGCTTGGAAACGGAAGTCGCGATGGATTCCAGAAAGACCTGGATCACGAAACTTCTAGAGGAGAGTCTGGCTTTAAATAGAGGCCACCGTCGGGAACGGGATCCTTCAGTCGAACCCCGAGTCCAGCGAATGTTAAGAAGAGCGTCCACTGAAATTCGCCGGAATAATTTTTGTAGTTGTGTAAGTACGAGTTATTAAGAAATAAATTATTGAGTTTACCCACACCAGTTTTATTCGCCCCTACAACGTAACAATATTGTCCTATATCAATGTGTTATTTTCTTACAGCTAATTTAATTCATTTGTTAGTATATAAATTTAACAATATTTTGTTGTTTAAACTAGTAATATTATATTGAAAGTTGACACGCCGTTGGGCTACTAATATTAAGCCATTTAATCACCTGTTCACCGAAACCTTCATATTTTATTTTAAACAGCTGCCACCATTTTCTACACTGTAGCTTTCTGTCAGTACCTTCTTATTTATGAATTGTTAAAGACAGTTCTCGAGGTTTAAATCAATAAATTTGTTGCTATTCGTCTCAAAAACAGATTAGGTATTATAACTACAAGCGCTTACATTTTGCCCCTTTTCGTAATATGTGTAAGGTAAAACATATTTAAAATAGTATATTTTTGTAGGAAAGTATCGATTCTGCAATTAGGCTCCGCCCCTCGGTCTGACAACGAATGAAAAATTCATCACAATTGAGCTTGGAATGGATATGGGTAGGGCTTCATTTTTGGCTTATTTGTTTCTTAATATACATAGTATTCTTTGAATAAATGATACTCAAAAGCGTGTTTTTTATTTACAATAAAAATTTTGCAATTAAGCTCCACCCCTCTGACTCACGACGAAAAAAAATCATCACAATTGAGATAGGGTGCGTGGGCGAATCTTACATTTTGCCTTTTTTTTCTTAATATGGGTAGTCATCTTTTCATAACAAGAAACTTAAAACATGTTTAAAATGGCAAATTTATATAGGGAAATATCAATTTTGCAATTCCGCTCCGCCCCTCGATGTGACAACGAATGAAAAATTCATCACGATTGAGACCGAGACGGGTGGGTGGGGCTTCTCCTTTGGTTTTCTTTATTAATTAATACGTTTAGTTTTCTTTGTATAGCATGATTACTTAAGAACATATTTCACATGGTAATTTCTCGTAGAAAAATAAGGATTTTACAATAAGCACCGCACCTAGGTTTACGACGAATAAAAAAAATCATCAGAATTGAGATAGGGCGGGTGGGCGGGGCTTATATCTTGCCTTTTTTTTCTTAATATACATAGCCATCTTGTCACAACAAGGAACTTAAAACATGGCTAAAATGGTACATTTTTGCAAGGAAATATGGATTTTGCAATTATGGGGCTGAGCCGATTTACAAAATCGATATTTCCTTACAAAAATTTTCCATTTTAAACATGTTTTAAGTTAAAAAGTCAAAATGTCAGCCCGCCCACCCACCCTCTGTCAATTGTGATGTTTTTTTTATTCGCCGTGAACCAAGGAGGCGGAGCGTAACTGCAAAATACTTATTTCTCTGCGAGAAATTAAAAACATGTTTTTGAGTATCGTGTAGTTCAAAGAACACTATGTATATTAAGAAAAAAAAAATAGGGTGAATCTTTGTTATTAATAAGAACAGTTGTAATCTATGTGTCAATTGAACCAACGATCTTAGCGTTAGTAATTCAACATTTTGATATTTTACTAGATGTCAGCTTCTCCTGTTACCAATACAGATATGATGAGGATTTTTTTTGCGAAAATTTGAAAGGTAAAAATCAGAGCGAATTCATAAACCACTAGTATAGAAGTATGTTATATTATAAGATTTAAATGGCGTTAACTAAATTAACTAGTAGCTAGTACCTGCTAAAATAAGACCGATTTTGGCAAATGACATACCTTCCAAGAAAAGTGAGGGTGGGTGGGCGGGGCTCTAGTGCCTGCTAAGATAAGAGTGATTTTGTCAGATGAGATACCCTCTAAGAAAAGAGAGGGCGGGGGGCAGACACCCAGTATAGATATGATTGTGAAAATCAAAAATAATTCTAAATAAAAAGAATATGCTTCAAAAGAATACTAAAATTTTCAAGAAATATAAAATATAATATTGAGGAACAACTGTAGAATGTTGTCAGAAGAATATATTTAAAAAAAAATACCTACGACATATAAAAGCAGCGAGCAACCTAAAATAATTTGATAAGTCATCGGTTTGGCTAGCGGAAAAATATCCGCACATTTAAAATTTCAAAATATATAATAGTTGGGACGAACTGACAGTTAATGAATACAAGAAACCTTTTTGGAATAATAGTGAAACTGCCAAAAACACATTATTGAAATATAGGTATAATTTGTTATTTTTCAAGAAGTAGAAATGTCTTCTAAATGGTATTAGGTATACACATAACAAGAAATTAATTTGTTTTACATTTTATTTCCTTAATTTAAAATTAAATACAACCACTTATGGCAGAATCCTTTTAATTTTGACAAGATGTTGTAAAACGCCTTATATGTTGCCTTTTTTTTTAGTATACATGGCCATCTTTTCAAAACAAGAAGCTTAAAACATGGTTAAAATGGTACATTTTTGCAAGGAAATATGGATTTTGCAATTATGGGGCGGAGCCTAACTCCAAAATCGATATTTTCTTATACAAATTTTCGTTTTTAAACATGTCTTAAGTTTTATATTGTGAAAATTAGTCTACATATATTAAAACAAAAAGGCAACATGTGAGCCCGCCCACCCACCCTCTCTCAATTGTGATGATTTTTTTTTATTCGCCATGAATCGAGGGGGCGAAGCGTAACTGTAAAATTCTTATTTCTTTACAAGATATTAAAATCATGTTTTTTAGTATCGTGTTGTTCAAAGAATAAGGTATATTAAGAAAAAAAGGCAAAATATAAAACCCGCCCACCCACCCTATCTCAATTGTGATGACGTTTTTTTTTTTTTAGAAACTTAAGACACGTTTAAAATGGTAAATTTTTGTAAGGAAATATGAATTTTGCAATTAGGCTCCGCCCCTAGGCCTGTCAACGAATCAAAACTTTATTATTATTTAAATCAGGGCAGGTATGGGTGGGCCTTAATCTTTGGCTTTAATTTTTTCTTAATTACACAGTATTCTTTGAATAACATAATACTCAAAAACATATCTTGCATTTTATTATTTTATGTATTGATTTTGCTTAGTTTCTGAATTTGTAAGTTAATTTCTTGTAGAGAAATAATAACGATTTTGCAATTAAATTCCGCTCCTTTGGCTCTCAAAGATTAAAAAAAAATCATCGCAATTGAGGTAGGGTGGGTGGGCGGGGCTTATATTTTATCTTTTTTCTTAATATACATAGTCGTCTTTTCAGAACACGAAACTTAAAACATGTTTCAAAAGGTAAATTCTTGTAGATAAATATGGATCTTGCAATTAAGTCCCGCCCCTCGATCTGACAACGAATGAAAAATCCATGACAATTGAGAATTGAGATCGGGGCGGGTATGAGTGGAACCTAATCTTGTGTTGATGTTTTTAAGTTCTCGAAGAGAAATAAGAATGTTGCAGTTAAGCTCCGCCTTCTTGGCTCACGACGAATAAAAAAAATCATCATAATTGAGACAGGGTGGGTGGGCGGGGCTACATTTTGCCTCTTTTTCTTAATGTGTAGACTTATTTAGACAACAAGAAACTTAAAACATGTCCAAAATGGTAAACTACGGTAAAAGTTGAACATCAAAGTTCTTTATTTATTAAATCCCTTAAGAATAAATAAAAGAACGCCAACTCGGATCTTAAAATTGCGAATCTATTAGAAACTCGGATTCCGTAGCTACTCAGAATTTTCAGAGTTTAAAAATATAAATAAAAAATAAGAAAATACGTATGGAAATTAGTTACCTACCTTTTTGTTAGCAAAACAGCAACACTGTCCTGGACTTCATTAGTTTACACAAAAATATGACTAAAACGTTAATTTAAACACAATATGATGAAACAAAAAATTAAAAAGCACCAACACCGGAATGTTTTCGTTTGCAAAATCGCAAACCAAAAACAAAACACAACAACAATAAATCTAGCACAAAATAAATCGAATTTAGTGCAAACGCCAAGGCAACCGATAGAGTTGCAACCTCAGCTTTTTCACCATCTTATTTAAACGTTGCAGTTTTAATTAGAACGAAAGTAACATCAGTGCGATATGTACACCAAAAACGTATTTTTCTGGCTGTTATTATTATTTTTCTTAGGTAAGTAGGTATTCGTGTTTGTACTACAACCACTATATTGTTTTTTAGGCCAAAGTTTCCCCCACATTGTAGAAAAAAATGTCACCGAATCCGACTGCGAAAATATTTGTAAAGCATGGCAAACCCAAAATGAATTTAACGCAGACACGAAAACATGTAAATGCTTTTTACCTAAATACTTAGACGGTAAGATAACAATCACAACAGTACGCACTAAATTTAATTATTAATTTTTAGCTGTAGACCTCACTCTTTTAACCAAAAACGCTAAACTCTTAGAACTGTCAGTAAATAACGAAACAAAAATGATTAGAAAAAGGGACACTTCTGAAGTGACCACTCAAGCAGTGGAAACCCCTGAAGAACTTGGTACCACCGTAACTGTAGCCACCGACATCAATACAACACCACCCGTAAACCCCGAAGGAATCGTCGGTCAAGCGGCCCCTCCTAGACGCGGCCTCCCACGCCCCTCACCATCCAGACGCCCACGAGAACCCAGACCCATCTCGCCGGAACAACAGCGCCTAATCACCCAACAAATCAACGACCATTTGGACCGCCTCAACCTAATTTCTGATTCAAGAATGCGAGATAGAGAAATAGAAGCCATCAGACTCAATCTGCGACAAATAATGCACACTACTTTAGCCCAAATTCCAAGATCGCGGATGCGAACCGTCGTTGAAGAAACCAGAAGGCGCCAAAGTAGACCCAGAACGCTGCACTCTCGCGTCGTTGGGGCCCCTTTTCCCAACTTCAACGAAAACTCTAGCGAAAAAAACGAAGTAGAGAGCGCAATGAAGGAAATTTTCAGGGGGAAAAAGCACCGTTTTGACGTCGTCACGCAAGACCCTAGCTTAATTGATGAGTAATTCAACGTTTTGTATTTTTTATTTTGGTCAATACTTTTTGTTACATATAAAAAAAAAATCAACTCTTATAGTACGAAATTTCACCTCTATCTTCGCCCCTTGCCCTTTCCTTTACCCTTGCCGGAACTGGGGTTGGACTGCGGCTGCTCTCCCCCTGATTTATTTTGTCGTGTCTTCAGTTTGGGAATCATCTCACATAAGTGCAACATCACGCTATCCCTAGTTGGAATGTCTTTGTTAATTGGGGTGCCGTCATTATTTTTTAGCTGGACGCGTAATCGACCTCTGTATAAAAGCTCCTTGCTTCGTTCCCTGCTGTAAAGTTTGTTCTCGACTCCTACCTTAAAACCAGCAGCTACGAGAACGTCACGCATTTCTTGGTAAGTGGGGTTTTCGACACATTTTTCTTTGGCGATTCGTCTGCCCTGTGCAACGGTCTTTTTGTTGTTAATGTATGCCGGATACACGCAAATCCAACTAAAATAGTAAAATGGAAACATATGTCAAAGTTAGGTTATGTTGTACCGTTCAGCGTCGGAGTGCTTTTTGTCGGGGCTCCACTGTAAAAGCGGGGCGCTGCTTGAAGACTGCATTACGTGAAAACCGTTTTTTGGAAACTCGTGCACGTTTTCAGTATATTCTTATTTACAAAAATTACAACTTGACAGTTGTTTCTGTCAACTGTCAAAATTAGTAATCATAGAATAACATAAACATAAACGTGTACTGCCACTGCATGTTTTGTTGGACACAGAATAACACAAACACGATCATTCTAGTGCTGCCACTTTACAGAAATCTGTACAATAAAATTAATAAATCTCGCGGCGCCAAATTTAATTTAATAATTATATAACCAAATACTAAACAGGTACATATATTTTACTCGTAGAATATCACATCTCTATTGTTAGCATTCTGCACAGGCCTTGTGTTAGTCAATATGGGTCCACAGAAACCCATCAGTTTACGAAACTGGCGAACTTGATAGACGCTCACAGACAACGGTTCTGGTTGGATAATCCACCGCACCCCTTCAGTACAAGGTGGATGTGTAAGAGACCCCAAATACGAAAAATATCTCCTAGTGAACATAGGAGCAATCAAGCTAATTGGTAGCGGTTTCATGCTGTAGCTCTTGCAAGGGGTTTGAATGTACCTCAGCGCGTACATGATCGTTTCAAGAAAAGGGTTGTCGGCGTTCGTTATCTAAACAAACTTATTAGATGAAGTAACACCCACGCAGTTACCTTTTTTACCTCAAACATGTAACTTATTATCACCACAGCACAGCTACGAACCGACTTGGATATATCAGTGCATCTACAAGAACACTTGTTGAAAGTGACTTGCAACTCCATTGCGTATCGTCGCATGTCTATCATGTGTTCGGAACCTTCTTCGTCGTTGGGACCCCAGCGGAACCTCATACTAAATAATTTGTACTCGTCACATAAAGGACCTCCACATATAATGGGCTTTCGGCCACCGCTCCACGAGCTATATATAACAACTAAAAACGAGCATTAAATCGTTGTATAAGCTACATTCAGAGTAGTACCAGTGTGGCCATCGTTCACAATTTTCATCTCCTGAGGAGTGGTGTGGTACTCCACGGTGAAATCCAAGGGAGCCACGGTTTCGGAAGGTATGACGATTGAACACACGGATAAAATGTTTATGGGCGACTGGTTTTCGCCTCGGATTTGGAAGCGGTATTTCCAAGTGTGGGGACCTGAAATTAATGCGTTAGTGGTTTGGGTAACACGATTGGGGGATTCTTGCCGTCAGTATCGCCATAGGTGTACGAACAGTACTGTTTTTCGTTAGTGTTACATCGACAAAACCAGTTAAAAAAAAAGTATATTAGGATTGCTAACAAAAGGACAAATATAATTTCGGGGAGATAATTTTCCAACATAATTTACTTTATTACTGACATTTTTCTTAACTGAAGTCAAATGACAAGCGACGGATCTGTCATTGCTAGGTGACTATTGCTGTAGAGACCTAGGGAAAATTCGAAAATACCACATAGTCCATCTTGTGAGGTAAGCATTAGTAGAAAACTCCCTTTATTAGTATGACTGAAGCATTATTTTTTTTTAAAGACATGTCACATATCAGTATTTAACTCTGTAATAACTAAATGAAGAAAAAAACTGTTTAAAGTTATCATATCAAACTAAAATGTTGGACAGTGAGAAATATTTTGCTTCAACGAGCTTTCACTATTCTTTCACTTTAACAAGAAATGTGGCACTCTAAAAACGAAAAATCTAAAAATATAAGTTTTTTTGAAAAATAAAATAAAAAATACACTAAGATTCTTCCACATTCTTAATCAAATGAAAATGGAGGCCCCCAAGATTACTCAAAAATCGTGACTTTAGTTCATACAACTAATATTTTTTCAGTCAAATCAGGTCAGGTCAAGTCAGATTAAGACACTTTAACAAATAAAACAGCAGAGGCCCCCAAGTCTTTTTCATCATATTGATTCAAAACGAAAACACAAAGAATCGCCAAAATTCTCCCACATTTCAAAGATTACACCAATTATTTTTAAAACCCTTTCAAACACTGTCACGCACAAAATACCAGAGCCCTTAAGACTTTTTCAAATTGTTTCAAAACCAATACATCGTCTAGAGTTCTAGACTCTTTATCACATAAAAAAGAAACACCAAGAGGCCCTAAAACCCCTTCAAAGTCTTTCACAAACGAACGAAAATACGAGAAATCCCCTAGATTCTTTCACATTACAAAAACACCAGGGATAGGAATTATTTCAAATTTTCAATTCTAAAATCCCTAAGACCCCTTGAAACTCTTTCACAAACAAAATACCAGATGTCTCTAAGACTTTTTCAAATTACTGCAGAACAAAAACACGAGGAATCGCTTAGATTTGTTCACATTACAAAAAACACCAGAGGTCCTTAAGATCCCATCACACTCTTTCACAACCAAAATACCAGAGACCCTCAAGACTCTTTTCAAATTTTTTTCAGGACCAAAACGTAAGGAATCGTTAAGATTCTTTTACATTTCAAAAAAAGAAAAAGAAAAAACACCAAGGGTACCTAAAACTCTTTGAAACTCTTTCACAAACAATATCTGAGACTCTCAACCACCAGATTATCGGCAGTTTTCGTCTTAACCATCAGTTGAAATACGCGTTTTGATATTTAACTACAGGTTACTGCCTAACCTTTAGTTAACCATCAATTAAAAAACCGGGCCTCAAAGGCATTCCAAGACTTTTCCACATACTTTGAAACGATTATTCCTAATTTTAAACTCTAAAGTCCAAAATACCAGAGACTTTCAAGACTTTTTCAAGTTGTTTCAGAACGAGAACATAACCAATCAACAAGATTCTTTCACATTTCAAAAAAAAGGCTCTAAGATCCTTTCAAACTCTTTCATAAACAAAGTACCAGAGGTCCCCAAGATCATTTTCCAATTGTTTCAAAACCAAAACACAAGGAATCTCAAAGATTCTTCCACATTAAGAAAACACCAGTGGTCCTTAAGACTCCATCAAACTATTTCACAAAACAAAATACCAGAAATCTTTAAGGCTTTATTAAATTGTTTCAAAACGAAAACAAAAAACACCATCAAGGGTTCCTAAGATCCAAAGGCCCCTATGATCCCATCAAACTCTTTCACAACCAAACTACCAGAGACTTTTAAGACTCTTTTCAAATTGTTTCAGGACCATAACACAAGGAATCGCTAAGATTTTTTTACATTTCAAAAAATATATACAATAATAACACCAAGGATACTTAAAACCCTTTGAAATTCTTTTACAAACAATATCAGAAACTCTCAAAGGAACCCCAAGACTCTTCCATAGTATTTGAAAAGGTTACTCCAAAATTTAAAGTCTAAAGTCCCTAAAGCACCTTGAAACTTTTTCACAAACAAAATACCAGAGACTCTCAAGACTTTTTCAAGTTGTTTCAGAACGAGTTCACAACGAATCACCAAGACATTTCAAAAAAAGACTCTAAGATACTTTTAAAGTTTTTCATAAACAAAGTACTAGAGGTCCCCAAGATTATTTTCCAATTATTTCAACACCAAAACACAAGGAATTTCAAATTTTCTTCCAAATTAAAAAAACGCCAGGAATCCTTAAGACCATATCAAACTCTTTCACAAACAAAATACCAGAGATCTTTAAGATTTTATCAAAGTGTTTCAGAACAAAAACACAAGAAATCGCCTAAATTTCTTCACATTAAAAAAAACACCAGGAGTCCCTAAGATCCCATCAAACTCTTTAATAACCAAAATGCTAGAGGCTCTCAAGACTCTTTTTAACTTTTTTCAGGACCAAAATACAGAGGATTATCAAGATTCTTCTACATTTCAAAAAAAAAAAAACACCAAGGGTAACTAAAACCCTTTGAAACTATTTCTCAAACAAAATCAGAGACTCTCAAAGGGACCCCAAGACTCTTCCACATTCTTTGAAAAGATTACTCCTAATTTATTTTAAACTCTAAAGTCCCTAGACCTCTTGAAACTCTTTCACAAACAAAATACCAAAAACCCTCAAAACTCTTCTCAAACTGTTTCAGAACCAAAACACAAGAAATCATCAAGATTCTTTTACATTAAAAAAACACACCTGGGGTACCTAAAATCCTTTGAAATACTTTCATAAACAATACCAGAGATTCTCGAAGGGACCCCAAGGCGTTTCCACATTCTTTGAAAAGATTATTCGAAATTTTAATTTTTAAAATCCCTAAGACCCCTTGAAATTCTTTCACAAACAAAATACCAGAGACTTCCAAGATTTTTTTTCAAATTATTTCAGAAGGAGAACATAACGAATCACCAAGAGTAAGATCCTTTCAAAGTCTTTCATAAACAAAGTATCAGAGGTCCCCAAGATTATTTCCCAATTGTTTCAAAACCAAAACACAAGGAATCTCAAAGATTCTTCCATATTAAAAAAACATCACGGGTCCCTAAGACACCATCAAAGTCTTTCACAAACAAAATACCAGAGATCTTTAAGACTCTTTTCAAATTTTTTCAGGACCAAAACACAAAGAATCATCAAAATTCTTTTACATAAAAAAAAAAGAAAAAATACCAACGGTACCTGAAACCCATTGAAACTCTTTCAAAAACAAGACCAGAGACTCTCAAAGGGATTTCAAGACTCTTCCACATTCTTTGAAAAGATTATTCCTAATTTTAAAGTCTAAAGTCCCTAAGACCCCTTGAAATTCTTTCACAAACAAAATACCAGAGACTCTCAAGATTTTTTTCCAATTCTTTCAAAACCAAAACACAAGGAATCTCAAAGATTCTTCTACATTAAAAAAACACCAGGAGTCCCTAAGATCCAAGGGTCCCTAACATCCCATCGTACTCTTTCACAGCCAAAATACCAGAAACCCTCAAAACTCTTCTCAAATTGTTTCAAAACCAAAACACAAGGAATCGTCAAGATTCTTTTACATTAAAAAAACACGCCAGGGGTACCTAAAATCCTTTGAAATACTTTCATAAACAATACCAGAGATTCTCGAAGGGTATTGTTTCCGTTTCCACATTCTTTGAAAAGTTTATTCCAAATTTTAAATTCTAAAATCCCTAAAACCACTTGAAACTCTTTCACAAACAAAATACCAGAGACTCTCAAGATTTTTTCAAATTGTTTCAGAACGAGAACATAACGAATCACCAAGAGTATTTCACGTTTCAAAATGACACTAAGAGCCTCTCAAAGTCTTTCATAAACAAAGTACTAGAGATCCCCAAGATTTTTTTCCAATTGTTTCAAAACCAAAATACTCAAAATCTCCAAGATACTTCCACATATGGCAGCACGGTAATAGGTTAGTAAGCGAAGAAAGATACGGCGCTCTGTAGTCTAGTGGTCAGGGCACCTGCCCGGCAAGCGGGAAATGTGTGGTTCGATTCCCACCGGGGCACCAACATTTTTCTTCGCTTACCTACACACATAAAAAAACACCAAGGGTCCCTAAGATCCCATCACACTTTTTAACAAATAAAATACAAAAAGCCCTTAAGACTCTTTTTAAATTGTTTCAAAACCAAAACACAAGGAATGGTCAAGTTTCTTCACCATTCAAAAAAACATCAAGGGTCTCTAAGGCCCTTTCAAACTCTTTTGCAAGCATAATATCCTCAAAACTTTTTCAAGTTGTTTCAAAGAGAAAACACAAAGAATCGCTAAGATTCATTCGCATTAAAAAAAAAACACCAGGGGTCCTTAAGATCATCAAACTCTTTCACAAACACCCTTTTTAAATTGTTTCAAAACCAAAACACAAAGAATGGCCAAGATTCTTTCACATTTCAAAAAAGACATCAATTATCTTTAAGACTCTTCCAAATTCTTTCATAAACAAAATATCAGTGGCCCTCAAGACTTTGTCAAATTATTTCAGAACGAGTTCAAAACGAGATTTAAAAAAACACCAAGGGTCCCTATGACCATCAAATTCTTTCATTCACAAACACTTCTTCTTTCATATTCCAAAAAAAGATCCTTTCAAACTCTTTCACAAACAAAATACCAGAGACCCTCAAAACTTTTTCAAATTGTTTCCAAATAAAACACAAAGGGACCACAAGACTCTTCCACATTCTTTGAATAGATTATTCAAAAAATTAAAGTCTAAAGTCCCTAAGACCCCTTGAAACTCTTTCACAAACAAAATATCAAAGACTTTCAAGACTTTTCCAAATTCTTTCAGAACGAATTCACAAAAATCAACAAGATTTTTTTACATTAAAAAAAAAGACATCAGAGATCCCCAAGATTATTTTCCAGTTGTTTGAAAACCAAAACACAAGGAATCTCCAAGATTCTTCCGCATTAAAAAAAAAACTAGAATACCAGATGTCTTTAAGACCTTTTTTAAATTGTTTCAAAACCGAAACACAAGGAATAGCCAAGATTTTATCACATTTCAAAAAAAAGCCACCAAGGGTCCCTAAAGCCCTTTCAGAACGAGTTCACAATGAAATTAAAAAAAAAAAAAACACCAAGGGTCCCTAGGACCATAAAACTCTTTCATTGACAAACACTTCTTCTTTCATATTTCAAAAAAAAGACCCTTTCAAACCTTTTCATGAATAAAATACCAGAGACCCTCAAGACTCTTCCAAATGGTTTCAAAGCACACAACAACCCCAAGATTCTTCCATATTCTTTGAAAAAATGTTTCTAAAGTTATTCCGGAAGAACTTTCTTTGCTTCTACAGCACAAATAAACAAATCCAGATTATAACACAAATTATAAAATTTGTCACACAAGGGAACATAACGTCCATATGTATGAAGTAAAATTTTCGCAACAAAATTTTGAGATGATGTCATCACGTTTTTGGAGGGGTTTAACCAATGAACTCTAATTGACATGTTAGCATAATGTGTTTAAGTTTCTAAGTTAAATCGAAAAATGTTATTATACAATTCTGATTCTTTCTAAAAATCTAGAAGATTAAATCATAAGTTTTATAAAGTATGGATATTACCATACGTGTCTGATTAAATCGCTTACAGACGACCAACAGCCGGAACAGGGACCTACTTTTTCGTGTTCTAGAAATTACGAAACGTCGAGAAATTAGCTAGTCGTCAAATGGACCCTACCTTCCAAACAAAAAATAAAAATGGTAATCTTGGGAATCAATAAATGTTAAGCTGAGATAAAGTAAGATAGTCTGAGCCTTATCTTTTAAAGAAACATGTAGAATCGAAAAATTACAAAAATCACAATAAATAAATAAAATTTCGAATTTAAGACAAACTTTGAAAAAATAAAACAAACAAAAAATGAGGCGACAAATTATTTTCTAATGACGTAACAAGAATTTATCCACACTCTGTATTATAAAAATAAACACTGTAATTATCTACCCACCACATATATTTATGACAATATTAATAACTTACACGACCATTATCATTAGACAAAACGTATTATGAGTACTGAAATACATATCTCCTTGGTTTATTTTCAGAATAAGCGCATGAAATGTGGGGCAATTTAGGTTATTTTCTCTTTAAAAAAAATTTCTTCACCTGTTAAATTTTCCGCTTCAAAACCCCAGTTTCCACAATTATTCCACTCGGATTCTCAGAAGTCTCGGAAAATTTTATAAGCTATAATCTATATAAAATCATGACATCTAGACAAACAAATTAGCTATTTCACACAAGTTTATTTTGCAGAATGTTTTTAAAAATTAACTTAACGCCATAAATTACTGGGGTACGTAAAACTCCACGTACACATTTTATTTGTTTTGTAATTTTTTTAAGCCTCCAGGATTTTCTCGAGATAGTTAAATAACGACCAGATAAAAGTTTTAGGCGGCGACTGAATAATTTACAACCGGCAATGGACACATATAATTTCATTTTATCGATTGATAGCATTAGTTTCCGTTGTACTAAGTCGAGAAACAACACACACTGAGCAAACACTACTCGGAAATAAAATGTCGAAATCCACCGTGAGTAATGTAAATAAAGTGTCACTTAAAAGTAGGCAGATACGTAAGAAAAGAAAAACAGTGATTCATGTACCGGGTGAGTATTAATTTAGTCTAGCAAGATGATAATAATGATACAAAAAAAGCTGAAAGAAGCAACTGTGAAATCTTAGCGGTTTTCCTCAATTAACTTTTCTCTCATTAGAGGAACGAACTTTGCATAGTCTTATTGTTCGTTATTAATTTGGCTAATAACAAGTTGCTACGCTTCATTTAATATTCCGCTTAACACCATTCGTACGACTTTTTAACCTTCAGTTTTCAAAGTTATTACAATTTATTAATATCAGTGTTTCCCGTGTCACGTGAATCTACTTAGTTGCAAAATATCTATTATATAATTTCCGCGTGTTGTTAGAGACTACATTAATTCTATGATTCATCTAATAACACGTGTCGTACTTTAACACCAGCTTTTTAAAACGCGCTTTTAAAATAATCATTATTGTTGTTGATAAATAAACATTACCAAGCCGTCCTTCAAAACCTTATCTCTGTGATAGAAAAAGCAATACATATAAATAATAGTTCCACCGCTCCTTAGCTTCATTTTTTAGTTAAAATATTTTCTACCAAAACAAAATTATTTACTGTAGGGTATGTGTAAGTGTTTGCATGCGTCTGTTTAAGTAATAATGTAAAAACTAATTTGAACAGTGATAATTGTTCCAAATTTTTACGCAAAATCGTAATCACCGTTATGCCTGTCTCAGATTTGAAAAACCAAATATTTGCCAAGTTTATTGGTGTCTTTTTTACCGGCATGCCAACTTGAACCCAAACACCTACAGGATCTTCACGATTGCGTAAATACCACGTAATTTTGTTTATTTATTAATCCGCGGCATTTGCAAACGTACGAAGTAAATCTGTTTATCTGAATCTTATTGCTCTAATAAATCTGGTTTTTATTTGGTTTATTTACTGCAAAAATGCGGTGGTTAGTGCGCAGACGCGACTAAGCGTGGCGACGGCTTATAAAACTCAACTTTGTAGTGGTCAGTGTAGAGTTAAGCCTGACATTAGTGTGCACATTTTTTTACCACAAAGTTGTCTTGGTTACTTATAATGACCGGTCCCATGGTTGCAGGTTTGTCCAAAAGCGAGTGCCTCTGTGAGCCCCCAGCAGACACCAATGTTAATCAAAATGGTAATTATTTCATGCTTTTTGGTCTCATTTTAATTGACGCACGCTATGATTTCTTACGTCAGAACGATAGAGTTTTTTTTTAAATTGTAAGTAGCGTAACGATGTCTAGTAGAGCTTTTCGTATAAGTTTCAAATTATCATTATTATTTACCATATTCATAAAATTTATCGTATCTTTTCATGAACACATGCATTTGTTGATACTTTTTTTATTGATACATTTATGAATATGCGACAACGTAAATAAACCGTTGTACCGATACTTTGATAATGTTATCAAAGATAAAAAACTTATGTGGGTGCCGACAATTTACATGACAATTCGTTCAAGAGACGCAGTCTGCTTTTTATCGTGTTTTCAGTTTCATTTTATGATCACAATCATTTAATCGATTATTTTAATGGTGATTGTCCAAGGATAATATTTTTAGTGGCACTTGGAACATTACCTACGTTTGCTATACATATATACAGGTGTCCCTAAACATTCTAGCGACTACATGTTTTTAGAAATTTAGATTCCTTTGATTTGATAGAAAAAAGCAGTTCCCCTAATTTTTTTGTGTCACCCTGTATAAGTAATATTAAAAACTATGATAAACCACGAGTGAAGAGTCCTAATATTTTAAGCATTCTAGATAAGATTTATTCAGATAAATTTTGAGATGACGTCAGCGATTTTTTTGGAGATTTGGAATTTTGATTACGGATTCACCATGTTTACGTCAACTGTAACATCTAGATTTCAGATAATTCGGTTTTGCAATTTCAAAGTTTTAAATCGTAAAACGTTGTTATACGACAATTGTGATTTTTTCCAAAAATTTACATGTCTAGGACAATATCTCAACACATATTCATAAATTACACATCAAGGAGCACGTTGCTACATAAAATTTATTCGGCAAAATTGCAAGATGACTCATCATTTTTGGGGAGGGTTAAAAGGGATACGTTTGATTAATTATTAATAAATTCCGAGAAAGAAAAACTACGAATTTATGTACAAAGGACACATTTTTCAATAGATCTGTTAAAAATTTTCGGAATGATCTAAAATATTTGATGAGCATGCTGATTTTGTTGTGTACAATGTAACACTAATTATACAGGGTGCTGAACAAATGGTGTACCAACTCTATGACACGTGGTTGAGGACTGTTTACAGAACAGAGAAAAAATAATTTAAAAAATTCTTGGCCCCAAATGTAGAAAATATAGCCCTTCAAAATTTAACTTTCATTTTCAAAATTTTTAATTTTGGTGGTATCTTGTTTTCATTCACAGTTTTCTTCATTTTATAATGTAACAAAAAACTTAAAAATTATTTAGGATGAATTGGACAAGTGTGGGTAATTTTCACAATTTTTTAATTTATCAGTCTAAATCCATATTTTGGTTCTGTAAGTAAACGTCAAATTGACGTAAGGAATTTTTTTAATGATTTTTTCTGAACTTAAACTTGTGAACTTAATAATGTACCGTTGAGTTGGAGCGCTATTTTTCAGCACCCTGTATACAGGTGTTCTAACATTCTGGCGGCGGAAGATTAGACATTTTTTAAATGTAACGCCTATATGTCTTTCAAAATTTGGATTGCGTTAAAAAAATGTTCCAAGGTTAGATAGACAAAATTTTTCTTTGTTCCCTAATTCATTAATTATTTTGTGTCACCCTGTGTAAGTAATATTAAAGACTATGATAACCCACCTGTGAAAAGTCCTAATATTTTAAGCATTTCAGATAAGATTTATTCAGCTTGATTTCAGAGCTTGGAAGAGCAGAAAGATTGGAAAAATCAAAAATTTAAAAATTTGGAAAATTGAAAAATTGAAATATGCATAACTCGAGAACTCGAAAATTTTAAAAATTGAAAACTTGAAAAATTGAGAAATCGAAGTATAAAATAGTCGAAAAATTGAAAAATGTAAAGTTGAAAAAACGAAAAATTGAAAATCCAAAAAGTAAAAAGTCGAAAAATCGCAAAATCCAGAACTCGAAAAATCGAAAAGTCGAAATACTAAAAAATCCCAAAATTGAAATATCGAAAAATGTATCACACGAAATATCCAAAAATTGGGAAATTAAAAAATTGAAAAATTTGAAAATCGAAAAGTCAAAAAAACAAAGTCGAAAAATCGCAAAATTAAAAAATCGAAAAAGTGAAGGATCAAAAACACTGAAAAATCGAAACTTTGGGAAATCGAGAAATGGGAAAATCAAAAAATAGATTAATTGGGAATGCGGAAAACTGAAAGTTCGGAAACGTCAAAATTTGAAAAATTAAAGTACATTGAAGACCTGAAAAATCTAAAATTTAAAACACTGAAAAATTAAAATATCGTAAAATTGAAAAATGAGGAAATCCAAACATCAAAAAATCAAAAAAATAAAATTTCGAAAATCCAAAATTTAAAAATCGAAAAACTGAAAGATCAACAAATCGAGAAATCGAAAATCGAAAAGTGAAAAAAACCGGAAAATTGAAAAATCGGATAATTCAAAAATCGAAAAATCGAAACATCGAAAAATTAAAAAACTGAAACATCGAGAAATCGAAAAATCAAAAGATCGAGAAATCGAGGAGTCGAACAGTCGAGAAGTCAAAACATCGAAAAAAAAACAAGAAACCGAAATAGGCCTAAATCGAAAAATTCAAAAGTTAAAAATCGAAAAATTGATAAATCGAGAGATTGAACAATCAAAACATCCGAATCTCGATAAATCGAGATCTCAAAAAATTGAAAAATCGAAGATTTAAAAATTCGGACAATTGAAACATTAAAATATCCAAAAATTGAAAAATTGAGAAATCGAAATATGAAACAGTCGAAAAATTGAAAAATCTAAAGTTTAAAAAACGAAAAACTGAAAATCCAAAATATAAAAAATCGAAAAATCCGGAAGTGGAAAAATCGAAAAGTCGGAGAATGAAAATATTGGAAAATCTCAAAACTGAAAGAAATATCAAAAAATTGAGAAATTAAAAAACTGAAAAATTGAAAAATTGAAAAATCGAAAAACCAAAAAAGCAAAGTTGAAAAATCAAAGAATTGAAAAACTGAAAGGCGAAACTTCGAGAAGTCCAGAAATTGCAAAATCAAAAATAGATTAATTGAGAAATCAGGAAACTGAAAATTTAGCAACGTCAAAATTTGAAAAATTGAAAAATAGAAATACCAAAGAACTGAAAGTCGAAAAATCGAAAAGTCGGAGAATTAAAATATTGGAAAATCCCAAAACTGAAAGAAATATTCAAAAATTGAGAACTTAAAAAACTGAAAAATTGAGAAATCGAAAAAACAAAAAAGCAAAATCGAAAAATCAAAGAATTGAAGAACTAAAGTCGAAGATTCGAGATGTCGAGAAATGGGAAAATCAAAAATAGATCAACTGATAAATCGGAAAACTGAAAATTTAGCAGCGTCAAAAATTGAAAAATTGAAAAATAAGAAATACCGAAGAACTGAAAAATCAAAAAATCGCCAAATCGAGAAATCGAAACTCCAGAATTTAAAAAATTGAAACATCGAAGAATTGGAAAATCGAAAAATTGAAAAGCCCAAAAGTAAAAAATTGAAAAACTGAGAAACAAAAAATTCAAAAACTGAGACATGGAGAAATCGAAAAATCGGAGGATCGAGAAATCGAGGAGTGGAAAGCCGAGAAGAAAAGTTAAAAGTTGAAAAATTGATAAATCAAGAATTCGAACAATCAAATCATCGAAACATCTGAATTCGATAAATCGAGAAATCAGAAAATTGAAAAATGGGAAAATTTTAAAAATGAAAGATTGGAAAAACGAAAATTTAAAAATTCGGAAAATTGAAAAAAGAATTCAAAACTCGAGAAATCGAAAGACCTAGAATTTTAAAAATTGAAAAATTAAAACATCGTAAAGTTGAAAAATTGAGAAATCGAAAAACAGTCAAAATTGAAAAGTCTACATTCTAACGAAAAATTGACAATTCTAAAAATAAAAAATCGAAAATTCAAAGAATCTAGGAGACCAAAAATATTGAAAAATCCCAAAACTGAAAGAAATATAAAAAAAATTGGAAAAGTGAGAATCGAAAAACTAAAAGATCGAAAAATTGAAAAGTCAAAGACCTGAAAAATTGAAAAATCAAAAACCTGAAAAATCGAAAAATTGAAGAATTGAAGAAGCGAAAAATCGAAACTTTGGGAAGTCGAGAAGTGGGAAAATAAAAAAAATAGAAATAGAAATCGGAAAACCGAAAATTTAAAAAGGCCAAAATTTGAAAAATTGAAAAATCGAAATATTTAAAAATCGTGAAATCGAAGGAGACAAAAATTTAAAAATTCTATAATTGAAACATCGGAAAATTCAGAAATGGAAAAATAAAAAAATCGAGAAATCGAAAATTTGAAGAACGGAAAAATTTTAAAAACCCATAAAATCATTATTTAACCTAACGATACGATCAGTACGGTTTTTTCGCCTTAGATTCATAAATGGACATTTCTACATCGACTGATCATTTCATCAGAGTATCCTTCTCCCAGTATTTCCACTCTATGCCATATTCTTGAAATGGAATAAATAAAAAGTTCGTCGTTTTATTGAGATTAAGTTAATCACGCACTTAATGAGGCATTTAGCGACGTCTGGTACTTTAATGCCTCATTAAGAATTTAATTACAACCAAATATTGAATTGAGCTTCTATAAATCCGCACTTAAACTACAGATAAATAAAAACGTATGTTATACTTTAAAAATAAGTTTCACTCATCCCACAGATTTTAAAACACTGTTTATCATTTTTCTGAAGATAAAAAACACGCGATTTCATTTAAAATTTCATTTTTGACTTTAAATTTTAAATACTCCTAAAGTCAATAAAGTGCAATGTCAAAATGTTGCTGGCTAAAAAAACTAAAAATATTAAAAACTGATTTTAAACATGATTGTTAAGCTAACAAATTGTAAACAACTACAGTTTTAAGCATTTAAGAAATTAAGGAAATAAAAAGCGCTAAAACCCATACAACTGCCAGTACTATTAGTCATTAATTACCATACAGTGTGGTGAAATAACACACCCATACAATAACCGATTTATGACCAATGATAACAAGAAATGATGAAAACAACTTCAAATTACAATTTTTTTTCTCGTTTCTCATTTCATAGACGAGGAAGATGCGCACATCACTGTCCCCGAATGGCGATTACATAAAGTCCAATCTCCCATTGTCCTCAAACATGACGAAACCAATCAATACGACCACTTCGAGCCTTTGGAATTCCACGGCCATTGGGACGAAGGCGGCGACGCCACGTTAAGCAACAATGGATTTACCGGTACTCACCGATTACCCAACCCGACAAACCATTAATTTTCCCATTTCGCAGCTACGCTTCGCTTCCAAAATCGCGAACCCCCAGTACTACTCGGCGGCCCGCTCCACGACGACCAGTATGTTTTCGAACAATTGCACTTCCACTGGGGCGGCGACGACCACAGCGGATGTGAGCACATTTTCGAAGGACAAGCGTGAGTATAAAAAGCAGACAATGCCGACTATGAATAATGGATAATAGGTACTCGATGGAAGCGCATGCAGTTCATTTCAACAAAAAGTACGCCAGTTTCAAGGCCGCGGCGGACAAGCACGACGGACTGGCGGTGGTTGCGTTCTTCTTGAAGGCGACTGATGACGATGAACATCCGTGTTTTAATAAGATGACGGAGGCGGTGAAGAAGATCGTCAAAGTTGACAGCACGACGAGCGTACCGAGTGGTACTGGAGATATTTTTAGTTGAGTTGAGGTGTGGTAACGTTGTGGTTGCAGACTGTCTGACTTGGATCAAGGAGGAGGCGCAGTGTAAAGGGTACTACACGTACCAAGGGTCGTTAACCACGGAGCCGTACACCGAGAGCGTCACGTGGATTCTTTACACCACGCCGATACACGTGTCCAGGCAGCAGGTACTACTCAATTCTAGTACGAATAGATGTGGAACTACTTGGTGTTTATGTAGGTTTCAGAATTCCGGAATATGAAATCGACAGCTTGCGAGCAACACAACATCGTTAAAAACGTACGACCAATCCAGACACCCCCAGTCCATAAAAAACTTGATATCATCTACGCCAGATCGCACCGAAAATCCAGCGAATAAAATTTCGCTACTTATCTATATTTACAATAAAACACAAGTTTTTATTTATTTATTACAGCTGTAAAAAATATGATGAAATACATATAAAACAATAAACACTATACCCTGTTTATTTGACTTCTTTTCGTTCCACAAGATCTTCAATCTTTGGTGGTTCGCCACCACAAGATTCTGTTTCTGGTTTTTTGACCGGCTCTGGACCGTCGTGTGGAAACTGGGATTGGATAACATCTATGGTAGGATACGGTACCACGCATTCGAAAGATTCCAAGGTGTCGACAAGAGCATCTACCGCATGCCCCAAACACGAGTAAACTATAAGGTACTGATTATACTGGTAATCTTCCTCTTCTGCCTTCAACAGAACCACGTCTTCACCTGGTTTGAACTCCTCCTCCGGTTCATTCTCCGCAACATATTGAAAATCCTCACCATATGGGTTAAAACTCACGATGGACACTTCCTTCCTGACCAACTTTTCTTTCGACTGTTTGCCCTTCTTCCCGGAGGGTATCGAGCTTTTTTTACTAGATTTAGACTTTTTGTCGTCTTTTTTCTTCTTTTTACCTTTGTCACCTTTCTTCTTCTTTTTATCCCCTGTGTCGCTCTTTTTCGGCAGCGGCTTGTTGAAATAAGCGACATAAGTAGCCTCCACGTCCTCGCTCGGGATGTCCCTCAACTTCTTCGGTTTCTTCTTCGTTTCGAACGGGTAATAGTCGTCATACTCGTGCGCAGGAACGTAGTTCTGCTCGAAGTATTCGTAGACCTTGCGCTCCGGGTACGCACTTAAATGAACTAGTTTATTTTTGGCAACTGGATAAAAACTCGTTTTTGGAATATTTTTTCGGATTTCGAGATCACTCAACTCGTGACACATTTTGTTAAAGTAGGCGCCCAGTACGTGGAAACAAGCGGCGAATTTTTCCCGGTCCGTGTTAATAATGACGGGGGAGTCGAATTTTCGCAACGTGTTTTGAAGTTGTAGCTGGTTGGAGTACTCGTATGGCTGTTCAGGTCTAAGCTCTTTGGGTTCTGTTATTTCAGGCTCTTTTTCAGACGACTCGCTTTTTTTCGCCTTTTTGTCCTTTTTTGACTTACTGCTCTTTGACGACTTGCTGCCTTTCTTCTCTTCCTTCGACTGCTTGGTCGCACCCGCAGGCTTCTCTTTTAGTTCCTTTTCTATTCTTAGTAGCTTGTCTAATATAGCAGACAGGATTTTCTCGCCGTACATCGTCACGTCTTTCTCATGGGTTAACATCTGCAGCTGCTTGATGGAATAATTCCACCCACAAGCGCAATCGTCAATCTTCACACTATCATAAATGAGTTTCATATAAAACAGTCGATAAATCGAAAAACCTAGAGTTTAAAAAACGAAAAATTGGAAATCCAAAAAGTAAAAAGTCGAAAAATCGAAAAGTCAAAATACCAAAAAATCCCAAAATTGAAATATCGAAAAATTCAAAAATAGAAGAAAAATTGAAGAATCGAAAAACTGAAAAATTACAAAATGTATCACACGAAATATCCAAAAATTGGGAAATTAAAAAATTAAAAAATTGAAAAATTGGGAAATGGAAAAGTCAAAAAATCAAAGTCGAAAAATCGTAAAGAAGAACTGAAGAACTGAAAAATCGAAACTTTGGGAAGTCGAGAAATGGAAAAATCAAAAAATAGATTAATTGAGAAATCGGAAAACTGAAAATTCGGGAACGTGAAAATTTGAAAAATTAAAATATATTGAAGAACTGAAAAATGTAAAATTTAAAACAGTGAAAAATTAAAATATCGTAAAATTGAAAAATGGAGAAATCCAAACATCAAAAAATCAAAAAAATAAAAATTCGAAAATCTAAAATTTAAAAATCGAAAAACTGAAAAATCATCAAATTCAATTGGAAAATTGAAAAATCGGATAATTCAAAAATCGAAACATGGAAAAATCGAAAAGCCAAATAGTAAAAAATGGAAAAACCGACAAATCAAAAAATCGAAACATCGAAAAATTCAACAACTGAGACATGGAGAAATTGAAAAATCAAGATATCGAGAAATTGAAGAGTCGAGAAGTCGAGAAGTCGAAATAGGCCAAAGTCGAAGAACTAATAAGTCGAAACTTCGAGAAGTCGAGAAATGGGAAAATCAAAAATAGATTAAATGAGAAATCGGAAAACTGAAAATTTAGCAGCGTCAAAATTTGAAAAATTGAAAAATAGAAAGACTGAACAACTGGAATCGAAAAATCTAAAATTTAAAACATCAAAAAATCAAAAAATAAAATTTCGAAAATCTAAAAGTTAAAAATCGAAAAACTAAAAAATCGCCAAATCGAGAAATCCAAACTCCAGAATTTAAAGAATTGAAAAATTGAAAAATCGCATAACTGAAAAATCGAAATATCCAAAAATTGGTAAATCGAAAAATTGAAAAGCCCGAAAGTAAAAAATAAAAAAACCGAGAAATCCAAAAATCGAAACATCGAAAAATTCTAAAACTGAGGTGATGATGATGATGGAGAGAAATCGAAAAATCAGAGGATCGAAAAATCGAGGAGTGGAAAGTCTAGAAGAAAAGTTAATAATTGAAAAATTAATAAATCGAGAAATTTTAAAAAAGAAAGATTGGAAAAATCAAAAATTGAAAAATTTGGAAAATTGAAAACTTGAAAAATTGAGAAATCGAAGTATAAAACAGTCGAAAAATTGAAAAATGTAAAGTTGAAAAAACGAAAAATTGAAAATCCAAAAAGTAAAAGTCGAAATACTAAAAAATCCCAAAACTGAAATATCGAAAAATGTATCACACGAAATATCCAAAAATTGGGAAATTAAAAAATTGAAAAATTGGAAAATCGAAAAGTCAAAAAAGCAAAGTCGAAAAATCGCAAACTTAAAAAATCGAAAAAGTGAAGAATCAAGAACACTGAAAAAGCGAAACTTGGGAAATCGAGAAATGGGAAAATCAAAAAATAGAAACCCATTACTGCCCACCGTATGATTTTTCATACCATATGAACGGGACTGTTTGAGGTTAGGTACTTAAAACAAAAGACAACGAACCGGCTTTTGAAATATATCAAACTCTACCTTTTTTAATGGTCTTTCGAGTGCTTATTCATTGGAGATTGTTTAAAACAAAGTTACATTATCATATTGGTTTTTGCAAAACGGTGTCCTTCATTTTTTGCAGAATGAGTAAGAGGTAAGTTTACAATTTTTTATTTTTTCTACAAGAGAAAAATCCATGCATGTTTCTTGCGATATATATAAAATAAAGTCTTTAGATTTTGTTTATGATTTTTTTTCACATGTTTTGCATTTTTTTTTACCTAAAATTGAATTCAATATCTTGCGTATGAAAAATCATACCTTGGGCGGTAGAAGGTAAGACAGTTTTTTTTTTACGGTTTATCTAGATAACTTTTTTAATTCCCTTTCATTGCTCCATAATCTTCGAGCTTATGATATAAATTGCGTTGGTACAATTCGAGCAGACAGAATTGATAAAGCGCCTCTCAAAGATCTGAAGAAAGAAAAACGTGGAAGTTCTTATGTGTTACAAGAAAAGGAAGGTAGTATTACACTGGTGAGATGGCATGATAATAATCAAGTTAATATAGCAACAAACCTAATCAACAATGACATATGCTTATCTAAGGGTTCGTGCAAGCGATGGTCTAGAAAGGATAAAAGTACAGTGTCAATTGAACAACCATCTTTGGTCAGCATATATAACCAAGGAATGGGGGGAGTTGATTTGTTTGATAAAATGAGAGGCTTATATCGCATTCGCATACGTTCCAAAAAGTGGTATTGGCCATATGTAAGATTTTGTTTTAACAGAGCAGTTGTAAATATGTGGATGCTGTATAGATTTGCACATCCAAAAGTTGGTTTACTAGAATTCGTTCGCAGAATAGTTTTAGCTTTGCTTTCATCGCCTCCACATTTGGGTGGACCAAAACTAAAATGTACTAGAGCCGTTTTGCCCGAAATTAGATACGATGGCGTGGATCACCTGGTAGATAGCAACAGTACTCAACGAAAATGCGGCTTTTGTGGGAAATGTGCTAAGTTTGTATCTGTTAAGTGCAATGTAGGCCTCCATCCAGCACATTGTTTTAGAGCCTACCACACACCATAATAAATATTTTGTGAAAAAAGTAGTATTTTTTTATTAATTTTTCAATAAAAGTTTTTTACACATACACTCTTTTGACCAGCGTATGAAATATCATACGATAAAATAAACATAGTTAACAAAAAAAAAAGTTGTTTTTTTTGGTAGTTTGTGTTTAGAAGGGCTACTGCATTAAGTTTTGCAAATTTTTATCAAAATAATAATAAAAAAATTACTCGGGCATTAATGGGTTAATTGGGAAAGCGGAAAACTGAAAGTTCGGAAACGTCAAAATTTGAAAAATTAAAATACATTGAAGACCTGAAAAATCTAAAATTTAAAACACTGAAAAATTAAAATATCGTAAAATTGAAAAATGGAAAAATCCAAACATCAAAAAATCAAAAAAATAAAAATTCGAAAATCTAAAATTTAAAACTCGAAAAACTGAAAGATCAACAAATCGAGAAATCGAAACTCGAAAAGTGAAAAAAATTGGAAAATTGAAAAATCGGATAATTCAAAATTGAAAACTCGGATAATTCAAAATTCGAAAAATCGAAACATCGAAAAATTCAAAAACTGAAACATCGAAAAATCAAAAAATCGAGAAATCAAGGAGTAGAAAAGTCGAGAAGTCAAAATATCGAAAAAAAAAACAAGAAACTGAAATAGGCCAAAACCGAAAAATTCAAAAGTTACAAATGGAAAAATTGATAAATGGAGAGATTGAACAATCAAAACATCCGAATCTCGATAAATCGAGATCTCAAAAAATTTAAAAATTCGGGCAATTGAAAAATTAAAATATAGAAGAACTGAAAATCCAAAAAATTAAAATTCGAAAAATCGAAAAATCCGGAAGTCGAAAAGTCGGAGAATCAAAATATTGGAAAATCCCAAAACTGAAAGAAATATCCAAAAATTGAGAAATTAAAAACCTAAAAAATTGAGAAATAGAAAAAACAAAAAAATCAAAGTCGAAAAATCAAAGAATTGATGAACTGAAAAATCGAAACTTCGAGAAGTCGAGAAATCGGAAAATCAAAAATAGATTAATTGAGAAATCGGAAAACTGAAAATTTAGCAACGTCAAAATTTAAAAAATTGGAAAATATAAATACTGAAAAACTGAAAAATCAAAACATCGCCAAATTGAGAAATCGAAAGTCCAGAATTTAAAAAATTGAAAAATCGAAAAGTCGCACAACTGAAAAATCAGAGCATCGGAGAATTGGAAAATTGGAAAATCGAAAAATTGAAAAGCCCAAAAGTAAAAAATCGAAAAACCGAGAAATCCAAAAATCGAAAGAATGAAAAATTCAAAAATTGAGACATTGAAAAATTGAAAAATCAGAGGATCGAGAAATCGAGGAATGGAAAGCCGTGAAGAAAAATTAAAAATTGAAAAATTGATAAATCGAGAAACTGAACAATCAAAACATCGAAACATCTGAATTCGATAAATCGAGAAATCAGAAAATTTTAAAAAAGAGAGATTGGAAAAATCGAAAATTTAAAAATTCGGAACATTGAAAAAAGAACTGAAAATTCGAGAAATCGAAAAACCTAGAATTTTAAAAATTGAAAAATTAAAGCATCGTAAAGTTGAAAAATTGAGAAATCGAAGTATAAAACAGTCGAAATTGAAAAATCTAAATTCTAACGAAAAATTTACAATTCTAAAAATAAAAAATCGAGAATTCAAAGAATCCAGGAGTCCAAAAATATTGAAAAATCCCAAAACTGAAAGAAATATCAAAAAAATTGGAAAAGTGAGAATCGAAAAACTAAAAGATCGAAAAATTGAAAAGTCAAAGACCTGAAAAATTGAACTGATGACGATGAACATCCGTGTTTTAATAAGATGACGGAGGCGGTGAAGAAGATCGTCAAAGTTGACACCACGACGAGCGTACCGAGTGATACTAGAGATATTTTTAGTTGAGTTGAGGTGTGGTAACGTTGTGGTTGCAGACTGTCTGACTTGGATCAAGGAGGAGGCGCAGTGTAAAGGGTACTACACGTACATACCAGGGGTCCTTAACCACGGAGCCGTACACCGAGAGCGTCACGTGGATTCTTTACACCACGCCGATACACGTGTCCAGGCAGCAGGTACTACTCAATTCTAGTACGAATAGATGTGGAACTACTTGGTGTTTATGTAGGTTTCAGAATTCCGGAATATGAAATCAACAGCTTGCGAGCAACACAACATCGTTAAAAACGTACGACCAATTCAGACACCCCCAGTCCATAAAAAACTCGATATCATCTACGCCAGATCGCACCGAAAATCCAGCGAATGAAATGTTGCTACTTATCTATATTTACAATAGAACACAAGTTTTTATTTATTTATTACAGCTGTAAAAATATGATGACATACATATAAAACAATAAACACTATATCCTGTTTATGTGACTTCTTTTCGTTCCACTAGATCTTCAATCTTTGGTGGTTCGCCACCACAAGATTCTGTTTCTGGTTTTTTGACCGGTTCTGGACCGTCGTGTGGAAACTGGGATTGGATAACATCTATGGTAGGATATGGTACCACGCACTCGAAAGATTCCAAGGTGTCAACAAGAGCATCTACCGCATGCCCCAAACACGAATAAACTATAAGGTACTGATTATACTGCTAATCTTCCTCTTCTGCCTTCAACAGAACCACATCTTCACCTGGTTTGAACTCCTCCTCCAGTTCATTCTCCGCAACATATTGAAAATCCTCACCATATGGGTTAAAACTCACGATGGACACTTCCTTCCTGACCAACTTTTCTTTAGACTGCTTGCCCTTCTTCCCGGAGGGTGTCGAGCTTTTTTTACTAGATTTAGACTTTTTGTCGTCTTTTTTCTTCTTTTTACCTTTGTCACCTTTCTTCTTCGTTTTATCCTCTTTGTCGACCTTTTTCCGCAGCGGCTTGTTGAAATAAGCGACGTAAGTAGCTTCCACGTCCTCGCTCGGGATATCTCTCAACTTCTTCGGTTTCTTATTCGTTTCAAACGGGTAATAGTCGTCATACTCGTGAACAGGAACGTAGTTGTGCTCGAAGTATTCGTAGACTTTGCGCTCCGGCTACGCACTTAAATGAACTAGTTTATTTTTGGCAACTGGATAAAATCTCGTTTTTGCGATATTTTTGCGGATTTCGAGATCACTCAACTCGTGACACATTTTGTTAAAGTAGGCGCCCAGTACGTGGAAACAAGCGGCGAATTTTTCCCGGTCCGTGTTAATAATGACGGGGGAGTCGAATTTTCGCAACGTGTTTTGAAGTTGTAATTGATTCGAGTATTCGTATGGCTGTTCAGGTCTAATTTCTTTGGTTTCTGTTATTTCAGGCTCTTTTTCAGACGACTCGCTTTTTTTCGCCTTTTTGCCCTTTTTTGATTTACTGCTCTTTGACGACTTGCTGCCTTTCTTCTCTTCCTTCGACTGCTTGGTCGCACCCGCAGGCTTCTCTTTTAGTTCCTTTTCTATTCTTAGTAGCTTGTCAAATATAGCAGACAGGATTTTCTCGCCATACATCGTCACGTCTTTCTCATGGGTTAACATCTGCAGCTGCTTGATGGAATAATTCCACCCACAAGCGCAATCGTCAATCTTCACACTATCATAAATGAGTTTCATATAAAACAGTCGATAAATTGAAAAACCTAGAGTTTAAAAAACGAAAAATTGGAAATCCTAAAAGTAAAAAGTCGAAAAATCGAAAAGTCAAAATACTAAAAAATCCCAAAATTGAAATATCGAAAAATTCAAAAATAGAAGAAAAATTGAAGAATCGAAAAACTGAAAAATTACAAAATGTATCACACGAAATATCCAAAAATTGGGAAATTAAAAAATTAAAAAATTGAAAAATTGGGAAATGGAAAAGTCAAAAAATCAAAGTCGAAAAATCGTAAAGAAGAACTGAAGAACTGAAAAATCGAAACTTTGGGAAGTCGAGAAATGGAAAAATCAAAAAATAGATTAATTGAGAAATCGGAAAACTGAAAATTCGGGAACGTGAAAATTTGAAAAATTAAAATACATAAACTGGTCGAAATAAGTTAAGGATATTATTTAATTTTTTTTTCCACTGGCGAAAAAGTATCAAAGGTAGCGTGGATATGTGTCTTATGGCTTTGTGTAACACCTCCGTGAGTAATAAAGTTTTTGGACGAATGCGTAAAAAGTTATCGAAGAAATTACAAAATTATCACAAGAGGCAGTACATTCAAATGTTTATTTCCTTGCATTTTGGTGACAGTATAGCGAGTAATTGTCAAAATTAAGCTTTCTAAAATGCAAAGAAGACATTTATCACCAGATGCTGCCAATAGAGCCATAGGAATGTTAGAAGCTGGTGCCCGCCAAGTAGATGTGGCTCAAATGTTAAATGTGAGTCAAAGTGTGGTCTCACGATTAAGTAATCGGTACCAAGAAACTGGATCTGTAATTGAACGACAAAGGCAAGGTAGACCCAGGGCTACAACAATACGTGAAGATCGTTTATTGATTCGAGAAGCCCGGAGAAATCCCAGATCTCACTGTACTTTACTCAGGCAGGAGCTTTTACACGCCACTGGTTTTTTGTAACGCCAAGAACTGTTCTGAATCGAATCAATGAGACAGAGTTACGATGTAGGAGACCTTTAAGAACGGTTCCTTTAACTCATGAACATAAACGTGCCAGATTGGCATGGTGTGAAGAAAGGCTAAATTGGCAAAATGAATGGTCAACTGTAATGTTTACAGATGAGAGCAGAATTGGTCTTTATAGCGACCGACGTACTGTTCGAGTATGGAGAGCCCCAGGCAGACGAGTTGATGACCGGTATGTCCAAGAAGTACATCCCTTTAAAGGGGGAACAATTATGGTATGGGGAGGCATTTTTCTTGGAGGTCGTACGGAGCTGTACGTTTGCGAACGCAATATGACGTCCCAAATTTATGAGGCTGACATTATAGACGATATTGTTGACAATTATCGCTATAATTTGGAGCCCCATTTTCGATTTCTGGACGATAACGCAACTCCACATCGAGCCCGCCGTGTGACGCAGCGCCTGCAGACTCTCGATATTGAACGTTTACCGCTTCCAGCACGTTCACCAGATCTTAACCCTATCGAACATGCTTGGGATATGCTTGGCCGAGCATTCATTGAGCACCAACCACCTCCTGGTCACTTAAGAGATATGCGTCCTCTTCTTCCCACATTATGGGACAATTTAGATCAAGAGATGTTGGATCGCTTGATACTCAGTATGCCCAGACGTGTACAGGAGTGTGCCCAAAATCGCGGTGGTGTAACACATTATTAAGGCCCTGATTAAGGCTATTTTACGCCTACCTGTTTGCCCGGTGGTGTTAGGATTTTGCTTTCTTTTTAATTCTTGTGGTGTTGCAGATATATTTTTCGAATAAAACCTTATAAACATACTCAACATACCGCTCTTCATTAATTTATGTTATAAAATCGCCAGATTTTTTTTTGGATTAGTTGACTTTTTAATATCCTTAACTTATTTCGACCAGTTTATATTGAAGAACTGAAAAATGTAAAATTTAAAACAGTGAAAAATTAAAATATCGTAAAATTGAAAAATGGAGAAATCCAAACATCAAAAAATCAAAAAAATAAAAATTCGAAAATCTAAAATTTAAAAATCGAAAAACTGAAAAATCATCAAATTCAATTGGAAAATTGAAAAATCGGATAATTCAAAAATCGAAACATGGAAAAGTCGAAAAGCCAAATAGTAAAAAATGGAAAAACCGACAAATCAAAAAATCGAAACATCGAAAAATTCAACAACTGAGACATGGAGAAATTGAAAAATCAAGATATCGAGAAATCGAGGAGTCGAGAAGTCGAGAAGTCGAAATAGGCCAAAGTCGAAGAGCTAATAAGTCGAAACTTCGAGAAGTCGAGAAATGGGAAAATCAAAAATAGATTAAATGAGAAATCGGAAAACTGAAAATTTAGCAGCGTCAAAATTTGAAAAATTGAAAAATAGAAAGACTGAACAACTGGAATCGAAAAATCTAAAATTTAAAACATCAAAAAATCAAAAAATAAAATTTCGAAAATCTAAAAGTTAAAAATCGAAAAACTAAAAAATCGCCAAATCGAGAAATCCAAACTCCAGAATTTAAAGAATTGAAAAATTGAAAAATCGCATAACTGAAAAATCGAAATATCCAAAAATTGGTAAATCGAAAAATTGAAAAGCCCGAAAGTAAAAAATAAAAAAACCGAGAAATCCAAAAATCGAAACATCGAAAAATTCTAAAACTGAGGTGATGATGATGATGGAGAGAAATCGAAAAATCAGAGGATCGAAAAATCGAGGAGTGGAAAGTCTAGAAGAAAAGTTAATAACTGAAAAATTAATAAATCGAGAAATTTTAAAAAAGAAAGATTGGAAAAATCAAAAATTTCAAAATTTGGAAAATTGAAAAATTGAAATATGTATAGAAGAACCGAAAACTCGAGAAATCGAAAATTTTAAAAATTGAAAACTTGAAAAATTGAGAAATCGATGTATAAAACAGTCGAAAAATTGAAAAATGTAAAGTTGGAAAAACGAAAAATTGAAAATCCAAAAAGTAAAAAGTCGAAATACTAAAAAATCCCAAAACTGAAATATCGAAAAATGTATCACACGAAATATCCAAAAATTGGGAAATTAAAAAATTGACAAATTGGAAAATCGAAGTCAAAAAAGCAAAGTCGAAAAATCGCAAACTTAAAAAATCGAAAAAGTGAAGAATCAAGAACACTGAAAAATCGAAACTTGGGAAAATCGAGAAATGGGAAAATCAAAAAATAGATTAATTGGGAAAGCGGAAAACTGAAAGTTCGGAAACGTCAAAATTTGAAAAATTAAAATACATTGAAGACCTGAAAAATCTAAAATTTAAAACACTGAAAAATTAAAATATCGTAAAATTGAAAAATGGAAAAATCGAAAAACTGAAAGATCAACAAATCGAGAAATCGAAACTCGAAAAGTGAAAAAAATTGGAAAATTGAAAATCGGATAATTCAAAATTCGAAAAATCGAAACATCGAAAAATTCAAAAACTGAAACATCGAAAAATCAAAAAATCGAGAAATCAAGGAGTAGAAAAGTCGAGAAGTCAAAATATCGAAAAAAAAAACAAGAAACCGAAATAGGCCAAAACCGAAAAATTCAAAAGTTACAAATGGAAAAATTGATAAATGGAGAGATTGAACAATCAAAACATCCGAATCTCGATAAATCGAGATCTCAAAAAATTTAAAAATTCGGGCAATTGAAAAATTAAAATATAGAAGAACTGAAAATCCAAAAAATTAAAATTCGAAAAATCGAAAAATCCGGAAGTCGAAAAGTCGGAGAATCAAAATATTGGAAAATCCCAAAACTGAAAGAAATATCCAAAAATTGAGAAATTAAAAACCTAAAAAATTGAGAAATAGAAAAAACAAAAAAATCAAAGTCGAAAAATCAAAGAATTGATGAACTGAAAAATCGAAATTTCGAGAAGTCGAGAAATCGGAAAATCAAAAATAAATTAATTGAGAAATCGGAAAACTGAAAATTTAGCAACGTCAAAATTTGAAAAATTGAAAAATATAAATACTGAAAAACTGAAAAATCAAAAAATCGCCAAATTGAGAAATCCAAAGTCCAGAATTTAAAAAATTGAAAAATCGAAAAGTCGCACAACTGAAAAATCAGAGCATCGGAGAATTGGAAAATCGAAAAATTGAAAAGCCCAAAAGTAAAAAATCGAAAAACCGAGAAATCCAAAAATCGAAAGAACGAAAAATTCAAAAATTGAGACATTGAAAATTTGAAAAATCAGAGGATCGAGAAATCGAGGAATGGAAAGCCGTGAAGAAAAGTTAAAAATTGAAAAATTGATAAATCCAGAAACTGAACAATCAAAACATCGAAACATCTGAATTCGATAAATCGAGAAATCAGAAAATTTTAAAAAAGAGAGATTGGAAAAATCGAAAATTTAAAAATTCGGAACATTGAAAAAAGAACTGAAAATTCGAGAAATCGAAAAACCTAGAATTTTAAAAATTGAAAAATTAAAGCATCGTGAAGTTGAAAAATTGAGAAATCGAAGTATAAAACAGTCGAAATTGAAAAATCTAAATTCTAACGAAAAATTGACAATTTTAAAAATAAAAAATCGAGAATTCAAAGAATCCAGGAGTCCAAAAATATTGAAAAATCTCAAAACTGAAAGAAATATCAAAAAAATTGGAAAAGTGAGAATCGAAAAACTAAAAGATTGAAAAATTGAAAAGTCAAAGACCTGAAAAATTGAACTGATGACGATGAACATCCGTGTTTTAATAAGATGACGGAGGCGGTGAAGAAGATCGTCAAAGTTGACACCACGACGAGCGTACCAAGTGGTACTGGAGATATTTTTAGTTGAATTGAGGTGTGGTAACGTTGTGGTTGCAGACTGTCTGACTTGGATCAAGGAGGAGGCGCAGCGTAAAGGGTACTACACGTACCAGGGGTCGTTAAACACGGAGCCGTACACCGAGAGCGTCACGTGGATTCTTTACACCACGCCGATACACGTGTCCAGGCAGCAGGTACTACTCAATTCTAGTACGAATAGATGTGGAACTACTTGGTGTTTATGTAGGTTTCAGAATTCCGAAATATGAAATCAACAGCTTGCGAGCAACACAACATCGTGAAAAACGTACGACCAATCCAGACACCTCCAGTCCATAAAAAACTTGATATCATCTACGCCAGATCGCACCGAAAATCCAGCGAATAAAATTTCGCTACTTATCTATATTTACAATAAAACACAAGTTTTTATTTATTTATTACAGCTGTAAAAAATATGATGACACATATAAAAGAATAAACACTATATCCTGTTTATTTGACTTCTTTTCGTTCTACAAGATCTTCTATCTTTGGTGGTTCGCCACCACAAGATTCTGTTTCTGGTTTTTTGACCGGTTCTGGACCGTCGTGTGGAAACTGGGATTGGATAACATCTACGGTAGGATACGGTACCACGCACTCGAAAGATTCCAAGGTGTCGACAAGAGCATCTACCGCATGCCCCAAACACGAGTAAACTATAAGGTACTGATTATATTGGTAATCTTCCTCTTCTGCCTTCAACAGAACCACATCTTCACCTGGTTTGAACTCCTCATCCGGTTCATTCTCCGCAACATATTGAAAATCCTCACCATATGGGTTAAAACTCACGATGGACACTTCTTTCCTGACCAACTTTTCTTTAGACTGTTTGCTCCTCTTCCCGGAGGGTATCGAGCTTTTTTTACTAGATTTAGACTTTTTGTCGTCTTTTTTCTTCTTTTTACCTTTGTCACCTTTCTTCTTCGTTTTATCCTCTTTGTCGCCCTTTTTCGGCAGCGGCTTGTTGAAATAAGCGACGTAAGTAGCCTCCACGTCCTCGCTCGGGATATCTCTCAACTTCTTCGGTTTCTTATTCGTTTCAAACGGGTAAAAGTCGTCATACTCGTGCGCAGGAACGTAGTTGTGCTCGAAGTATTCGTAGACCTTGCGCTCCGGGTACGCACTTAAAGCAACTAGTTTATTTTTGGCAACTGGATAAAAACTCGTTTTTGGAATATTTTTTCGGATTTCGAGATCACTCAACTCGTGACACATTTTGTTAAAGTAGGCGCCCAGTACGTGGAAACAAGCGGCGAATTTTTCCCGGTTCGTGTTAATAATGACGCGGGAGTCGAATTTTCGCAACGTTTGAAGTTGTAGCTGGTTGGAGTACTCGTATGGTTGTTCAGGTCTAAGCTCTTTGGTTTCTGTTATTTCAGGCTCTTTTTCAGACGACTCGCTTTTTTTCGCCTTTTTGCCCTTTTTTGACTTACTGCTCTTTGACGACTTGTTGCCTTTCTTCTCTTCCTTCGACTGCTTGGTCGCACCCGCAGGCTTCTCTTTTAGTTCCTTTTCTATTCTTAGTAGCTTGTCTAATATAGCAGACAGGATTTTCTCGCCGTACATCGTCACGTCTTTCTCATGGGTCAACATCTGCAGCTGCTTGATGGAATAATTCCACCCACAAGCGCAATCGTCAATCTTCACACTATCATAAATGAGTTTCATATAAAACAGTCGATAAATTGAAAAACCTAGAGAAAAATTGGAAATCCAAAAAGTAAAAAGTCGAAAAATCGAAAAGTCAAAATACTAAAAAATCCCAAAATTGAAATATCGAAAAATTCAAAAATTGAAGAAAAATTGAAGAATCGAAAAACTGAAAAATTACAAAATGTATCACACGAAATATCCAAAAATTGGGAAATTAAAAAATTAAAAAATTGAAAAATTGGGAAATGGAAAAATCAAAAAATCAAAGTCGAAAAATCGTAAAGAAGAACTGAAGAACTGAAAAATCGAAACTTTGGGAAGTCGAGAAATGGAAAAATCAAAAAATAGATTAATTGAGAAATCGGAAAACTGAAAATTCGGGAACGTGAAAATTTGAAACATTAAAATATATTGAAGAACTGAAAAATATAAAATTTAAAACAGTGAAAAATTAAAATATCGTAAAATTGAAAAATGGAGAAATCCAAACATCAAAAAGTCAAAAAAATAAAAATTCGAAAATAAAATTTAAAAATCGAAAAACTGAAAAATCATCAAATTCAATTGGAAAATTGAAAAATCGGATAATTCAAAAATCGAAACATGGAAAAATCGAAAAGCCAAATAGTAAAAAATGGAAAAACCGACAAATCAAAAAATCGAAACATCGAAAAATTCAACAACTGAGACATGGAGAAATTGAAAAATCAAGATATCGAGAAATCGAGGAGTCGAGAAGTCGAGAAGTCGAAATAGGCCAAAGTCGAAGAACTAATAAGTCGAAACTTCGAGAAGTCGAGAAATGGAAAAATTAAAAATAGATTAAATGAGAAATCGGAAAACTGAAAATTTAGCAGCGTCAAAATTTGAAAAATTGAAAAATAGAAAGACTGAACAACTGGAATCGAAAAATCTAAAATTTAAAACATCAAAAAATCAAAAAATAAAATTTCGAAAATCTAAAAGTTAAAAATCGAAAAACTAAAAAATCGCCAAATCGAGAAATCCAAACTTCAGACTTTAAAAAATTGAAAAATTGAAAAATCGCATAACTGAAAAATCGAAATATCCAAAAATTGGTAAATCGAAAAATTGAAAAGCCCGAAAGTAAAAAATAAAAAAACCGAGAAATCCAAAAATCGAAACATCGAAAAATTCTAAAACTGAGGTGATGATGATGATGGAGAGAAATCGAAAAATCAGAGGATCGAAAAATCCAGGAGTGGAAAGTCTAGAAGAAAAGTTAATAACTGAAAAATTAATAAATCGAGAAATTTTAAAAAAGAAAGATTGGAAAAATCAAAAATTTCAAAATTTGGAAAATTGAAAAATTGAAATATGTATAGAAGAACCGAAAACTCGAGAAATCGAAAATTTTAAAAATTGAAAAATGTAAAGTTGAAAAAACGAAAAATTGAAAATCCAAAAAGTAAAAAGTCGAAATACTAAAAAATCCCAAAACTGAAATATCGAAAAATGTATCACACGAAATATCCAAAAATTGGGAAATTAAAAAATTGACAAATTGGAAAATCGAAAAGTCAAAAAAGCAAAGTCGAAAAATCGCAAACTTAAAAAATCGAGAAAGTGAAGAATCAAGAACACTGAAAAATCGAAACTTGGGAAAATCGAGAAATGGGAAAATCAAAAAATAGATTAATTGGGAAAGCGGAAAACTGAAAGTTCGGAAACGTCAAAATTTGAAAAATTAAAATACATTGAAGACCTGAAAAATCTAAAATTTAAAACACTGAAAAATTAAAATATCGTAAAATGGAAAAATGGAAAAATCCAAACATCAAAAAATCAAAAAAATAAAAATTCGAAAATCTAAAATTTAAAAATCGAAAAACTGAAAGAACAACAAATCGAGAAATCGAAACTCGAAAAGTGAAAAAAATTGGAAAATTGAAAAATCGGATAATTCAAAATTCGAAAAATCGAAACATCGAAAAATTCAAAAACTGAAACATCGAAAAATCAAAAAATCGAGAAATCAAGGAGTAGAAAAGTCGAGAAGTCAAAATATCGAAAAAAAAAACAAGAAACCGAAATAGGCCAAAACCGAAAAATTCAAAAGTTACAAATGGAAAAATTGATAAATGGAGAGACTGAACAATCAAAACATCCGAATCTCGATAAATCGAGATCTCAAAAAATTTAAAAATTCGGGCAATTGAAAAATTAAAATATAGAAGAACTGAAAATCCAAAAAATTAAAATTCGAAAAATCGAAAAATCCGGAAGTCGAAAAGTCGAAAAGTCGGAGAATCAAAATATTGGAAAATCCCAAAACTGAAAGAAATATCCAAAAATTGAGAAATTAAAAAACTGGAAAATTGAGAAATAGAAAAAACAAAAAAATCAAAGTCGAAAAATCAAAGAATTGATGAACTGAAAAATCGAAACTTCGAGAAGTCGAGAAATGGGAAAATCAAAAATAGATTAATTGACAAATCGGAAAACTGAAAATTTAGCAACGTCAAAATTTGAAAAATTGAAAAATATAAATACTGAAAAACTGAAAAATCAAAAAATCGCCAAATTGAGAAATCGAAAGTCCAGAATTTAAAAAATTGAAAAATCGAAAAGTCGCACAACTGAAAAATCAGAGCATCGAAGAATTGGAAAATCGAAAAATTGAAAAGCCCAAAAGTAAAAAATCGAAAAACCGAGAAATCCAAAAATCGAAAGAACGAAAAATTCAAAAATTGAGACATTGAAAAATTGAAAAATCAGAGGATCGAGAAATCGAGGAGTGGAAAGCCGTGAAGAAAAGTTAAAAATTGAAAAATTGATAAATCGAGAAACTGAACAATCAAAACATCGAAACATCTGAATTCGATAAATCGAGAAATCAGAAAATTTTAAAAAAGAGAGATTGGAAAAATCGAAAATTTAAAAATTCGGAACATTGAAAAAAGAACTGAAAATTCGAGAAATCGAAAACCTAGAATTTTAAAAATTGAAAAATTAAAGCATCGTGAAGTTGAAAAATTGAGAAATCGAAGTATAAAACAGTCGAAATTGAAAAATCTAAATTCTAACGAAAAATTGACAATTCTAAAAATAAAAAATCGAGAATTCAAAGAATCCAGGAGTCCAAAAATATTGAAAAATCCCAAAACTGAAAGAAATATCAAAAAAATTGGAAAAGTGAGAATCGAAAAACTAAAAGATCGAAAAATTGAAAAGTCAAAGACCTGAAAAATTGAACTGATGACGATGAACATCCGTGTTTTAATAAGATGACGGAGGCGATGAAGAAGATCGTCAAAGTTGACACCACGACGAGCGTACCGAGTGATACTAGAGATATTTTTAGTTGAGTTGAGGTGTGGTAACGTTGTGGTTGCAGACTGTCTGACTTGGATCAAAGAGGAGGCGCAGTGTAAAGGGTACTACACGTACCAGGGGTCGTTAACCACGGAGCCGTACACCGAGAGCGTCACGTGGATTCTTTACACCACGCCGATACACGTGTCCAGGCAGCAGGTACTACTCAATTCTAGCACGAATAGATATGGAACTACTTGGTGTTTACGTAGGTTTCAGAATTCCGGAAGATGAAATCAACGGCTTGCGAGCAACACAACATCGTTAAAAACGTACGACCAATCCAGACACCCCCAGTCCATAAAAAACTCGATATCATCTACGCCAGATCGCACCGAAAATCCAGCGAATAAAATTTCGCTATTTATCTATATTTACAATAAAACACAAGTTTTTATTTATTTATTATTTATACAGCTGTAAAAAATATGATGAAATACATATAAAACAATAAACACTATATCCTGTTTATTTGACTTCTTTTCGTTCTACAAGATCTTCAATCTTTGGTGGTTCGCCACCACAAGATTCTGTTTCTGTTTTTTTGACCGGTTCTGGACCGTCGTGTGGAAACTGGGATTGGATAACATCTATGGTAGGATACGGTACCACGCACTCGAAAGATTCTAAGGTGTCGACAAGAGCATCTACCGCATGCCCCAAACACGAGTAAACTATAAGGTACTGATTATACTGGTAATCTTCCTCTTCTGCCTTCAACAGAACCACATCTTCACCTGGTTTGAACTCCTCCTCCGGTTCATTCTCCGCAACATATTGAAAATCCTCAGCATATGGGTTAAAACTCACGATGGACACTTCCTTCCTGACCAATTTTTCTTTAGACTGTTTGCCCTTCTTCCCGGAGGGTATCGAGCTTTTTTTACTAGATTTAGACTTTTTGTCGTCTTTTTTCTTCTTTTTACCTTTGTCACCTTTCTTCTTCGTTTTATCCTCTTTGTCGCCCTTTTTCGGCAGCGGCTTGTTGAAATAAGCGACGTAAGTAGCTTCCACGTCCTCGCTCGGGATATCTCTCAACTTCTTCGGTTTCTTATTCGTTTCAAACGGGTAATAGTCGTCATACTCGTGAGCAGGAACGTAGTTGTGCTCGAAGTATTCGTAGACCTTGCGCTCCGGGTACGCACTTAAATGAACTAGTTTATTTTTTGCAGCTGGATAAAAACTCGTTTTTGGAATATTTTTGCGGATTTCGAGATCACTCAACTCGTGACACATTTTGTTAAAGTAGGCGCCCAGTACGTGGAAACAAGCGGCGAATTTTTCCCGGTCCGTGTTAATAATGACGGGGGAGTCGAATTTTCGCAACGTGTTTTGAAGTTGTAATTGATTCGAGTATTCGTATGGCTGTTCAGGTCTAAGTTCTTTGGTTTCTGTTATTTCAGGCTCTTTTTCAGACGACTCGCTTTTTTTCGCCTTTTTGCCCTTTTTTGACTTACTGCTCTTTGACGACTTGCTGCCTTTCTTGTCTTCCTTCGACTGCTTAGTCGCACCCGCAGGCTTCTCTTTTAGTTCCTTTTCTATTCTTAGTAGCTTGTCTAATATAGCAGACAGGATTTTCTCGCCGTACATCGTCACGTCTTTCTCATGGGTCAACATCTGCAGCTGCTTGATGGAATAATTCCAACCACAAGTGCAATCGTCAATCTTCACACTGTCATAAATGAGCTTCAACTCTTCGACCATTTTTTCGTTGAACAGAAATAAAGGTCGCCCGTTGACTAAATTAGCAATTTCGAACAAGTGCGGTTCTCCATAATAGCACGTCACAGTTGGCGTTTCCGTGTACTTTACACTCTCCAACAACTCGTCTAAGATATCTTTCATGACGATATTTTTCGCCTCCATGTCTATATACTTGACAATCAAATCCACCTCCTTTTGGAGATTTTTGAAGTACGCGTAACTCTCCAGCACCAATATCACTTGATAGTCTTCACTCCACATTCTAGGAGCGGTAACCAACTCCCAGCTCTCCGAATAGTTTCCAGCATTTCTAGTTTTGAACCAGAAGGGAAGATTAACTCTAGTTCCAGGCAGCAGTACCAACTCCTGTCTGCTGAAGTAAAATCCGTGCTGTTCCCAGGGTTCGTTCGTGAAGTTTCGGAACAGTCGGAATTTTTCCAGTTTTTTCCAAGAGATTCTCAATGTGGCGGTACCGCGGTTTTCAAAATTGAGGAAGTCCACCATTATGTCGGAGGAGCAAATGTCGTACTCGAAGAAGAGTCGGAATTTCTTGATGCCTTCATGTTCGCAGAACTCCATCGGGATCCCGTTTATGTCCAGGCTTAATTTGTACTGGTGGAATAAACCGGAAGATGAACTCTGGATTTTTAATCGGTCTTCAACGGATGCCGCCTTTTCTGGTTCTTTTTGGTCGGGTTCTTGGGGTTCGCTGATTTTCGTGCCCACGACTGCTAGGTGTTCCATGTTTGGCCAGTGGGGTACGATGTTTTTGATTTGGTGGGACCATTTGTGCATTTGTTGTTGACGGTATTTGCCCTGTTGCCACTTCTTGTAGATGTTCCTGTGTAATGAAATTAGCACCTTAGTTAACTTTAGGTTTGGATTTTTAGCCACTTTTCTATATTGGTACCTAACCTTGAAGTATTCTTTTTCATTAACATATATTCATTTCAAGTGTCACGCGTCTATTATTTGACTGCAAATTGACCCCAGTTTAGGTCATCAAAACCGGCATACAAATTCATGTCTGAAGCCAACTTCAACCACATTATTAAAAAAATTTACGATTCTAATTTCTTATATTAGTTTTCATTATGCCAATTAAGAATAAACCGCAGTCAGGTGATTTAAATTCATGAAGTAATTTATTTGTACGTGATCGCAGCAAAAGTTATGTATTTCGTTGACTGTCAAACCATAAGATTCGATGAAAAACGGTGTAATCGAAAATGAATTAAATTAGAGTTGGCGTTGTCTCTATTAACATAATGGTAATTTCGACACAATTTTAAATTTTCTCAGTTAAAAACTCACTTTCTTAATTTAACTATGAAATTTTATTCTGGATTTTTTTTTTAATTGTAACCTCCAAAGTGTAGGCTATTTCTATCGGTCCACTTAATAATAAGTAAGGTTGGTTACACTGCTCTGCTTGCGTTTTTTGCTGAATACGGTTGACAGCGTCCAGATTTCATTAAAGTGTTTATAGGAAAAAATAAAAAAAAAAAACAATTTTACTTAAGGTTACTATGTACTTAAGTAACCCTGATTTTTACGTGTCATTGCATTCTAACCTCACTCAAGTTTTTGCCAGTGATTTTTAATTATTTTTTTTTCCTTTTTAATTTTTGAGTTTCTCATTTTTTAATATTTCGATTTACAATTTTTATCAATTCGACTTGCAAATTGTCGCGTTTTCAGATTTAAATTTTTCAGTTTTTCCATTTTTTTTAATTTTTTGATTTTATAATTCTTCAATTTTTCGTTAGTTATATATTTTAGTTCTTCATTTTTTTCTTTTTTCTGATTTATCAGTTTCTCAGTTTTTTATTTTTTGAATCTTGTTACAATTTTTGGATTTGCAATTTTTCGGGTTTTTAATTTTCCCATTTTCCAGCTTTTGAATTTTTCGATGTTCTGATGTTTCGTTTCTTTAATTTTTAGATTTTTTAGTTTCCCAAATTTGAATATTTGAGCCTTTCTATTTGCAATTTTTAATTTTTAATTTTTAGTTTTACAATTTTCCCATTTTTAGATATTTTAAATTTTTGTTTTTTCAATGCTTCAGTGTTTCAGTTTTTCGATTTTTTATGTTTGGACTTCTTTTCAATTTTTTGATGTTCTACTTTTTCATTTATTTAAATTTTCCATTTCTCAGTTTCTCACTTTATTTTTTGATTTTTCATTCTTCAACTTTCCGTTTTCCAATTTTTTGATCTTTCAAATTTTCTCGATTTTTTATTGTTTAACTTTTCAATTTTATAATTTTTAGAATTTTCAGATTCTTAATTTTGAATTTTTCGCTTCTTTCTTTTCTTTTTTTGGTTTACAATTTTTCATTTTTTCATTTCAATTTTTCGATCTTTCAACTTTTCAATTTTTCGTTTCCTCAATTTTTTGATTTCCAAATTTTCGATTTTTCAGTTTCTCGATTTTCAATTGTTTAACTTTTCAATTTTTCGATTTTTCAGTTTCTCAGTTTTTGATTTTTTGATTTGCAATTTTTCGATTTTTCAGTTTTTTGGTTTTTAATTTTTCAATTTTACGATTTACAATTTTCAATTTAATTTTTCGGCTTCACAATTTTTCTATATGTCAATTTTTGTGTATTTTAATTTTTTTTTCAATGTTTCAATTTTTCAATTTTTCCATTGCTTAATTTTTAAATATTTTAATCTTTCGTTTCTTCAATTTCTCTGTTTGCACTTTTTAGATTTTACCATTTTTCGAAGCGCTACTTTTTGTGTTTTTAAGTTTTCGCTTTTTCAATATTTCGATTTTTAATTTTTCGATTTTTCAATTTTTCGCTTTATCAGTTTTTAATATATTTTTTTTCGTTTCTTTAATTTTTCGATATGTAATTTGTCTGCTTTACAATTTGATAATTTTCGAGTTTCCCTTTTCGAAATTTTTCACATTCGCGATTTTACAATTTTTGAATTTTTCATTCAATTTTTTGGAAATTCAACTCTTCAATTTTCAAATTTTCTGCTTCTTCAATCTTGCGATTTGTAATTTTTCTATTTTCCAGTTTCTCAATTCTTAATTTTTCGTTTCTACAATATTTTCATTTTTAAATTTTACAATTTTACGTCTTTGCAATTTTTCGATACGTATTTTTTCTGTTTTACACACTTATTGAGTTTTTATTTTTGAGATTTTTCGATTTTTAGGTATTTTAATTTTTGCGTTATTCTAAATTTTTTCATTTTTGAATTTTTCATTAAATTTTTCGATTCCTCAGTTTTGCTTTTTTCAATTTTTGGATAATTCAAGTTTCTAATTTTCAAATTTTTTTATTCTTCAATTTTTAGATTTGCAATTTTTCGATTATTCAATTTTTAGATATTTTAATTTTTGGGTTAGTTCATTTTTTCGATTTTTCAGTTCTCGATTTTTAATTTTTCAGTTTTCAATTTTTCAAACAACAAATTTTGAATTCTCCATTCAATTTTTTGTTTTTTAAATTATTATTGATATTTTGAGGATTTTGGCGTTTTGAGGATTTGAGAATATTGGTGTTTTGAGAATTTGAGAATTTTGATGTTCTGAGGATTTGAGAATTATGGTGTTTTGAGGATATGAATATTATGGTGTATTGAGGATTTGAGGATTATTATGTATTGGGGATTTGAGGATTATGGCGTTCTGAAAATTTGCGTATTACGATGTTTTGAGGATTTGAAGATTTGAGGATTTAGGTGTTTTAAGAATTTGAGGATTTTGGTGTTCTGAGGACTTGAGGTTTATTATGTTTGAGTATTTGAGAATTATGGTGTTTTGAGATTTGAGGATTATGTTTTGAGGATTTGAGGAGAATGGGGTCTGAGGATTTGAGGATTATGGTGTTCTAAGGATTTGGAGATTATGGTGTTCTGAGGATTCAAGGATTATAGTGTTTTGAGAATTTAAGTATTACGGTGTTCTGAGGGTTTGAGGATTATGGTGTTTTGAGGATTCGAGGATTATGGTGTATTGAGGATTACCGTGTTCTAAGAATTTGAGTATTATGGTGTTTTGAGAAGGGGGAAATTGTTGTGTATTGAGGATTTGAGGATAACGGTGTTTTGAGGATTTCAGGATTATGGTTATTCGAGAATTTGAGTATTACGGTGTTTTGAGGATCTGAGGATTTTGGTGTTTTGAGAATTTGAGAATTATTGTGTTTTGAGGATTATGGTGTTTTGCGGATTTGAGGATTTTGATGTTTTGAGAATTTGAGGATTTTGGTGTTCTGAGAATTTGAGGGTTATGATGTTTTGAGGATTATGATGTTCTGAGGATTTGAAGATTATGGTGTTCTGAGAATTTGAATATTACGGTGTTTTGAGGATTTTAGGATTTTGGTGTTTTGAGGATTTGAGGATTATGGTGTATTGAGGATTATCGTGTTCTAAGAATTTGAGTATTATGGTGTTTTGAGAAGATGGGGATTGTTGTGTATTGAGGATTTGAGGATAACGGTGTTTTGAGCATTTCAGGATTATGGTTATCTGAGAATTTGAGTATTACGGTGTTTTGAGGATTTGAGGATTTTGGTGTTTTGAGAATTTGAGAATTATTATGTTTTGAGGATTATGGTGTTTTGCGGATTTGAGGATTTTGATGTTTTGAGAATTTGAGGATTTTGGTGTTCTGAGGATTTGAGGATTATGATGTTTTGAGGATTAGGGGATTTAGGTGTTTTGAGAATTTGCGGATTTTGAGGATCAGAGGATATTGTGTATGTGAGGATTTGGGGATTATGGTGTATTGAGGATTAGAAGATTATGGTATTCTGAGGATTTGAGGATTATGGTGCTCTGAGGATTTAAGGATTATGGTGTTCTGAGGATTCAAGGATCACGGTGTTCTGAGGATTTGAATATTTTGGTATATTGAGGGTTTGAGGATTATGGTGTTCTGAGGATTTGAGAATTATGATGTTTGGTTAAATTTTTTGCTTCTTCAGTTTTTCGATTTTTCAGTTTTTCGATTTGTGAGGTTCACAATTTTCTTTTTTCGTTGTTATATATTTTTATTTTTTAAATTATTGTTTTTTATTTTCCAATTTTTCCTATTTTCCTTTTTTCACTTTTTTGAGCAATTTTTGCAATACAACTTTTGATTTTCAATTTTTTGTTTTTAGTTTTATATTTTTCAAATTTTCGGTTTTTCAGTTTTGAATATCGCAAACACGGAGATTTTAAATTATTTTGGCTGATAACACTGCATTTCTACGCAAATATAATATTGCTCTGATATATTATAATACGTTCTATCGTCGAAACAAAAAATTGTAGATCAAAAAATTGAAAAATTTTGAAAATGAAAACTCGGAGAATGGCAAATAAAAGAAAAAGTAAAAACAAAAAATTAAAATATCAATCAAAAATTTGAAACGGTAAAAGTTTGAAAAATTAAAATTCAAAAATAGAACAATAATTGAAAAATTGTAAAATCCAAAATTTCAGTTCGAAAACTGAAAAAACGACAAATCAAAATATAAAAAAAATGAGAAACTGAAAAATCGAAAAACTCAAAAATGTAAATTAAAATGATCTAAAAATCGAAAAATCGACAAATTTTAAAACCAAAAATTTGAAAAATCAAAAATTGAAAAATATAAAGCTGAAAACGCGAGAAATTGCAAATCGAAGAATGATAAAATAAAAAAATTACATATCGAAAGATTGACTAACTGAAAAATCAAAAAAATGAAAAAACCAAAAACTGAAATATCTAAAAATTGAAAAATACTAAATCAATCGATAAACACACAACAAGCTAAGACAATATTATTTTAACAATCACCTGCTTCCATTCAAAATGTTCTTCCCATCCCGAACCGCGTCTGGTGTTCCCACCAACCGGACTTCCGGAACAACAAACTGTTCCGGTTTGCTTTTCACAAAGAAATACGTCGGCTCATTGCTGTAGCAGCAACACTTGACTTTCTTCACCTTCCTTCCACAATAACACTGACACCTCGCTTCCTCCTTCGCACAACACTCCATCCACCGTTTAGGCAAAGCCTCTGGAAGCTCGAAGAAGTCGGGCTTCCCCCGATACTTATCAAACTCGGTAGGTATCTTCACATACTCCAAAACCTCCTTCTCCTCCACCACTTGCCGAATCCCCTCCGCATAATTCATGACGAGATCCCCCGGCTTCCGGTCCAATTTCTGCCCAATCCGCCCTTGAACCTTCTCCCATTCCTTCTCCCACGTCGTCCATCCTTTCAGCACCCCTTCCTTGTCGCAAAAATCCGCGTTTTTGTCTCCTGACATGTCGCACTAGTGACAGCGTCACTCTGACTGGACTCACACTCACCAAATTTACCGTTTATCTCGATCAATGGCCAGCGGCTCCCCAGGATGTAAGTCCAAGTGTTCCCAACCGCAACTTGTAACCGTTATTTCAGTAGTGCCGTCCGCTCAAGAGGCCGCCCGATACATCCAGAACCTCGCAGACACCGAGCCCGTCTACGAATCCCCGATTAACATAAACATCGCGAAAACCATCGAGATCGAGCTGCCGCCACTAATCTGGCACAACCTGGAACTGCCCCCGAAAAAAATGAAAATCACTAACACGGGATACACATGTAAAGAAATGGGGTTGTTAACCGATGTATTATTTTTTCATAGGTTGCCCTCTTAGTAATACTGAGCGCCAAATGGCACCAGGAAAGGCCGTATATTTCCGAAGGACCGCTGCTTGGGAATTATGTTTTTTCACAGTTGCACTTTCACTGGGGGAAGAACGACTCGGAGGGGAGTGAGCACACGATTGATGGGGCGAAGTACCCGGTGGAAATGCACGCTGTGTTTTTTAAGGCTAATTATTTGACACAAGAGTCGGCCCTGAAGGAGAAGGACGGGATTGTGGTGCTGGTTTACATTTTTAAGGTTAGTTAGCTACAGGGTTTGAACTCCTACAGCCATATGTTTGCTAAAAATGCTAAAGATATATTTTTTTCAAGTTGTAGCATTAATATTAAAACACTAAAACTGTTTTTCCGGAATCGGCCCTTGAAATATCGAAATTTTTAGAAATTTTCAAAAATTCGCATTTCGTACCGATTCTTTCGAAAATTTTGTTCCGTGACCATCAACACGCTGTATTTTTGGAATCAGCAAGTCGAGATCTACGTTCCTGAATTTTTTCACAATTTTTAGAGAACTTTTTTAAAAGTGACATTTTTTCAATGGTCCCCCCTTCTTTAAATTTCGGCTAATTTTTGACATTTTCGAAAGTTAATGAAATACATTCTCTTGTAGATTTCGAACTCTAGAACGGGCTCGATTCTTTGCCAGCTGCAACCGTTTTTCCGGAATCGACCGCTGAAATATCGATATTTTTAGATATTTTCAAAAATTAGCGTTTCGTACCGATTCTTTCGAAAATTTTGCTTCGTGACCATCAACACGCTATATTTTTGGAATCAACATGTCGAGATCTACGTCCCTGAATTTTTTCACAATTTTTAGACAACTTTTTTAAAACTGAAATTTATTTCAATGGTCAATCAAATTTCGGCCAATTTTTGACATTTTCGAAACTTAACTAAATACATTTTCTTGTGGATTTCGGGTTCTAGAACTCACTTCCAACATCGTTTTTTTGATAAGTGCAACCGTTTTTCCAGAATGGACCGTTGAAATATCGAAATTTTTAGAAATTTTCAAAAATTCGGATTTCGTACCAATTCTTTCGAAAATGTTGCTCCGTGACCATCAACACGCTATATTTTTGGAATCAGCATGTCGAGATCTACGTTAATGATTTTTTTCACAATTTTTAAACAACTTTTTTAAAAGTGCCTTCTTCAAATTTCAGCCAATTTTTGACATTTTTGAAACTTTACTAAATTTATTTTTTTGCAGATTTCGAGTCTAGAACTCACTTCGGGTCGGTTTTTAAAATAGTTTGAAAGAATCTCGGGGGGCACTTATTGCTGGTTTTTGAAGTAGTTTGAAAAAAATTTAAGAACCCCTAATTTTGTTTTTGAAGTAGGTAGTTCGAAAGAATCTTAGGTATCCCTTGTACCTCGTTTTTGAAACAGTTTGAAAGAAAATTTGGGACTTCTTGTGTCTGATTTTTTAAGTAGTTTGAAAAAATTTTAAGGACTCCAGGTTTTGTTTTTGAAGTACACAGTAGTTCTAAAGAATCTTGGGATTCCATTGTCTTGTTTCTGAACTACTTTAAAAGAATTTTACGGATCCCTTGTGCCTGGATTTTGAAGTTTTTTGAAAGAATTTACAGGATCGCTTGTATTTTCTTTTTGAAGTAGTTTGAAAAAAATCTCGGGGATTCCTTGTGTCGGATATTTGAAGTAGTTCTCAAGAATGTTGGGGACCTGTTTCGTTTTTTAAGTACTTTGAAAGATTCTCAGTGACCTCTTGTGCTTGTTTTATGAAGTACTTTAAAAGAATCTCGGGGAGTCCTTTCATTTGGTTGTGAAGTAGTAGTAGTAGTAGAAATAATAATCTCAGGGAATCCTTATGCTTGGTTTTTGAAGTAGTTTGAAAAAATCTGTAGGACTTCTTGTATTTTGTTTTTGAAGTAGTTTGAAAGGATTTCAGGGACTTGTTTTGTTTTGCTTTTCAAGTAGTTTGAAGGAATTTCGGAGTCCTCTTATGTCCGATTTTTGAAATAGTTTGATAAAATCTCTGGGAGCATGTATGTCTGGTTTTGAAGCAGTTTGAAAAAATTATAAGGACCCCTGGTTTTGTTTATGAAGTAATTCTAAAGAATCATAGGATTCCCTTGTTTTTTTTTTAACTACTTTGAAAGAATTTTACGAATCCCTTTGTGTTTTGTTTTTGAAGTAGTTCTCAAGAATGTTGGGGACATGTTTTGTTTTGTGTATGAAGTACTTCGAAAGAATCTCAGGGATCTCTTGTGCTTGGTTTTTGAAATAGTTTGAAAGAATCACGGGGACCCCTTTTCTTTTGGTTTTGAAGTAATCTGAAATACTCTCGGGGATGCCTTATGCCTAGTTTTTGAAGTGGTTTGAAAGAACTGATTCCATGTACCTGGTTTTTGCAGTACAAAGTTGGAAAAAATATGAAAGACTTCTTGTGTCTGATTTTTGAAGTAGTTTGAAAGAATACCTGGAACCCATTTTGTTTAGGTTTTGAAATAATTTTTAAAAATCTCTACTACAAGTGTTTTGTTTTTGAAGTAATTTGAAAGAATTTCAGGAACTTGTCTTGTTTTGCTTTTCAAGTAGTTTGAAAGAGTTTCGGAGTCTACTTATGTCCGGTTTTTGAAATAGTTTGAAAGAATCTCGGGGAGCACTTATTTCTGATTTTTGAAGTACTTTTTTACGAATCCTTTGTGCCTGGTTTTTGAATTAGTTTGAAAGAATCTCGGGGATACCTTTTGTTTGGTTTTTGAAGTAGTTCTCAAGAATGTTGGGGACCTGCTTTATTTTGTTTTTGAAGTACTTTAAAAGAATTCTCTCTCCTTTCTTTTGGTTCTGAAGTAGTCTCAAAGAAGGGATTCCTTGTACCTGGTTTTTGAACTAGATAGTTTGAAAAAATCTGGAGGACCTATTGTGTTTTGTTTTTGAAGTAGTTTGAAAGGATTTCAGGGACCTGTTTTGTTTTGATTTTCAAGCAGTTTGAAGAAATTTCGGGGTCCTTTTATGTCCGGTTTTTGCAATAGTTTGAAAGAATCTCAGGGAGCATTTATGTCTGGTTTTTGAAGTAGTTTGAAAAAATTTTGAGGACCTCTAGTTTTATTTTTGAAGTAGGCAGTTCGAAATAATCTTGGATATCTCTTGTGCCTGGTTTTTGAAACAGTTTGAAAGAAAATCTGGGACTTCTTGTGTCTGATTGTTGAAGTAGTTTGAAAAAATTTTGAGCACCCCAGGTTTTGTTTTTGAAGTACAGAGCTCTAAAGAATCTTGGGATTCTATTGTCTTGATTTTGAACTACTTTAAAAGGAATTTTACGGATCATTTGTGCCTGGTTTTTGAAGTTGTCTGAAAGAATTTACAGGATCGCATATGTGTTTTGTTTTTGAAGTAGTTTGAAAGAATCTCGGGTATCCCTTTTGTTTTGTTTTTGAAGTACTTTGAACCCGGGGACTCCTTTCTTTTGGTTCTGAAGTAGTCTGAAATAATAACCCCGGGGACTCCTTATGCCTAGTTTTTGAAGTTGTTTGAAAGAAGGGATTCCTTGTACCTGGTTTTTGAACTAGATAGTTTGAAAAAATCTGGAGGACCTCTTGTCCTTTGTTTTTTGAAATAGTTTGAATGAATTTCAGGGATCTGTTTTGTTTTCTTTTCAAGTAGTTTGAAGAAATTTCGGAGTCCTCTTACGTCCGGTTTTTGGAATAGTTTGGAAGAATCTCAGGAAGCACTAATGTCTGGTTTTTGAGGACCTCTAGTTTTATTTTTGAAGTAGGCAGTTCGAAAGAATCTTGGGTATTCCTTGTGCCTGGTTTTTGAAACAGTTTGAAAGAAAACATGGGACTTCTTGTGTCCGGTTTTTGAAGTAGTTTGCAAAAATTTTGAGGACCCTAGGTTTAGTTTCTGAAGTTCACAGTTCTAAAGAATCTTGGGATTCCCTTGTCTTGTTTCTGAACTACACTAAAAGAATTTTACGGATCCTTTGTGGCTGGTTTTTGAAGTTGTTTGAAAGAATTTACAGGATCGCTTGTGATTTGTTTTTGAAGTAGTTTGAAAGAATCTCGGCGATCCCTTTTGTTTTTGTTTTTGTAGTAGTTCTCAATTTTGAAGTACTTTGAAAGAATCTCAGGGACGTCTTGTGCTTTATTTTTGAAGTAGTGTGAAAAAATCCCCGAGACTCCTTTTCTTTGGTTCTGAAGTAATCTGAAATAATCTCGGGAATTCCCTATGCTTAGTTTTTGAAGCAGTTTGAAAGAAGGGATTCCTTGTACCTGGTTTTTGTAGTAGTTTGAAAGTATCTCGGGAACCACTAGTGTTCTGTTTTTGAAGTAATTTGAAAGGATTTCAGGGACTTGTCTTGTTTTGCTTTTCAAGTAGTTTGAAAGAATTTCGGGGTCCTCTTATGTCCGGTTTTTGAAATAGTTTGAAAGAATCTCGGGGAGCACTTATCTCCGGTTTTTGAAGTAGAATCTAGGGGTATCCCTCATGCCTGGTTCTTCGAAACAGTTTGAAAGAAAATCCGGGGCTTCTTGTGTTTGGTTTTTGAAGTATTTTGGAAAAACTTTGAGGACCCCAGGTTTTGTTTTTAAAGTACACATATCTAAAGAATCTTGGGATTCCATTGTCTGGTTTTTGAACTACTTTAAAAGAATTTTATGGATCCTTTATGCCTGTTTTTTGAAGTTATTTGAAAGAATTTACAGGATCGCTTTTGTTTATGAAGTACTTTTAAAGAATCTCAGGGACCTTTTGTGCTTTGTTTTTGAAGTACTGTGAAAGAAATATTTCTTTTGGTTCTGAAGTAATTTGAAATAACAATCTCGGGGACTCCTTATGCCTAGTTTTTGAAGTAGTTTGAAAGAAGGGATTCCTTGTACTTGGTTTTTGAACCAGATAGTTTGAAAAAATCTGGAGGACCTCTTGTGTTTTGTTTTTGAAGTAGTTTGAAATGATTTCAAGGATCTGTTTTGTTTTGCTTTTCAAGTAGTTTGAAGGAATTTCGGGGTTCTGTTATGTCCGGTGTTTGAAATAGTTTGAAAGAATCTGAGAGAGCACGTCTGGTTTTTGAAGTAGTTTGAAAAATTTTTGAGAAATCCTGGTTCTGTTTTTGAAGTAGTTCTAAAGAATCTTGAGATTCCATTGTCTTGTGTTTGAACTTCTTTAAAAGAATTTTACGGCTCTTTTATGTCTGGTGTTTGAAGTAGTCTGAAAGAATCTCGGGAATCCCTTTAATTTATTTTTTTTGAAGTAGTTCTCAAGAATGTTGGGGACTTGTTTTGTTTTTAAAGTACTTTCAAAGAATCTCAGGGACCTCTTGTGCTTGATTTTTGAAATAGTTTGGAAGAATCCCTGAGATTCCTTTTTTTTTATTCTAAAGTAATCTGAAATAGTCTCGAGGATTCCTTATGCCTCTTATGTCCGGTTTTTGAAATAGTTTGAAAGAATCTCGGGGAGCACTTATCTCCGGTTTTTGAAGTAGTTTGAAAGAATTTCGCGAGTCATTTGTGTCTGGTTTTTGAAATAGTTTGATAGAATCTTGGGGACACTTTATGCCTGTTTTTTTCAAATAATTTGTAAGAATCTCGGGGACCCCTTTTGTTTTGGTTTTAAAGTAGTTTGAAAGAATTTTAGGTTTTTGAAGTACCTACCTAATTTGAAAAAATCTCGGGGACATCTTTTATTTTATTTTTGAAGTAGTAGAAGAATTTCGGAGATCGCTTGTCTAGTTTTTGAGGTAATTTGAAAAAATCTCAGAGTCCCGTAATCTATAGAATTTTTAGATGTATCAAAGGGATGGAAAAATATTGTTTGTGGTGTGGTGGTGTGGAGGGTGGGAAATTTTTTAACCTTTGCAACATTTCATTTCATTGTATTAAGTATTATGTACAGTGTGTCTCACTTCAAATAACAACGACTTTTTTTCTGTTAATAAAATTTCTTCATATTTCTAACCAAAAAAAAAACTCAAATTTATTTAGACAAAATTTCCCATACAATTCCTAAAACAAGTTCGGTTTTTCGCACAAATTACAAAATTTGACGTTCATTTCTATAAGATAAAATAAAAGTAAGAGTGAATGATTGAAACTGCAGGGAAAATAGAGTGCTTAAACCACTGTAGTGGATGTAGGTACAATTCCCGTCATAACTTCTACAAAATTAATTACAATTTGTGACATCTGGTACTTTAACGTTACACACATACCTTTATTTTTACTTGGAAGAGTTGTGGTAAAAAAAATAAAAATCGCAAAATCTAATCTTATAATTTTTCGCAAAATCTGGTTTCATTGTACTTCAGAGACGAAGGAAGTTCTGTCCAAATAACCTATTCGAATATTTTATTTACGTTTCAATACATGATATTACTGAGTCAAGGTTTCGAGACGAAAAAGTCGCCAGGACAATTATTTTGTCAGGTTGGCACCATATTTAAAATTTTGTGGTGGCACACCTACCTGTCAAATTGAAACCACGTTACCGTGCACGTTATCAAAACTGACAACCTTGAACTGTCACAGTAGCACTGCTGCCAATAACTTAGAACTGCCAACACTCAATCATTAATAGTCACTTACTTACCCCACCCAGCTGCAGAGCGGCAAAAACTCCGCCTTCCAAGTCCTCATCAATGACGTGCTCTCCGTCCAGAAAGCCCACTCGTCCCTAAAAATGAACCCTTTGCCCCTCCACCACTTCATGAAGAAATTCGAAAAAGACTACTTCCTATACTGGGGCTCAGTCACCACCACCGTCTGCCTGCACTACGTCCTGTGGCTGGTCTCCCGAGAACCTGTCGGGATTTCCACCGAACAGGTAACCCCAGCTCCCGGAATTCGCTCCCTAAATCTGTTTTAGGTGGAGGAGCTGCGCTCCATGCTGGACGCCAACGACGAACCCCTCCAGGGTAACTTCCGGGACGTCCAAACCGAACCCAGGAAAGTCTTTCACGCCTGTCCCTCGGGTTCAAAGTACGCGACTCTGCTAGCTTTGCCGTGAATGAAGACCGTTTAAACTGTATTTATCTCTCTTTATTTAGACATGTGTAAATTCTCTAATATGAAGTCTAATATATACACTATATTGCATTATACAATTCCTTTTTTGTACATAAATAAAGATTACATTAATCAGGTAGTGCTTCTCTTTTAAATACAAATTATGCTACATAGTAAGTGATTGTCACCTTCCTAATTTATAAACCGACGAACGCTAAAAAAATTGCAACAATAACCGGTGTACAATCCAAATCAATATTGCATTTCTAGTGGTAGTGTAGAACCAAATAAATCCAACATCAAACTTTTATTGTCCTAGTATCTCTTTTAATTACAAAAATCATTTTCACATTTGCAGATTAGAAAATATATACAAAAAAAAAAACATTAAATAGTAAAGTAACAACAATAGACTTATAGTCCCAATAAAAGTAACTACAATCTGTAATTTACAATGCGTCAAATTAAAAAAAATAATAATAAAGTAAGCGCACACAAGATGCTTCAAACTCATTCATATTGCACGGCAATCTAAAGAATATAAATACACGCAGCGAATACGTGCGAAGAAAATAATCACAGTTTGAAGTGACGACAATGTCATTATTCTCCCCGCAGACCGACTCTAGTTGCTGCAAAATTATAACTTACCTTAATGAATAAATTAATCTAACGACTTAATAAACGAACAACAATCTTCTATACAATAAATAATGCGAAATTAATTCTTCAAGCAAGATAAACTCGGATAAAATCGCTCAATTACCAAACACAGTGGATCATGATGAAAATAAAACGAATAAATTATCTTTTTGATCTACGTATGTACAAAAATTTTCTATAAGGTCGGGGAAACAACGGTATCAATTTGGTCCCTAACCCTAAGCCACTGTCCTCATTACGACACTATGTAACAAAATATATAAATGCACATTTATCCTACGTTATTCAAAGGTTATAGCTTATCAAACATAAAACTATGGAATGTATTTTTATAAAATGTGAGATAGGTAATGGCACTGCAAACAGTCTGCTTTAGTTCTGTTTTCTGTCAACGGTAAACAATATGTACATAAGAAACAGATTACCACCCAAATACACAAATGCTAAATAAATTAATTCATCCACTTTCGGCAATTCGGGGCTCCACACATGCAAGATATTTTGTGTTGGTCGTCTTCTATGTCGAACTTGTAGTCGTACGCCAGCTAAAACAAAATCGCGTTGTAGCACCCTCTCACTCCCACGATCGAAAACGTTTTGGCTCAGAGTTGGCCACAAAAACGTTTTCGCGCAAATCTCACCTCTTCGCCTCTTTGGATTCGTCGTTTCGCAAAAATAATGATGCGACAATCTCTGTCAACCTCGACGGTTTCTGCGACACAATTCGGATTGCAAGAGTGGTTGATGTACCTCGCTAAGCCTCCACAAAGAGTCGCATCAACCACTCGCTCTTCGTCTAATCTGAACATGTAAATCCCTCGGTTCTGCAAATAATTAAAAATATATCTACATCCGTTTCTCCGGCTCTAAGAAACACACCTTTGCTTCGTATTTTTTCTCTCGAGTTTCAGCGAGCTCAGTCCTAATTATTTCCCCAATATACTCAATAACCATAGTGTGTTTTTCTAAATCGCGCGCTGCGTACAAGCCTAGGCCTTGTATTTTTGACCTAAAATACATCTTTTTTTCAAAATAGCGGTACGCTTGATGTGTCTCATGTTTGTCACACCAGCACGACATGCTTAAATCGTACTTTTTCCAGAAATTAATCATATTGTGTCATGTTGTGCTCGTGCTGCGACATGGACGAAGGTACTTAAAGCATGCTATTATTTACTGCAAGAGCAGGTAGAAACCCCTCCGGACGAAGCTATCACCGACACGAAAAGTAGTTCACCGAAAAGTTCTACGTTTTAATCTTTATTTTTTTAATTAGATTTACATGTTTTTCAAAACAATAAAAAAATGGTTAGTAGAAAAAATCTATACTCACATGCATATATTTTGTTCAATCTGTTTTATAACAAACCGATCGGATTTTATTGAAACGTACTGTATTAAAATATTTTTCACTTTCGCATTTCAATTAGTTCAAAGTAAAAAAAATATACAGAATGTCCCACATCCCTCACGGCCGACCCGAACATATATTTTATTTTCAAATTAAACTTTAGCAAACTTTCCAAGGTCTACTGGATGCATTAAGTGTGTTATTTTTGTCGCAGTAAGAATGGTGTGCTAGATAGTTTTTAAATAGTAAATAATGAAAATAAGCGAAAAAGAAATACAACTTCATACATATTAACATAACCTAAAATATAAATTGTCATCACAGGATCTCGATTTTTTCCTAGTAACAGCTCCTTCGATCCCACAATAATTGCCACCAAAATAAATATACAATAATCATATACAACCGAAAATTGTGTAAAAGAATGTCAAAATAAGCTACCGAAGACAAATAATACGATGCAAATCTACACAGGCATTATTCGAGGAGTACTGACCTGGCCAAATAAACGTTATTCCGCCACTCCTGCTTCATTTTCTTGTATTGGGAACTTTTTGAGTGCACGAACTGCTTGGTATAGGGACAAGCGCCCTCTGCTAGCGTGTTATTATTAGTCATGGCCGGGGTTGGCCCGAAAAGGGGTCTAACGGACGACCCGCTTGTACGCTGCGTGTGCGGTCTTTTCCAGTGGAGTTGGCTTCTGGATCTTGGTTCGGTTCTCGCGGATCCCGAGGGATTTATCGCTAATGGAAGTTCCAATAGTGGATTTCTGCCGTACTTGAATTTGTAGTCAGTCAAAGTTTCGATTCCTGGAAATTGAGCGTTAGATGGTGGTGCGTGGAATTTTCGCGGGGGCCCACACTCAAGTTTGACGAAAAAGTAGGGAAAGTGGGGATAGAAATGGGTGAAATGAGGGATAGAGTGTTGAATGCAGATGCTCGTCCTAATTAGACTACAAAACGTTATAGCACTCTATCGTTGCGAAATAGAAAGTGTTACGAGTAAGATTGATAGATAAATAGATTAAAATTTTTGAGTATTTTTTAAATTTTAGGATTTCTCAGTTTTTTTAATTTACCAATGTTTAATTTTTCAAAGAAACAGCGTGTTATAATGTTTACGCAGGCGGTGGTCCAAAATACTGGATCAACTTGAAAAATTTATGTTTTTTACAATTTGTCAAAATTTTGGCTGTAATAAATTTATTTTTGTCGAAAAATTGAAAACATGAAATAATCAAACTCGAAAATTTGCAAAACTGAAAAAACGAAATACTGGAGAATGGAAAAATTAAAAGGAAAAAATAAAAAATTGAAAAGTCCAAAAATTATAAAAGTGAAAAATCGAAAATCTACAATTTGAAAATTTAGAAAAATTGAGGAAATGATGAACTGAATAATCGAAAAATTGAACAAATGAGAAGGTAAACAATTCAAAAGTTGAAAATTCGAAGAAACGGAAATGTGAAAAGTCGAAAAATTGCAAACTGAAAAATTCTAAAGTTAAAAAATCGAAAATAAAAACGGCAAACCCGAAAAATTGAAGAAAAGAAAAAATTAAAAATTTTAAAACTTAAAATTGGGAAACTGAAAAATGGAAAAAATGAAAAACAAGTGAAAAACGGTAAAATTGAAATTAAAAATTGGAAAACTGAAAAATGTGAATGAAACGAAACGAAAAACAGGAAAATAAAAAAAAAATTAAACGAAAAAGTAAAAAATCAGTAGAATTGAAGAAACAGAAAATTGAAAAATTGAAGAAACGATAAACTGAAGAAATAAAAAACCGAAAATGGAAAAATAAAGGTAAAACGCGAAAAATTGGAAATCGACAAGTTGAAGAATTGAAGATACGAACATTTGAAAAATCGAAAAATTGAAACGCTAAATTGAATAATAGAAAAATTGAAGAAACAAAAAAGTGGAAAATTCAAAAGTTGAAAAATTGTAGAAATGAAAAAATGAAAATCCGAAAAATTGCAAATCGAAAAATTAAAAATTGAGAAACTGAAAAATTAGACACTAAAAAATGAAAAAATTAAAAAGTGAAAACTGAAAATTGCAAATCGCCAAACTGAAGAAAAGCTTAAAATTGAAAAAATTGAAGGATTGAAAAATTGAAGCAACGAAAATAGGAAAAATTTAAAAGTAAAAACTCGATAAATTCAAAATCGACAAAGAAGAAACGAAAAATTCAAAGGAAAAAGTGAAAATTTCACGTTTAAAAAATGGAAATGAAAAAAAAAATGGAAAACTCCAAATTAACCAAGAAACGAAACACTGGAAAATGGAACTTGAAAAAATCGGAACACTTTAGATGGAAAAACTTCACGCCATAAAAGCAGAAAAATTTTAGAAACGAAAAATGGACAAATTTGAAAGTGAAATGTAAAAAAAAGGAAATCGACAAATTGAAAACCCGAAAATCTGAAGAAACAAAAAAGTGAAAGTCAAAATCTGAAGAACTAAGGACGAAAAATGGAAACATTTAATGGTGAAAATGGGAAAAATCGGAAATCAACAAATTGAAAAAACGGAGAATTGAAAAATCGAAAAGTTGAAGAAACATCGAAAAGAAAATAAAAACGAAAAAGTGAAAAATTTTCAAGTTGAAAAATCACAAAAATGGAAGAAACAAAAAACTAAAAATTGAGAAACCAAAAAGTCGAATAATTGAGAAATTGAAAAATGAAAAAGTAAAAAACGGAAAAATTGAAATTTCAAAAAATTAAAAAATTGGGAAACTGAAAAATTGAAGAAACGATAAACTGAAGAAACGAAAAATTGAAGAAATGAAAACTTGAAAAACCGAAAAATGGAAATGATAATTTGAATAATCGACCTACTAAACAATTGAAAAAGTGAAAAATTCAGAAGTTAAAAAATTGAAAGTAACGAAAATAAAAAATTTAGGAAACGAAAAATTGAAAAAAATTAAAAGTGAATCTCGAAAAAATTGGCAATCAACAAATTGAAGAAACAAAAATGGAAAACTTAAAAGTGAAAATTCGAAAAATCGGAAATCAACAAACTGAAGAAACGAAAATTTGAAAAGAAGCAATGAAAATTGGGAAATTTGAAAATTGAAACGAAAAAGTGAAAAATTTGAAGGTCGAAAAATCACAAAAATTGAAGAAACAAAAAGTAAAAATTTAGAAACCGAAACATCGAAAAAATGAAAAATGAATAAACTGAAAATTCGAAAAATGAAAAACTGAGAAATTGAAAAATCGAAAAAGTAAAAAACGGAAACATTGGAAATTCAAAAAAACTAAAAATTGGGAAATTGAAAAATCTGAACGAAATGAAACAAAAACTGGAAAGTAAAAAATTTTAAAGGGAAGACTGAAAATGGTAGAAATGGTAAAATCAGTAGAATTGAACAAACGAAAAACTGAAGAATTGAAAAAACGATAAACTAAAGAAACGAAAAATTGAAGAAATCAAAGAGCTGAAAACTTGAAAAACCGAAAATGTACAAAAAAAAAAACAACCGAAAAACTCGAAAATTTGAAAATGAAAATTACAAATTTAGAAAGCGAAAAATTGAAAAAAATTAGAAATCCACAAACCTAAGAAACAAAAAAGTGAAATCCAAAATCCGAAAAACTGAAGAAAGAAAAATAGAAACATTCAAAGGTGAAAATTCGAAAACCGCAAACTGATGAAAAATGGAAGAAACGAAAAATTTAAAAGAAAATAAAAATTGAGAAATGAAAAATTGAAACCCAAAAGTGAAAAATTTTAAAGTTGAACATTCACAAAAATTGACGAAACAAAAAAGTAAAAGTTTGAGAAACCGAAAAATCGAAAGAATGAAAAACGGATAAACCGAAAATTAGAAAAATGAAAAACGAAAAAAATTGAAAATTTTAAAAATTAAAAAATGGGAATCTGAAAAATCTGAACGAAACGAAACACTGAAAAATAAAAAATTTTAAACGAAAAAGTGAAAAACAAGGTAGAAATCATAAAATCAGTAGAAAAATTAAAAAGTAAAAAATGCGAGAAATTGGAAATCGAGAAGTTGAAGAAATGATAAACTGAATAACCGAAAAACGGGAAAATTTGAAAAATCAAAAAATTAAAGAAATGAAACTGAAAAATTCAAAAGATGAAAAATTGAAGAAATGACAAATTGAAAAATTGCAAATCGATACAGTGAAGATACGAAAATTAAAAATTTAGAAACCGAAAAATGGAAAAAATAATAAGGAAATGAACAAATTGAAAGAACAAAAATTGAAAAAAAAACTATTCAAGAAACGAAAAATTGAATAATCAAAATATTGAATAAACAAAAATATGAAAAATTAAAAAGCTGAAAAACAAAAAATTGCAAAACAATAAATTGAAGACCCGAAAAATTGAACAATCGAAAAATTAAAGCGAAAAAGAGAAAAATTTTAAAGTCAAAAATTACAAAAATTGAAGAAACAAAAAAATAAAAATTGAGAAACCGAAAAATCGCAAAAATGAATAACGGATAAACTGAAAATTCAAAAAGTGAAAGACCGAAAAATTGAAAATTCAAAAAATTTAAAAACTAGGTAGAAATCGTAAAATCAATAGAATTGAAGAAACGAAAAACTGCAACATTGAAGAAACGAAAAATTGAAGAAATGAAAAAGCTCAAAGCTTGAAAACCGAAAAATTAAAAATAAAATATCCGAAAAATTGGAAAAATTGAAAATTTGAAACGATAATTTAAATAATCGAAAAATTGAAAAATGAAAAAGTGAAAAATTCAGAAGTTGAAAAATTGAAGATACAAAAATTAAATATGTATTTAGAAAGCTAAAATTGAAAAAATTAAAAGTGAAATCTCGATACAATTGGAAATTAACAAATTGAAGAAACATAAAAGTGAAAAAATTTGAAAAACTGAAGAAAGAAAAATGGAAACATTTAAGAGTGGAAATTAGAAAAATCGGAAATCCACAAATTGAAAAAATGGAGAATTGAAAAACCGAAAAATTAAGACGGAAAAGTGAAAAATCACAAAAATTAAAGAACCAAAAAAAGTAAAAATTGAAAAACGGATAAACTGAAAATTGGAAAAATGAGAAACGAAAAACTGAAAATTTTAAAAGTTAACAATTGGGAAACTTAAAATCTGAACGAAACGCAAAACTGGAAAATAAAAAAATTTAAACGAAAAAGTGAGAAATTGAAGAAACGAAAAATTGAAGAATAAAAACGGTGAAAACCGAAAATGGAAGAATTAAAAAGTGAAAAAACCGAAAAATTGAAGAAATGAAAATGTGAAAAATTCAAAGTTGAAAAATTGAAGATACGAAAATTAAAAATTTAGAAAGCGAAAAATTGAAAATAATTAAAAGTGAAATCTCGAAAAACTTGAAAATCAACAAACTGAAGAAACAAAAATTGAAAACAAAAAATAGAAGAACCGAAAATTTGAATAATTCAAAAATTTAAGAAATAAACATGTGAAAAATTCAAAAGTTGAAAAACGAAAAATTGCAAAACGATAAATCGAAGAAGCGAAAAATGGAAAAATCCAAAATTTAAAAATTGAGAAACTAAAAAATTGCAAAAATGAAAAACGGATAAACTGAAAATTCAAAAAGTGAAATACCGAAAAATTGAAAATTCAAAAAATTTAAAAACTAGGTAGAAATCGTAAATCAATAGAATTGAAGAAACGAAAAATCTCAAAGCTTGAAAACCGAAAAATTAAAAATAAAATATCCGAAAAATTGGAAAATTTGAAAAATCGAAAAATTGAAACGATAATTTGAAAAATCGAAAAATTGAAAAATGAAAGTGAAAAATTCAGAAGTTGAAAAATTGAAGATACAAAAATTAAATATGTATTTAGAAAGCTAAAATTGAAAAAAATTAAAAGTGAAATCTCGATAAAATTGGAAATCACCAATTTAAGAAACAAAAAAGTGAAATTAAAAATCTGAAAAACTGAAGAAAGGAAAATGGAAACATTTCAAGGTGGAAATTAGAAAAATCGGAAATCCACAAATTGAAAAAATGGAGAATTGAAAAACCGAAAAATTAAGACGGAAAAGTGAAAAATTTTAAAGTTGAAAAATCACAAAAATTGTAGAACCAAGAAAAGTAAAAATTGTAAAACGGACAAACTGAAAATTTAAAAAATTAAAAATTGGGAAACTGAAAAATCTGAACGAAACGAAAAACTGGAAAAATTTAAATGAAAAATTGAGAAATTGAAGAAACGAAAATTAAAAATTTAGAAAGCGAAAAATTGAAAATAATCAAAAGTGAAATCTCGAAAAACTTGAAAATCAACAAACTGAAGAAACAACAATTGAAAACAAAAAATAGAAGAACCGAAAATTTGAATAATCCAAAAATTTAAGAAATGAAAATGTGAAAAATTCAAAAGTTGAAAAACGAAAAATTGCAAAACGATAAATTGAAGAACCGAAAAATAGAAAAATCTAAAAATTAAAAAAATCGAAAAATAGAAAAAACGAAAAATGGAAAAAATCGAAAAAGTGAAGAAAAGGAAAAAATACAAAATTAATTTGAATATTCGAAAAATTGAAAGTCAAAAATGAAAAAAGTCGAAAAACTGAGAAATCGTAAAACCGAAAAAATGAATCGTTTAAAAATCCAAAAATCGGTGGTAATTAAAAAAAAGACGACAACCGCAGATAAACAAGACGAAAATAATGATATTCAAATTTGCGCCAGTTTAAATTTTCACATCGAGAAGCTTTGTTTTGATTGGTTGATAACTCTTTATGTCAATATGTATACATTTTTACATTTTTCAACGCGTTGTTTTTTGTTGCACACTTACATTAATGTAACACTTATAAAAATCCTTAAACAAAATTAGTGTGGGCCCCCGCCTCCCCCGACTCACCTGGAAGACTCTCTAGCACCCTCACGACCGCCGGCTCGGTCAACCCAAACAAATCCTCCCCGCTGACGAACTGCGGGAAAACCTGCACGCACTGATTCTCGCGCCTCATCGACGCAATCTGGTCCAAAATCCTGTGCCACAGCGCCTTCGGACTGCTATCCTTGAACTCCACATCATCGTCGACGCCCTCCTGGATCACAACCCGGAACTCCGGCTTGCCGAACGACTCGTGAATCGAACATATATATTTACACCGCTTATTCAAATGGCGCATGCTCCAATAAAACCGAATGATCTTGTACCCAATCGGATAAATAAAGTTTTGATTATGGAAATTTTGCAGTTGGTGCGGAAGCAGCTGCCCCACGCTCAGGAAAATCAAACTACCCACCCTCAACAGGTTATTCGTGTCCGAGTGGTGCATCACAGCCGCGACTTGCCGATTTTCGTCCCTATTGACGTACACCCGCCGGGACACCGAAAGTGTCGTCAGTTCGTTGTCTTTCTCGTTCTTAGGGACGTGCACCGTACAATAAGTGGTCTTGTTCTTGTAGAAGACGCAGCCGTCTTTCACTGCGCAAGTCAAGTGGTAGACGTTAGAGCACCGGGTTTTGAAGCACCGAATCGTGGCACCCAACTTATTGCAATGGACGCAGATCTGGGTGAGGCTCTGCTGGATGGCGTTTTCCAAATTCATGAGGGCCCCATTCACGGTTTCGTACACCCCATCGGACCACAAACCGCAATTCAAATGCACCCATTTGTCCACGTCGAAGTTCAACAACCGCGCAGGACCATCAGCCACCCCATCCCCAATTCCTTGACAGAACATACACCTGCGGAAATCCTCAGGCATTTTAATCGGGGTTACCGTGATCCCCATCCTGTACAACAACTCCATGGTCTCTTTATCGGTGGGCTTCTTGTGTTTGTGCGGGGGTTGCAGACACCCCGGCGTCCAACTCTTATACCTAACCCCCTTCCACACCCTCGGCGTCAAATGGGAGTCGTCGAACCTCTTCAACTTGATGGTTTCCCCCTGTTTCGTGAACAGCGAGTACGCTCTGATTTCGTTCACGTCCATGGGTTCGACTTCTCGCTTGAAATGGCGCAGATCCAAGTCGACGCCGTCCATGAAGTTCTTTTTGTGGTCGAGGGAGTCGATGAGGGGGCGCTTGCCTTTGAGGTCGTGCTTGTCTTTGTGGCAGAGGTGGTCGATGATGGCGGCGGCTTTGTCTTCGGGGATGGAGGGCGAGCGGTGCATTAGGGCGAACTGCATGTAGCAGGTCGTGCTGCAGAAGAAGAGCTCGTCGCCGTCGCTTAGGAGTTCGGAGTCTTTGGAGAGGAACGGGAGTTCGGAGACTTTCTTGCGTATCATGTTGTTGAGGATGACGACGTCGCAGTGCTTGCAGAATTTGGCGGCGCCGTTGAGGATGCTCTGGATGTCGATTGGAGCTGGAAAAAATTGGTTTGTTATTTGGGGGATTTTTGTTTTGTTTTGTTGACGGTGATGTTGGCTGCTCAGTTTTTAGTGATTTACAAAAAAATTCGGTCCAAATATACAAAATACCTCGTTTTAATAAAGAACACAAAGAAAAAATATCGAAAATTTACTCCCTTAATTATATTTATTGGTCTCAACATTTTCCTATTTTCACAAAATTTTAAAACGACGTATTCTATTAACCCAACAAACACCATAAAGGCATCTCTTTACTCAACATTCTTCGGTACCAAGTATACAAATTGTGGAAAAGATCCACAACCCGAAAAACAAATTCTAAAATATGCAAAATATTGCAGATATTAAAGTGCAAAAAAATTTTTGAAATATTTATGAAAAAAATGATCAAGTTCACTCGACAGTACTGTTTTTTTCTTTTAATTATGAAAAAAATTTCACTATTTTTTAAGCACAACTGAAAAATCAAGAACTTGAAAATTAAAAAAAAAAAAAATGGAATTTCAAAAGTTGAAAATTCGAAAAAATTAAAATTGCAACTTGGAAAAATTGAAAATTCGAAAAAGTACAAATTGAGAACCTGAAAAATCGAAAAAATTAAAAATCCCAAAGTTCAAAATATTAAAAATTCAAATGAAAGTGAAAAATTCGAAAATTAAAGAAGTCGAAAAAATACAAAAGAATGAAAAGGAAAAATTTTAAAGTGAAATTTCGAAAAATTGGAAATCGATACATTAAAGAAACGAAAAATAGAAGAAGCCAAAGATTTAAAATTCGAAATATGAAAAATTGAGACACTGAAAAATCTAAAAAACCAAAACTGGAAAAATCTTAAGCTGAAAATATTAAAAACTGAAAAAGTGGAAAATCGAAAAAATGAAAGACAAAAAAACTGAAGAAAAAAAAAGTGAAAAACTAAAAAATCGGAAAATGACAAAATCGAAAAAAAAACAGAAAAATGGAAGAAACAAAACACTGAAAAATGTAAAAAACCGAAATCTCGAAAAATTGGAAATCGATATTTTGAAGAAACGCAAAAGTGAAAAATTCCAATTTTGAATAATCGAAAAACTGAAAATTCGAAAAATTGAAAGCTTTAAAAATTGCAGACACAAAACACTGAACAACTGAAAATCAAAAACTGAGAAGCTACAAAATTGAAAAAACGAAAAGTGAAGAAACGATAAATAAAAAAATGTCGAAAAATGGCAAATCAATAAATTGAAGAATCAAAAAGTGATACATCCAAAAAATGAAAAATCAAAAAATTGAGGAAACAAAAATTGAAATCTCGGAAAATTGAAGAAACAAAGTGGAAGACGAAAATGTAAAAGACTCAAAAGTTGAAAAATAGGACAATGTATAATCGAAAAATTGCAAATCGAGAAACTAAATCGAAATGAAAAAATCAAGAAACAACAAAGTGAAAAATTGGAGAAAAGAAAAATTGAAAAATTCAAAAGGTGAAAAATTGAACGACTGAAAAATTGTAAAATTGAAAAAGAAAACAGAAAAATTGAAGAAACAAAACACTGAAAAATTTAGAACTGAAATTTCCGAAATTTGGAAATCGAAATTTTAAAGTAACGCAAAAGTGAAAAATTCAAATTTTGAATAATCGAAAAACTGCAAAATTGAAAAAACAAAAATTGAAAACTTTAAAAATTAAGAGGCGATAAACGGAACACTGAACAACTAAAAATTAAAAATTGTGAAACTGAAAAATCGAAAAAACCAAAAATAAAAAAGGGAAATTTGGAAAAATTAAAAATTGAACAGTCGAAAAAGTAAACATCGAAAAACTGAAAATCGAAAAATCCACACATTCAATGAAAAATTGAAGCTAAAAGTGGAAAATTCAAAAATTGAAGAACTGAAAAATCGTAAAATTGAAAAAAACAAAAATTAAAGTAACAAACACAGAAAAATTTAAAACCTGAATTTCTAAAAAAAATCAAAGATTGAGATACTGAAAAATCGAAAAAACCAAGAATGGAAAAATCGTAAGTTGGAAAAATTAAAAACTGAAAAAGTGGAAAATCGAAAAAGGGAATAACGAAAAACTGAAGACAAAAAAAGTGAAAAATTCAAAAGTTGAAAAATTGAAAAATCGGAAAATGTCAAAATCGAACAATTAAAAATTGGGAAATTGAAGAAACGGAAATTTGAACACTCGAAAAAGTAGAAATTGAGAAACTGAAAATCGACCAATTCAATCATGTAAAATTGAAGAAAAGGAAAAGTGGAAAATTCAAAACGTGAAAAATCGAAAAATTTGAAAATGGAAAAATCGAAAAATTAAAGCGAAAAAGTGGAAAATTCAAAAATTCAAGAACTAGAAAATTACAAATACAAAAGAAAAAACAAAAAAAAAAACTGAAGAAACGAAAGACAGAAAAATTTAAAACTTAATAAAAACTGGAAATTTTGAAGAAAAGCAAATGCGGAAAATTCAAGTTTTGAATACTCGAAAAGCTAAAAAAAACAAAAATTGGAAAGTTCAAAAATTAAGAGTCGATAAATTGAAGAAACTGAAAAATTGAAAAAAAAAAATGGAAAAATCTTAAATTGGAAAAATTGAAAATTGTTAAAAATTAAAAAATCGAAAAATGGTAAAATCGAAAATTGAAGCGAAAAAGTGGAAAATTAAAAAATTGAAGAATTGGAAAATTGTAAAATCGAAAAAAAGCAGAAACGTTGAAGAAACGAAACACTGAACAACTAAAAATTAAAAATTGAGAAGCTGAAAAATTGAAAAATCGAAAAGTGAAGAAACGAAAAAGTAATAAATTCAAAACATGAAAAATAAAAAAAAATGAGGAAACAAAAATTGAAAAATCGGAAAATTGAAGAAATAAACTGGAAAACTTAAACATTGAAATGAAAATGTGAAAGACCCAAAAGTTAAAAAATTGGAAAATGTAGAATCGGAAAACTGAAAAAACGAAAAATCGACAAGTTCAATGATAAAAAATTTAAGAAAAAAAGTGAAAAATTCAAATGGTGAAAAATTGACGAATCGGAAAGTGGTATAATCGAAAAATTGAAGCGAAAAGTGGAAAATTAAAAAATTGAACTGAAAAATTTAATGCTGAAATTTCGAAAAATTGGAAATCGATGATTTGAAGAAACGCAAAAGTGAAGAATTCGAATTTTGAATAATCGAAAAATTGAAAAATCAAAAAGTGAAGAAACGATAAATAAAAAAAAAAAAGTGAAAAAGTCGAAAATGGCAAATCAATAAACTGAAGAATCGAAAAAGTGATAAATGCAAAAGATGAAAAATTCAAAAATTAAGGAAGCAAAAATTTTAAAAATAGGAAAACGTGAAATCGAAAAACTGAATGAAAAAGTGGATATTTGAAACGAAAAAGTGAAAAATTAAAAAAATTAAAAACCGACAAATTCAATGATGAAAAATTGTAGAAAAGAAGGACAGAAAAATTCAAAAGGTGAAAAACTGAAAAATCAGAAAACGGTAAAATAACAAAATTGGAAAGAAAAGTGGAAAATTCAAATGTCGAAAAAGTGGAGACTTGTAAAATCGAAAAGAAAAAACAGCATAACTGAAGAAACAAAACACTGAAAAATTTAGAATTTGAATAATCCAAAAATTGAAAACTTAAACTTAAAAATTAAGAGTCGATAAATTGAAGAAGCGAAACACTGAACAACCAAGAATCAAAAATTCAGACGCTGAAAAACCGAAACAGTAAAAAATGGAAAAAAACGAAAAATTGGAAGATCTGAAAATTAAAAATTGAAAAATCAGAAAACTGAAGACATTAACTGAAAAACCTAAAAATTGAATAATCGAAATGAAAAAATGGAAAATTGAAACAAAAAAGTAAAAAATTATAAAAACGAAAAATGATAAAATCGAAAAATTGTAAGATCCGAAAATCAAAAATTGAAGATACGAAAAACTGAAAAATTCACAAGTTGAAAAATCGGACTATTAAAAAAAGAGAAAAATCGAAAAATCTAGGAAGAGAAAATAAAAAAAAAATTAAAAGTGAAAAGTGAAGAATTGAAAAATTGAAAAACAAAAATTGAATAATCGAAAAAGTGAAAAATTCAAGCTCAAAAATCGAAAAACTGGAGAAATGAAAAATTCAAAGTTGGAAATTCGATACATTAAAGAAAAAGCGAAAAATCGAAAAACGAAAGGAACGAAAAATGGAAAAATTTAAAAGTTAAAAACTTCAAAAATTGGAAATGAAAAATTGAAGAAACGAAAAATTGAATAATTGAGAAATTGAAGAAACGAAAAGCTGAAAAATTGTAAAACCGAAACAATGTAGAAACGGAAAAGTGAAACAATCAAAAGTTGAAAATGGAATAACTGGAAAAAAATTGAAAAATGTACAAGAGAAAAGTTGAGAAATTGCAAATCGATGAACTGAAGAAAAGAAAAATTGAAAAATGGGAAAATCTAAAGACTGTAAAAACGAAAAATGAGATATTTTTGAACACCAAAAGGATTATGTATTATCATTTGAAAAAAATCTTTTAAAGATGAATATTTTTTTCCGTTAATAAACATTATTATTAAGACCCACCACTGACCCGGAAATGACGGCATTCAGGCAAGACTTCTATCATTACGGGTACTAAGACCAAGTAATGATATGCATTGTTTATTATTAATAGAAAAAAGAAAGTTGTATTAACTTTTATTACAATTATTATGTTGATATGAGGAAAAGAAAAAAATCAAGAACCTGAAAATTCTAAATTCAAAAAAATTTAAAAATATATACATACAATCAAAAGTTGAAAAAATTGTATTATTACGTTATACTCAATCATGTTTTTTATATTTTGGTAACCTAAACGTTTACTATTTGAAAACATTTTTTTCAGAAATAAAAAATGAAAACGGAAGATAATTTACTAAAACTCTTTTTTTATTATTGTTATTTCATGACATTCTCACTATTGTTTGTTAACACCTTACTTACAACAATTTAATTATTTTAAACGTACTAAAGTGATTATACTTTTGTAAACTATTTTGTATCTGAAAAATAACTGTATTCATGATTCAACTGCAAAATTTTATTGCAAGATTAATTTCATCGTTAAATTGGATTATAATCGTTAATTTGTTTTTTTTTTGTCAATAGATTATTGTTTGTTTTTGGTATTTATTTTAATTTTTCTATGGTCATTTCTGTAAAAATTCTGATTTTATCATTATTTCTTATTAACTGTTGGGCGAAAACCATTGAACGAAAATCGAGCAATATACCAACATACCCTTAAGCAAAAACCAAATGGCGCAACTCACTCAGTTCAAACGAACCTCACAGTTTAGCTACTCATCACGCCATCAACTCACCTCCTTCCTTCCCATCTTTGCCCTTCGTCCTATACAGCCCCAATTTCTGACTCGGCGGAGTACTCGTCCGCTCCACAATCTGGTAACTCGTAGGAGCCGGAATATGCAAAATGTTAGCCAAATCGCGCAAAACACCCATTATATCTTCAGCAGCCGACGACGTCAACGTTAACGTAACCGTCACATTCCCGGAATCCTTCAATGGTGCAGCAGACGTAGACCCAAATTTCGACTTCAAGCAAACCTCACGTCCCACGTTTTCTTTATCCTGAAAACACACACAGAGAAATCAGAAAAATCATACAACTCGTGTTTACCATAATCGCTACAACTTTCGTCAACTCGATTAAGCATTTATCAGTTTTTTTTTATGTTTTACGATAATGTGGCAAAAACTCACCTCTGTGTAATCCTTCAAGTACGGCCCCGTCGGCTTCAACCTGATCGGTATTGGCGCGACAATCGGAACAACCGGCGACAACCTCATCTTCGACATATCGTCGTCTTCCTCGTCATCATCCTCGTTAATCAGCTTAAGCCCTAGGAACTTATGAGGAGGTTCAGTAACGGGACATTCAGGAGAGGAACTACTAATGATAGAATCGGGGGAGTCCTCACGGCAGAACATATCGAACCTCTTCTCTTCCTCTGCGTCAAACTTAATGAGTGGAAACTCCTGGTCGTAGAAACCTCGTTGTGTGGACGCCGGCGGCTTCTCGGGCAGCGGCTCGTGGTCTCCGTACGGCTGCGTATTATAGAAATCGGAGTACCCAGGCATGTACGCATTCCCGTACTCCCCCTTCAGCTCCCCGAAGCGAGAATCGTAGTCGTTCGCCGCTAGCTTGCTCATGTCGCTCCCGAAAACCGGACATATGTTAAAATTGCGGTTCAACACGGGCTCGGAAACCACCATCGGGGGTAGCGTTCGCAACTGAGCCAACACCCCGTCGATGTAAGTATCGTAGTCTTCGTCAACTTTCGAGCTTTTCCGTGGCCGCTTCTTCGGCTGACCCACCGCTTCTTTGTTCATGATTTGGTTCTGGCGACGTTTTTGTTGGTACATCCGACGTTTCTGTTTTTTTAGTTCCTCTTTGTCTAGGAGCATCTTCTCGGTGATGGGGTCCAACGAATCGATTTCTTCTTTCATGGGTACGTCGGAACGACTCTGATCTGACACTTCCGAGTGCTGCGACGTCTCATCGACGATTTCTTTTTTGACTTCTTGTTGCAGGAGTGGTTGTTGGGGTTCTTTTTTAATGAGAGGGGGTGTCTGCAGGCTGGAGTCTTGGCTGCATGATGAGCGTGGAGTGGGGGGTGATAGTAAGTCGTCTCTGCTCGGGGTGCGGCTCGGTGGTAGGCACTTTTTAATATCGATGTGCAGCTGTTGGGTGGGCACTGGAGTGGGGGGTTGTTGGATCACGGGGCTTGACACAAACGACGTTTCGCGGCTCATTATAGGCGCCCTAGGTGGCGCTTTGGTTTGTGGTGGGGTCACCGATTCTTTGACTACTGGAGACAATATAGACGCTTTTAGTTGGTTTTCGAGACTAGAAGGGAACTGAGTTGACGACGCTACGGTTATGGAAGATGGCGCTGAAGTCGGCGGTGGCGTCTGGGTACTAGCACAAGCCGTATTTTGCAGCAGTTTCTTTAAGAGTGCATTCTGCGAATCGTCGTTTCTGCTAATAGGTGGCGTGGGGATCGTCGAGAACTTACACCCCGACTGCGACTGACCCGGTTCGGTTTTAATTTTATCCTCGCTAATTTCCATTGGTTCTACTTTCTCTTCCTTGATAGTTTCACTCAAAGTCTCTTCCAAACTCTTGTGTCGAATGACTTTGGTCAATTGGGTGTGCAACAAGTTAGTACCCGACGTCACAGTTTTAAAAACCGACGTACTAACCGAACTTGTCGTGTGTCCAAAAGTACTAGTTTGTAACATCGTTGTGGTCACCGGTGACACAACAACATTGGGTTGTGCTTGCACAAGCGACGTACTAAACCCAGATCGCGACAAACTAATCGAAGTACCCAATAAACTCGCCGCCGTGATCGTATCAGCACTGGTTTTAGTACTCGGTACTGCGGCCGGATGCGACTGTAACATCTCCGTCAAAGAACACGTCGTCTTCCGGGTTGTAGTTTCCGTAGTCTCGGACGTCGTAGTCACCGCTGGCTTTTGCACCGTATTCGTGGGCGTTAAAGTCACCGACGTCGCCGTCGAATTGACCGCAGTCACTCTCGGCAACTTCGGGTGTTCCGGCATTAACTGTATCCCTCCACTCCGCGCCGGCAAGAAATTAATCCCCGACGTCGTAATCTGCACACTCTGCGCCACCGTGCTCTGAATCGTAGTACTTTGGGTACGAATCGGCGGCACCACGGTCTTCGGTTTCACATTGGGTACTATCACAGTACTGGAACTGGCTTGTTGGATGACCCGTGACGTGACCACAGGCGCCGGCGTCACGACGGACCCAGTACTCACAACCTTGCTTTTTACGACGCTCTCCACGTTATTCGAGCTCGTCGCAGTCGTGGTATGCAACGACAACAAAGTTCGAAGTTGTTGCGACGCATTGGCCATGTTCGTCGTCAGGTCCGTGGGCTGAGAAAGCGGTGACAGTTGCGGAACGACCGACGGCTTTGTAATTTTAGTTTCGATTTTCGTCACAGGCACGCTCTCTTTAGTCGGTTCGGGTTCCACGCGACTGACTTTAGTAGTTTTTTGATAATCGGGAGCGTCATTAATTTTATCTTTGATGTTATCTTCGAGGACTGCGGGCGGTTCGGCCGTGATGTTTTCGATCATGTCGAGGACGTCTTCGAACGACTCGAACTCCCCGGGCATGCCGTTTCCGTCGCGACGACGATTCTCAAAAGCTTGAAGGGCTATATTATCTAGGATTTGTTCTTGCGATGGGGTTGGCGACGGTATTGAAATGACCACGGATTTCGTGTCGTCGCCTGTAGCACCCTCGAAGCCGTCTACGGTTTCGGCGCGAGCGGTGATCTGAATACCCGATTGTGGCTCTTGAATGACCTGCGCAGTCATTTTTAACTCCGGGGTACTATGAATAATCACAGGTGACGTGGTTTTCGCTATAATCGGGCTAGGCACTCTTTGGTTGTGTACTTTAATGCTAGTGACGTGCACGTTTTCGACTTTCTTAACGTCTGATTCGCTAGTCGTTTGTACTTTGACTTCCTCCTTGGTGGTTTCGTTCGAAGGGGCGGCTACCTCAGACACGGTTTTCACGGGCTCTTCGACAGGCACTCGCGTCGGTTCCGAAACCAACTTCAACGGACTCTGCTTGACGAAATCGGCAGGTGGAGAATCCGTCTTCGACTTTTCGTCCGACGAGTCCTTAGACTTGTCGTCTTCGCAGTTCGAACTATCCGGCGACACTGAGTCGTCTTCGAAGATCTTTTTGGGTAAGCAGGTGTCGTGCGTGGTTAACGAAATCGACGACGACGGTTTATCTATGACTTTGACGTTGGGTAGTTGTCTGACGGCGCTTGCGCTGATCACCGGCACGGTGAACCCTGAAGGCAAAATCGAAGCGATGGGTGACGTGTTGGCACTGACTATGGTAATCGCAGGAGACCCGCTGGTCACGAGTTTCGGCACACTCAGAACGTTGCTGCGCACCGCATTGTGTAGAATGATGTTAGTCAGCTTGGAGGTGGCAGTCGTGTTCACGAGTTTCGTGGTCTGGGCGACCACATCGGTCGACTTTTGTGCGTCGGTTCGTGAAATAGTCATCACTGGGGTGGTAATGAGTGAAAATTTCGGACCCAATTTTGAGGTTATCAAATTGGTGACCCTCGTGTTTGAGGCAGACGTTTCCGTTTTCGGCGGGAAACTATAAACATTTGCGGCGTATTTATGGATTTCGTTGATGTGTTTAGCCGTGATTACTTCCTGCTTCAACATTTTGTCCTTCCGGGACCCTTCGTCAATCAACTCTTCGAAATCTTCTTTGGTGGAAATCTGTTCATCGGGCGATTTAATCGAAGGGTCGATGATCACGATTTCTGATTCTTCGTAGTTGCTTATGGCGTCTTCGTCGCCTGCGTCGGGTGACGGGTCGGTGTGCATTTCCTCACCTTCGGGCGAATCCGTAGCTTCTAGAAGATGATTCGACGGTAATCGTCTGATATTGTACTTTTTTCCTTTGTTCTGCATGATGAACTCGTCGTCGCTGGTCGTGGGGCTTCGGATCACCACGTGCATGTTCTCCCCTCCGTAGTCTTCTTCTTCCGCTTCCTCTTTATCTGAATAATGAGTTTCGCCGTCCCCAGAAAGGTCCACGACCATGTTACCCGGGAAAAGTAAATACTCGTCTGCGATTTGGTCCGATTCGAGTGGACTAGACATAGCTTCCCCCAAATCGCTCTGCGAAAACGTCTCCATGACCCCGACGTCGTCCACATCGTTCTGCTGCGCAGCCGAACTCAACGACACCTCCCCCGAAATCACAGTATTGTTATCATCATCGTAGTCCATAATATCGTCACAGCGCAGTTGTTTTTCGTCCGGACTGTGCACTATAAGTACCTCTTTATTTTCCTCGGGGATTTTTTTCCCGATGGTTTTTTGCACGGCCGCCACTCGACTCGTCGACGTTAGGGCCATCGGGGGCGGCGTGACCGGGGGCGTGCACGAACTATCATCGAACTCGTTATAGTCGCTACTAACCAAAGATCCGACTTTACTCATCGCTAGTGATTGCAAATTCGTCTTCGCCGGCGACTTCCTCTTCAAAATCGAAACTTTACTCAAATGTGACTCTTTCTTTGGCTTGATCGGATTCGAAGATGTCGAAGATTCGGCTTTTTCGAGTTCTTTATTCGCTCCTGGGGGCGTCGGGATTCTCTTAGCACCTCGACCGAAGCTCCACATGGGCGAGCCGCCCCTCAAACCTAGCTTAAAGTAGCCGAAGCGTCCGAAATTCGGCGGTAGCGGTATAGGGTTATTCGGATTATGCGGATTACCACCACCTTGATCCATCATCGAGGAATTATCGACGCTATTTTGACTCGAAAACGATCTCGAGTGGTTTTCGACGCTTCTGGGTCGATCGGGCATCGCCGGACTACTAGGTGGTCTCCTCATCCCCATGGGTGATTGAATCATGGGGCTCCTAGGCATCGGAGAGCTCGGAGGCTGGTATTGCGAATGGGTCATCGGACTCGGTGGTTGGTTAAAATTTCTCGTGACGGGAGAATTCGGAGTCTGATTGCCACTAAACGACATCATGGGACTCTTGGGGGGCATCGGACTCGGAGGCATCGAATGCGGCGACATGATATGCTGACCGATCAACGGACTCTTCGGAGGCATCGGTGACGCAGGAGCCGCATTCTGCTGTTGACTCAACCGTTGTTGTTGAGCCTGCAGCTGCGCTTGCATTTGCGCTATCTGCAACTGCTGTTGCTTAGCCAACTGTTGTTGTTGTTGCACCATCATCTGGTGTTGTTGAGGCGTGAGCGGCGGCGGCTGCGCCACCCCTTGCTGTTGTTGTTGTTGCCTCACCAGATTCCTCTGTTGTATCAACTGAGCGGCCCTCGCTGAGTTCAAAATCGACTCTGGCCCCTCCTGTAGCTGTTTCTGTATCAACTGTTGGTTGATGACCATGGCTTGCGGCGGTGGACTACTCAGAGGTGACGGGGTTCCCGGTTTCTGTTGGTACGCCGCCATGGGTGACGACAGACGCCGCTGCAACCCCCCTCCATGGTCCATGGGTGTTCGTACGAACCTCATCTGCGGAGTCCCTGGTCTCAAATCAGCCGTGTATCCCACAGGACTGGTGACGACTCTCTTGTGCTGCGGCGACGTCATTCTCGGAGCTGGGGGCGGTAAGCATACTTGTGACGGCGAAGGGGCCGGGCCTGGACTGCTGTCACCCTGCGAGTGCGGCGTCCCGATGCGCGGTGACGGTTGCATCGGTGACATCCCGTTGGGACTCTGCAGGATGTTGGTGACCGAGCCTGGACCGGGAGAATGGGATATCATGGGACTGGGACTGTGCAATGGTGAGCTGTGTTGGGTGAGGGGCGATGCCGACGGTGACATCATGGGTGACTGAGACGTGTTTGAGTGGTGGATTGGTGAAGACGAGGGTGGTCCCAGTGGTGAGTGGTTTTGTTGGAGTAAAAGGGGCGATTGAACCGGCCGCTGTTTCGCCTGTTGTTTGTTCCGGTATTCCTTCATATAGACCAATTGGGGTAATACAAAATTATATAATATAATAATAATTTATTATAGACATTGCTACTTTTTTGCCACAAATAGCTACCAATCTACAATGTGCCGTTTGTAAAGATTTGTCGGTGTATGTGTGTGTGTGGGTTTGTTTGGCTGAACACCGTGTATTGATTGGCACACACAGAGAAAGAAACTATTAAGCAAAAACACATTTTATATCTTAAAAATCAAAAGCGATTTTGGACTTCGAGATCGGTTAATTATCTCCACTGAATTTCAAATCGGTTTAGTTTTTAAAATGTGTTGGTAGATGCACACACAGTCTAACAACGTGCTTTGTCTCGTCGGTCTAGAACTGATTTGCTAGATAGACCAGCGCGGTGGTAAGCAATTTTCGCCTCTCAGCGTACGATTAGTAAACACGAACATCAGTAATTGTTACACAAAAAAAAAATGTCGAAGGTTATTTCGATAGAACTTTCCTCGCCCCTGAAGTGCACCTCAGCAAATCGTGCTTCTTTGGAAAATTATAAAAAAATGTGATTTTTTTTTCTGATAACCTCTATAAAGTAAAAAGTGGCGTAAATAACATTCCCGTAGCTTTTTTGACTTGAATTGTTCAATGCATTTTTTCGAGTTTTCAAGTTCAAATTTTTAAGTTTTTCAACTTTCCAATTTTTGAATCTTTCAATTTTTACATTTTGCAAATTTTTGGTTTTGCTTTTTCTTTATTTTTTCAAATTTAGTTTTTCCAACTCTCCGTTTCTCCCGTTTTTTGATTTACAATTTTTCAATTTTTAATTTTTCGTTTCTTCAAACTTTCGATTTGCACTTTTTCGTTTCGGTTTATTTTATTATTTTTACAATTTTCGATTTTTCAGTTTCTCTGATGTATTCAATTTTTCCATTTGTAATTTTTGGTTTTGGTTTTTTATTTTCTTTATTTTTCTAATTTTTCGGTTTTCCAATGTTCTGATTTTATTTATAATTTTATTAATTTTGCTTTTTCTTAATGTGAGACTTTTAAAATTTTCGATTTTTCAGTTTCATGATTTTTCAGTTTTTCATTTCTTCATTTTCTGATTTGCAATGTTTCTAGTTTTCATTTTAAATACGTAATAACTACAATTTTAAAAATTTTTCACTTTTTCAATTTCAAGAATTTAGAATTTTTCTATTTTTCAATAATTGGATTTTAAAACTTTTTCATTTATTCCGCTTTTCAATTTTTCTATTTTTAATTATTGGATTCTAATTTTTTTAATTGTTCATCTTTCGGAATTAAAAAAAAGGAAACATTGCAAAATTGTAAAATCAAAAATGAAAAATTATAAAAAGAAAAATCTAAGAACTGGAAATCAAGAACTTCAAAAATTGAAGAAATTTTGTTTTTTCAATGTGAGATTTTTAAATTTTTCGATTTTTCAGTTTCATGATTTTTAAGTTTTTCATTTTTCCATTTTCTGATTTACACTTTTTCTAGTTTTCATTTTAAATTGTAATAACTACAGTTTTAAAAATGTTTCACTTTTTCAATTTCACGAATTTAGAATTTTTCCATTTTTCAATTATTGGCTTTTAAAACTTTTTCATTTATTCTGCTTTTCAATTTTTCTATTTTCAATTATTAGATTCTAATTTTTTTAATTGTTCATCTTTTGGAATTAAAAAAAGGGACTATTGCAAAATTGTAAAATTGAAAAATCAAAAATGAAAAATCATAAAAAGAAAAATCTAAAAATTGGAATTCAAGAACTTCAAAAATTGAAGAAATTTTGTTTTTTCAACGTGACATTTTGAAATTTTTCGATTTTTCAAATTTTCAGTTTGCAATTTTTGCGTTTTCAATTTTAGATTTTTCAGTTTCATGATTTTTAAGTTTTTCATTTTTCCATTTTCTGATTTGCATTTTTTCTAGTTTTCATTTTAAATATGTAATAACTACAATTTAAAAAAATTTTCACTTTTTCAATTTCAAGAATTTAGAATTTTTCCATTTTTCAATTATTGGCTTTTAAAACTTTTTCATTTATTCCGCTTTTCAATTTTTCAATTTTTAATTATTAGATTCTAAATTTTTTAATTGTTCATCTTTTGGAATTAAAAAAAAAGGAATCATTGCAAAATTGTAAAATCAAAAATGAAAAATTATAAAAAGAAAAATCTAAAAATTGGAATTCAAGAACTTCAAAAATTGAAGAAATTTTGTTTTTTCAACGTGACATTTTGAAATTTTTCGATTTTTCAAATTATCGGTTTGCAATTTTTGCGTTTTCAATTTTAGATTTTTCAGTTTCATGATTTTTAAGTTTTTCATTTTTCCATTTTCTGATTTGCATATTTTCTAGTTTTAATTTTAAATATGTAATTACTACAATTTTAAAAATTTTTCACTTTTTCAATTTCACGAATTTAGAATTTCTCCATTTTTCAATTATTGGATTTTAAAACTTTTTCATTTATTCCACTTTTCAATTTTTCTATTTTTAATTATTGGACTCTTATTTTTTTTAATTGTTCATCTTTTGGAATAAAAAAAGGAAACATTGCAAAATTGTAAAATTATAAAAAGAAAAATCTAAAAATTGGAAATAAAGAACTTCAAAAATTGAAGAAATTTTGTTTTTTCAATGTAAGATCTTTAAATTTTTCGATTTTTAAGTTTTTCGTTTCTACATTTTCTGATTAGCAATTTTACTAGTTTTCATTTTCAATATGTAATTAAATTTTTCACTTTTTCAATTTAACGATTTTAGAATTTTTTCATTTTTCAATTATTGGATTTTAACACTTTTTTTGTCCTGTTTTTCAATTATGCTATTATTTATTATTGGATTCTTAATTATTGAACTTTTAGAATTAAAAAAAATGAAAAAATTGCAAAATTGTAAAATTGAAAAATCAGAAATCAAAAATTACAAAATGATAACTTCGGAAAATCTAAAAATTGGAAATCAAGAACTTCAATATTGAAGAATTTTTGTTTTCAATGTGAGATTTTTAAATTTTCGAATTGCAATTTTTGGGTTTTCAATTTTAGATTTTTCAGTTTCATGATTTTTCAATTTTTCGTTTCTTCATTTACAATTTAAATTTTTTTTCACTTTTTCAATTTCACGATTTTAGGATTTTTCCATTTTTCAATTATTGGTTTTTAAAACTTTCATTTATTCCTCTTTTAAATATTTCTATTTTTAATTATTGTATTCTTAATTTTTTAATTTTTCAACTTTTAGAATTGAAAAAAATGGAAAAATTGCAAAATTGTAAAATCAAAAATGAAAAAGTATAAATTGAAAACTTTGAAAAATCTAAAAATTGGAAATCAAGAACTTCAAAAATTTCTTTAGATTTGCAATTTTTGGGTTTTCAATTCTTCATTTTCTGATTTGCAAATTTTCTAGTTTTCATTTTAAATATGTAATAACTACAATTTTTAAAAATTTTCAATTTTTCAATTTGTATTGGATTTTAAACCTTTTCATTTATTCCATTTTTCAATTTTTCTATTTTTAATTATTGGACTCTTATTTTTTTTAATTGTTCATCTTTTGGAATAAAAAAAGGAAACATTGCAAAATTGTAAAATTATAAAAAGAAAAATCTAAAAATTGGAAATAAAGAACTTCAAAAATTGAAGAAATTTTGTTTTTTCAATGTAAGATCTTTAAATTTTTCGATTTTTAAGTTTTTCGTTTCTACATTTTCTGATTAGCAATTTTACTAGTTTTCATTTTCAATATGTAATTAAATTTTTCACTTTTTCAATTTAACGATTTTAGAATTTTTTCATTTTTCAATTATTGGATTTTAACACTTTTTTTGTCCTGTTTTTCAATTATGCTATTATTTATTATTGGATTCTTAATTATTGAACTTTTAGAATTAAAAAAAATGAAAAAATTGCAAAATTGTAAAATTGAAAAATCAGAAATCAAAAATTACAAAATGATAACTTCGGAAAATCTAAAAATTGGAAATCAAGAACTTCAATATTGAAGAATTTTTGTTTTCAATGTGAGATTTTTAAATTTTCGAATTGCAATTTTTGGGTTTTCAATTTTAGATTTTTCAGTTTCATGATTTTTCAATTTTTCGTTTCTTCATTTACAATTTAAATTTTTTTTCACTTTTTCAATTTCACGATTTTAGGATTTTTCCATTTTTCAATTATTGGTTTTTAAAACTTTCATTTATTCCTCTTTTAAATATTTCTATTTTTAATTATTGTATTCTTAATTTTTTAATTTTTCAACTTTTAGAATTGAAAAAAATGGAAAAATTGCAAAATTGTAAAATCAAAAATGAAAAAGTATAAATTGAAAACTTTGAAAAATCTAAAAATTGGAAATCAAGAACTTCAAAAATTTCTTTAGATTTGCAATTTTTGGGTTTTCAATTCTTCATTTTCTGATTTGCAAATTTTCTAGTTTTCATTTTAAATATGTAATAACTACAATTTTTAAAAATTTTCAATTTTTCAATTTGTATTGGATTTTAAACCTTTTCATTTATTCCATTTTTCAATTTTTCTATTTTTAATTATTGCATTCTTATTAATTTTTTTATTTTTCAACTTTTAGAATAAAAAAAAAATGAAAAAATTGCAAAATTGAAAAAACAAAAATGAAAAGGAATAAAATAAAAACTTTGAAAAATCTAAAAATTGGAAATCAAGTACTTCAAAATTTGAAGAAAAAAAAATGAAAAATCGAAAAATGTATTTTAAAATCGAAATATTGAAAATTAAACAACTCGGAAAAATCGGACAATTGAGAATCCAAAAAGTGCAAAGTTGAAAAATTTTAAAAATGGAAAATCGAGGAATTAAAAAATTGAAAATTTGGAAAATTGAATAAACGGAAAATTGTGTTATAAAATCAAGAAAATGAAAATTAAAAAATCGGGAAAATGAAAAATAAAAATCAAGAACTTGAAAAATTGAGTAAGCAAAAAATTGGTCGAAGGTAATTAAATGCAATTTTTTGAAAAACTGTAAGATTTGATTTTGCGAATTTTATTTTTTTATAACCCTTATAAGTTAAAATAAAGACTTTATATACATATCATTCATTTTTTTTAAGTCACCTGTATAAGCAATTCTAAAACTATGAGTACAATAACAATAGAGTCATAATGTTTTGCATATTTCAGGGAGGATTTAAATATTAAGCAAAATTTTGATATGACGTCATCAATTGTTTGAGAGATAAAGAATAAATTTTTATTTACCATGATTACAATAACCTTAAAACGTTTGCAAGATTTCAGAGCATTAGGTTTTGCAGTTTCAAAAAATAAAAATCAAACAGAAGATTCGTTTATAAACATAGTGCACGAGATCTAAACATAACAAAGAAACAAAATCTAAATTTAAAGTTTAAAGTTACTAACATCATAAAACTGACCGTGAAAATAAAAATGTGTAAACAACATTGTACTGACCAGATACAAATTCCAGTTTCATAAAAATTAGAGGGAAAAATTGCTTACCGCCGCGCCGGTCCACGCGTCAAACCGATTCCAGAACGACGACTAAAAAGAGCAGTGCCTATAAATTTATAGATAGATACCTGCACTAATAATCCGTGCTGGCGACTCAACTTCCGACTGGACTCCAAGTGCTTCTGGAAAATCGCCTGCTCCGCGGTGATCCGCTGCAACTCATTGGCATCAGCATCGGACAACTGACCCCCGGTTTTCCTCAGCTGCCTCTGTTTACTATTCAACGATTTCCGCATCTTCCTCAACTTATTCACTTCGGTTTCGTAATATTTCAGTTGCTGATTGAGCGTAGTTTCCTGATGACTGAGCCACTGCTCGTACACCAACTGTTTTTGTTTATCTTGCTCCGTGACTATGTTTTCGGGCGGCAGAGGCGGAGGTGTCAATAAATTGGCGTTGAAAGTTTGCACTCGGATTTCGGTCGGCGGCTGAGGTGTCGGTGTCGGTTTGGGTCTGTTCTGGGTTTGCTGCCACGTTACTTGAGACGTCGTGGTTGTCGCTACTGAATATTTTTATTAATGACTTATTTCTGTCGTTACTTAAGTCGACTTACCTTGAGCCTGTCTTGCGTTGGCGTTGATACCGACAGCGGGCGCACCTAATACATCTGTGATTCTTTCAAAGTCCTGGTCTGTGAGTAAAGGTGCCGATTCTTGCTCAGTGTTAGAAGACGTCGATGATGCGATTTCTTGATTCACCACCGTCTGACTATTCTGATTTTGTTTCTCTTGTTCGCGCTTCTCTTGCTCTAGTAAATCTTCCAGCAACAAAGGCTGCTCCTGCACGTAACGACACATAGCTAGCTTTTTAATTTTCGAAAAAATATCAATGAAAACGACCGTGCAAATAAAAATATCTAGGTTTGAGAATGAGGAAAGACTAACTCTGGTTTGGAAACAAATCTATATCTATATGTAACTTCTCTGAAGGATTCAAGCATGACAAAAATAAGCGTAAATAGGTGTTACATTAGTGTAAGCTCGTAGTAACGATGGAGGTCACATGTGAGGATTGACACCGACGTGACATGCGAATAAATGGAAGCTACGAGGTATAAAAATGAGTGACTAGGTGAGAATCCTCATTAAGTTAACAAATCTACATGTGAAGACGTTAACTACGTACTCGATTCCACCGAGTGAAATCTCGTGATGTTTTTAGTTTATGTCAAGGGAAGTGTGACAGGTACGTTTCTTAAGGGTTTTAATCTCACCTCCAACAATAAAGGTCTTCGTTGCAAGTGTGGATGCAAAGGCAAACCCTGCGGTCGCATAGGATGTATGTGTCCCAGCGGAAGATGAACAGGCCCCATTCTCAATCCCATCTACCACACACATGCAAGCAACAACACCGTACCTCAACCAAAGTTAGTACTACCAATCCCGATAATAAGAATAAGAACGCCGGTTCATCATTTATAACACTACTAGAATTTCCATCGAGCGTAAGGTCTACAAACAGCGCCAACTCGAACCAAAAAACTTAAAAAAAGCACGTTTTACTCTTGAAGGTAACATTAAAACCCCATTTTTTTATTCTAGACAAAATCACTAACAAAAATCGAAAAGAGCAACGACGTCAGAATCCTTGAGGAACACCTACACAAACACAAAAGCAGGAATTGAAAAAACATAAACACGAGTTCGGTATTGAGGATAAATAAAATAAAAACGCTGTGCTTGTAGACCTTAGACTCCCGCTACCACCGATCCAAATTTCAGAAAAATTAAGAGCGCTGTTAAATAAAATGTACATCCAAAAACTGAACCAAATAAAACCATGCTAGCAAATTAAAAACCTTCGTACCTGCTGTTGTGGGGTCGCTGAGCCGGGGTAAGGCGGCGGCGGTCCGGGGTAAGGAGGCGGCGGTGGGGGCGGCGCTGCTAATCTCGGACCGGCGTTCAAGCCCACGGGTGTGTTATGTATGGCTTGCTGTACCGGAGCGACCGACATTATCCGGGGTACGTTTTGGCCCAAACGCATTTGTAGTTTTTGGTTATTGTGCACTATAAAATAATAACAAAAAATTCAATTTTGTATATCATGGTGTAACATATATAAAACCTAAAGATGATGACACATCAAATTCATCGAAATATGACCTAGCACGTATTTATAATTTACAAAATACCAACCCACAAAGAATGTTATGTCAACAAGACTTCTCGTTTCTTTGAAAAATTATTTAAAAAAATCTCTAAACATTGAAACACAAGATCGAAAATGTTGTTTGTCAACGACCAAGCCGTTGAAAAATCAAAAACTTCGAAACTCGGATAATCTAAAAATTTTGGAAACGAAAAAATTCTATAATTTAAATTTCGAATTGAAAAATAAAAAATCGAAAAATTGAAAACAGAATAATTTTGAAATCGAAAAGTTGAAATATAATTATGAAATAGAAAAATTACAAAACTGAAAAATGGAAAAATTGCAAAATTCAAAAACTTGAAAAATTGAAAATCGATATTTTGAAAAATTAAAAATTGAATAATGCTATAAAACGAGACATTTCAAACACTAAGAATTATAAAATAGAAAAATTGATTCATTAAAAAGCGGATAATTGGTAAGTCGAAAATTGTAATCATATAAAAATGAAAAATTGTAAAACTCCATATAAAACTGAGAAATCAGATAATTGTAAAATGGAAAAATTACAGAATTTAAAAATCGAAAAACTAGAAAATTGTGAAATTCAAAAATCAAAACATTGGAAAATCGAAACAGCGAAATTCGGATAATTGGGAAATCAAAAATCGATTAATTGAAAAAATGAAAAATTTTAAAAACGAAAGTATAAAATTGAAAATTGAAAAATTAATTTATTAAAAACCGGACAACTGGGAAATCGAAAAATTGTAAAAATCTAAAACAGAAACATAAAAAAATTTGCAAAATTACAAATTTGAAAAATTGGATAATTGGAAAGTCGAAAAATTGAAAATGAGATAATTTAAAATACAAAATTACAAAATTTAAAAATCGAAAATCTGCGAAATTATGAAATGCAAAAATCAAACACTTGATAAACTGAAAACCGAAATTTTGAGAAATTAAAAATTGAATAATTGGATAATACGAAAAATTTTCAAAACGAAGAATTATTCAAATGAAAAATTGATTCTTCAAAAAGTGGAAAATTGAGAAAACGAAAAATTGTAAAAATATAGAAATGAGAAATTAAAAAAAAATGTAAAATTACATACTTGGATAATTGTAAAATCGAAGAGTTTTGAAATCGAAAAATTGAAAAATTAGATCATTGTAAAATGGAAAAATTATAAAACTCAAAAATCGAAAAACTGCGAAATTATGAAGGTAAAAAATCAAGAACTTGAAAAACTGAAAATCCAAATTTTGAAAAATTAAAAATAAAAAATGGAAAATCGAAACAATGAAATTCGGATAATTAAGAAATCAAAAATTGAAAATTGAGATCAAAAATTGTGACAACGTAAAATTGAAAAATCGAAAAGTTAAAAAAAAAACGTAAATTATAAAATAACCGAACTGAAAAATCAAAAACTGGGAAAATTACAATTGAAATTTTGAACAATTAAAAATCATAAAATTGAAAAATTACAAAATTGAGCAATTGGATAATTGTAAACTCGAAAATTTCTGAAGCTCTAAAAATGAAAAATTGCAAAATTATTAAATTCAAAAATCAAAAACTTAACTGAAAATGGAAGTTTTAAAAAATGAAAAATTGATTCTTTAAAAAGTCGACAATCGAGCAAACGAAAAATTGTAAAAATATAAAAATGAATAATTAAAATAAAAATGTAAAATTACACAATTGGATAATTGTAAAATCGAAAAATTATTAAACTATAAATCTGAAAAACTGCAAAAATACTTCCATATAAAATTGAAAATAGGACAGTTTTGAAATCAAAAAATTGAAAAATTAGATCATCGTAAAATTGAAAAATTATAAAATTCAAAAATCGAAAAACTGAAAAATTATGAAATTCAAAAATTAAAACATTGGAAAATCGTAACAACGAAATTCGGATAATCGGTAAATCAATAACAGAATATATAATATGGAAAAATGGAAACATTTTGAAAACGAAGAAGGAAAGGAAAAACTGATTCATTAAAAAGCGGACAATTGAGAAATCGAAAATTGTAAAATGATAAAAATAAAAAATTAAGAAATTGCAAAATTAGAAAATTGAAAAATTTGATAATTGGAAATGAGGTAATATGTTTAAAAGACAAAAATTACAAAATTTAAAAATCGAAAATTTGCGAAATTATGAAATCAAATCAAAAATCAAAAATTTTTAACTGAAAATCGAAATTTTGAAAAAGTAAAAATTGAATTATTGGATAATATGAAAAATTTTAAAGACGAACAAGTATTCAAATGAAAAACTGATTTTTTAAAAAGTCGACAATTAAGAAAACGAAAAATTGTAAAAATATAAAAATGGAAAATTAAAAAAAAATGTATGATTACATACTTGATAATTGTAAAACCGAAAAATTATTAAACTGTTAATCTGAAAAACTGCAAAAATACTTACATATAAATTTGAAAATCGAACAGTTTTGAAATCCAAAAATCGAAAAACTGCGAAATTATGAAATTAAAAAATCCAAAACTTGAAAAACTGAAAATCCAAATTTTGAAAAATTAAAAATGAAAAATCGAAACAATGAAATTCGAATAATTAAGAAATCAAAAATTGAATAATTGAAAAGATGAATATTTAAAAAATCGACGAATATAAAATTGAAAATTGAGATCTCCAAAAATTGTGACAAGGTAAAATTGAAAAAGCAAAAATGCGTAAAGTCAAAAAGTTAAAAAATAGGATAAAAACGGGATATAATATCAAACACTTGGAAAATTGAAACTGAAATTTTGAATAATTATAAATCATAAAATTGAAAAATTGTAAAATTACAAAATTGAACAATTGGATAATTGTAAACAGGAAAATTTCTTAAACTCTAAAAACGAAAAATTGCAAAATTATTAAATTGAAAAATCGAACAATTGGAAAATGAAATCGAAGGATTCCAAAATCAAAAATTGAAAAATTAAGAAATTGGAAAATCTGTTAATTGAAAAACGGATTCAATAAAAACTGAACAATCCAGAATTTGAAAAATTGTAAAAATATAAAACTAAAAAATCAAAAAATTGCAAAATGAGACAATTCTAAAATAAACAATCACAAAATTAAAAAATGGAAACACTGCAAAATTATGAAACTGAAAAATCAAAAACTTTTAAAATATGAAATCGACATTTTGAAATTAGAAAAATAAAAAAATTAGAAAATCCAAACAATGAAAAATTGTAAAATACATAATTCAACTGAAAAATTAAAATAGAAATTTTTTCGAAAAATTGAAAACTGTAAAATCGAAAATTGGGAAATGTAAAAATTTTGAAACCGAAAAAACTCTAAAATTAAACAAATGAAAAATGAAAAAATCAAAAAATGGAAAATCGAAACAACGAAATTCGGATAATTAAGAAATCAAAAATTGAATAACTGAAAAGATGACAATTTTAAAAAGCGAAGAATTATAAAATTGAGATATTCATTAATTAAAAACTCAATTATAGAGATCAGAAAAAATTGTAAAAATATAAAATTAAAAAATCAAAAACACGTAAAATGGAAAACTTTAAAAATAGGATAACTTTAAAAACGGAAAATCGTAAAATAATTAAACTTAAAAAGCACAAACTTGGAAAAATAAAATTGCCATTTTGAACAATTATAAACCATAAAATTGAAAAATTGTTCAATTGAAAAATCGAACAAGTGAAAAGTCGGATTCCAAAATTGTGAAAAATCGAGAAATTGGAAATTGAATAATTAATTCATTAAAAACTGAACAATCGCGACATTGAAAAAATGACAAAACTGAAAAATTCTATCATTTTAAAATTGAAAAATGGGACAATTGTAAAATAAAAAATTACAAAATTGAAAAATCAAAACACTGCAAAATTATGAAATTGAAAAATCAAAAACTTAGAAAATTGGAAATCGACATTTTGAAATAAGAAAAATCAAGAAATTAGAAAATCGAAACAATGAACTTCCGATAATTGAAAAATAAAAAAAAAATGAAAAATCGGATACCTTTAAAAATGAAAATTTGTAAAATAATTAAACTTCAAAATAAAAAAAATGGAAATTTGTAAAAGTCCAAAATTGAAAGATTGGATAATAACTAGACAGCGGATTTCTGTCGGGCTACGTCACGATTATAGGTCCGGACGCGCTGGATCGCTGGGACTCAGTAGCGGGTGATAGAGAATCACTAAATTAAATCGTCACTTATTCCATAAATACAATTAACGATTTATTAATCAAACGGCTAAGTAAATGAGAGCTGGAATTAACAGCAGAGTGCAACGAAGCAGCGTTATTCTGATCTCAAATAAACGTAGTGCAGCCTGTAATTGCAATGAATTCCCATCCCGTACGAGCCGTACCGAGTTTGGCCTTGCCTAGCCCGACAGAAATCCGCTCTCTAATAATAACAGTACAATCGAATAACGGTAAAATCGAAAAATTGAAACACTGCGTTGAAAAATCTGATAACTGTAAAATCAAAAATTGATCTGATAATTAAATAATTTTGATAGAAAGATATCCTGTTGTTTGTCAGTTTCTCGAACACTCTGATCATGTGATTTTAAAATCAAATCATGAATTTTGACGCACTGTGAAATCAGAAGGTACTTACACTGAGTCACTAGTAATCTTTGGTGGTAACCCTGCGGTAACTGCAACTGTACGTTATTGTTGGGGGTAACAATTCCGACGAACCCATCGGGTGTTTGTAGTCTGGAACCCGGCGGCATGGGTTTCCCATGGGCGGCCGCTTGCTGCACCTGATGCAACATCTGTTGGTGGATTTGCTGCGGAGTTAAATGCGTAGTGATGCCAGTACCCAACGGATGGTTAGTCTGAGCTTGAGAAATAGCAAGAGGCGGCGGATGAATATTATTAGCTAACGACTGTGGTGCCGAAATGACGGAGGTAACCGGAGGCACCGCTTCCTTTTTCAGTTGATTAGCAATGTTGGGTTTGCCGGGCGCTTTTGGTAACTCTACTTTGACTTTCTTTTCGTTCTTGATGGGTTCTTCTTCTAATTCTATATCCAAAATGTTGGTTTTCTCGCCTGGTAGAGCTTCCGGGTCTGCGTACTCCAGAATGTTGAAGTCGGCACCCATTTCAGCTACGAGAAATATATACACACAATAATAACAAACTCAAGTTATAAAAGGGAAAAAGTACCTAGAAGCTCGTCGTCGTCGTCACCTAGCCCTCCTAGAATATCTCCAACACCCTGCAGCTCCGCCATCGTCCCAGTTTCCTGTTCCAGCTTTTCAAGCTCAGCGGTCACATTATCCGGGATTTCTTGATCACTAACGGCATTCTCAGCCTGATTGGTGGCTGGAGCAGAAACGGCCGGAGTTTGACTCAACGGTGGCCTCTGGATATTCGCGATCTGACTAACAGGCAATCGAGGTGGACCCTGTGGATCGGCGGCTCTTGGTTGAAAAGTAGGCTGTTGTCTTGGCAACAGCTGCTCGTACTGCTCAACACTAGTAGGTCGCACTATACTTGTAAATCGAACCGTACCACCGGAGAACACTTGTGGAGGCGGTTGCGCAGACTGCGTCTGTTGCTGCTGTTGTTGTTGCTGCTGCTGCTGATTTACCACTGTTTGTTGTAGTATTCTCTGCACGACAAAAATGATAATTGATAACATATTAAAATTTTTTTAACTCCACTTACTTGTTGCTGCTGTTGCAGAAGCAACCTCATCCTCGGGTCCAACCCTTGTATTCTCGGATCCAGCTGCATTCGCAGCCCCAGGTGGCTCCCCGGTTGTCTCGGAATCCCTGACACCGGCACCGGCATCCTCGGCCGCACTATACTCGGCGGCAGCGGCTGCCTGAACGTCGCATCTCCCGTGCTCACCGAGTTCGTCGAGACCACTGGAGTCTCCACCTCTTGACTAGCTTCCGTCGGCGGCCAGACGCGCTGCTGCCCCTTGCCCGCCAACAACTGATCGTCCAACTTCTTGAATTGCTGCCTCTGCAGCAAATCCCTCAGCTGCCTGTTCAGCTCCGGGGCTTCAGCAGCCCGGACCGGAGCACTCAGGGCCTGCAAAGGAGGACGAATTTGGAACTGGGGTCTAGGAGTAGAAGGTTGGTGGGCGTAAGGATCTGCCGGTAACCTGTTGTTTTGGAAAGTGGGTTGTGGTAACTTTGGCGTCGACGGGGCTTTAGCGTAGGGGTCGCTGTCGGGTGTACTGAAGTCTAGAGGTGCCTGTGTTGGAGGAATCGGGCGCATAGGCGCCGGCTGCGCTGGGTGTGTGAAAGTGGGTGATTTTATACCCATCGAGAGGATCTGTCGGGGATTCGGGGAAGGTGAGGCGACGGGACTGAGTTCCTGCGGGGTTTGTTCCTGTTGGAACGAAAACGGCGTAGGGTCGGAGATTTGTCTCTGCACACGTGCTATAGCTGAAAAAACATACGAGATTATGTTGTTGTGGAAGTTGGGGGTTGAGGATTTACTACATTGGACGCGCTGCTCGTGGATGATGTTTTGTTGTTGTTGGGCTTGCTGCTGTCGAGTGGCTTGAAGCTGTTTCCACTGACGCTCCTGTTCGGCTTCACGGGCTGATTTATGCTGATGCGCGACTTTTTCTTGGTCCTAAAATAAATCGGGGATGTTAGAAGTGAAAAGATCAGGGTGTTCGAAATGTGAAAGTACGAACTACATTGAAACGATACAACAACGTGACAAAACAACAAAGAAAAGCCATGCTAATCAAAAGAATAAAATTGTTAAATAGAAAGACAACTATCACATTATGTACGTTTTTTTAAGTACCTAATCTACTCGATTACGATTAGAATCAAAACAGCAACATTAATTACCATCACCACAATTGGTTTTATTCACGTTTTTAGTTATTAAATACTACGTTGCTCTGATACTTATCCGTGTAATTTAGGACTAGGAGAAGCGGGACTTTTGGACTGGACGAACACTTTTTCAATAAAGATTTGTTAATTCGATTAACAAGTCTGAATTACAAAAATGCTAAAAATGACAGTTTTATAAACTGAGTGGTACCCTTATAAAATTATTTCGTGTGAAATTTATTTCAGTCGTGCATGCGTTAACACAATGACGTTCCTCAATAAAATGCGGTTGAATGTAATGCAATCGAAAGTGAAAAGAATTCTAATCTGATAATTTTCATTGCAGAAAATTTGTATTACGAGTTGGTGATTATAACACAATGTGGCACTTTTTAGTTTAGCACACTTGAAGTACACTGTTTAATTTTTACTTCCTGTTGTTTGTTTAAACTTGAAACTTAACTAAAGCAATAAAAACAGCAGCACAACTGGCAGGAAATTGTAATCATAAAATCTGAAAAGTGAAAGTTGTTAAAATTTTATTGAATTATTTAGGTGGCCTATACTAGAAAATCAACATACGAAAAAATTAAATCGAACTTTCCTCGCCCCTGAAGCATAAACAATACTGCGTGTATGGCAATTCGAATTTTTAATTTTTAATAGGGATTTTTTTAAGTTTTTCAATCGCACTTGATACGTAATGCGTTTAACTTAATGCTTAAAAAAATAGATCGTACGTGTTTCTAACAGATATACCGAAATTTTCGAATTTTACACACATTTTTTAAAAACATCATTGGCTTTTACGAAAATCAAAAGATCTATTTCTGAAAAAAAAAAAAAACAACTAGTTCATACAAGTACCAGTAAAATGATCATATATTTTTAATATATTTTTAATGACGTCATCAATTTTTTATAAGGGATGAATAATAAAGTTTTGTTAATGTTCTGTAATCACTACAACAATTTTAGTCACTTACCATAAATAAAAAAAAAAGTCCATTATGTAGTTCCTGAGATAAATTGTAACATTTGATCTCTATTCTTTATCTTCGTTTACATATTCCTTGCATATTAAATAAAAAAAAATGGTAGCAAATTATTACGAGAAAACTTCCCTCGCCCCGGACGTATAGTAAAACATCTAGCTTTTTCGAAAATTATAAAATTTGATTTTTTTTTTTTTTTAGAAGCCCCCTATAAGTTAAAATAAATATATGTATGTAATGTTAAAGTAAATGCAAATAAGCGTGCTATGGGTATGTTTAAAATAAACACTGGATATGTCGAGTAAAACTCAAAACGGATTCATAAACTAAACGTGTAGGACTGTTATCTTTACAATTTTGGGGTGACGTCATCACATTGTTGGTAAGGATGTTTAGGAAAATTTTGGTTAGCGTTTCACTATCTACATGATATTCATAATTATAATACACACATATAATTTGACAACAATCGGTTCGGAAGTTTCCAAGATCATCTGTCTAACAAAAACCGGCACAGACCGCGGCGGGCAGACAGACAGACGGAAACGGAAGACCTGTGTTTTTGTACTCTAGGGGTACTGACACGTCGTGAAAATATGAAACTAACCAGTTCCCCGATTGACTCGATTACAATACTTCCATAGCTATGACCGGAAAGTGATTATTAAAGTATCCCAAAATTTAATTATGTCGCAAATAAATAAAAGCTTCAAAAACATCTGCATTATTAAAACCTGAAATCAGAATCAGTCCTGACAACATACAAGCTTTTCACGTTCTATGAAAAAAAAAGGGCCTAGGGATGTCTATATTTAACAAATTGCATGCTGTTTTCGTGTGCGTTTTAAAATTCTCTATTATTACAGTGGGTAGTATTTACTTTTATTTTTATCTTGTTTATGTGCCTTTTGTTAACAAAATCAACCAGTAATTATCAAATTATACCATACACATAACAAAAACATCTAAACTGTGCATGCTAAAATAAGTTTAAAAATTTACATTCTCTGCCAACTGTAACCCCAAATTTTCCGATAGCATTCTCAAAAAATTATATACATTTTTTTTAAAATCCGACTCTCCAAGCGCATTTCGAAACTCAGCAACAAGAGACAACACAGACCAAACAAAACGACGTAAAAACAAAAAAACGCATATGAATCACCATAAAACAAAAAAGTAGTAAAAAATAGGAAACTGAAAAAAGCTGGATAAAATCGTCCACACTGAATACAGGTTCTCACCGGCGGTTGAGGTTCATAGTTTTCCTGACAGAGGGAGGGAAGAGTGCGCATGATCTCTGAGGGAGTCAAGACGCGGATCTGTTGGTCGCTTGCGGGTGGTGTGGTGGTTTGTTGTTGGATATTATTGGTCCTTAGTAACGGGAGGGTGGGACTCTGCTCATTAACGACATTCGGTTGGTAGAGCGGATTGACCGTGACATTCGGGGCGGGGCCGCAGTGGTCGCCCGGCCCGAGGAACTGACCGTGCACGGTGAACTGTTGCTGGGTGGAGGGCGAGGGCGTCAGTGAGGGGGGGCAGGGCGTTAGTGAGGTGGGGCGGGGTGTTACTGGTGGGGAGACAGACACAGAGCTAGTGGAAGCGGTGGTTAGTGGTGGCGCAGGCCGCGACTGTTGGGTGCACACCTCTGACACTGGAGCGACGATGGCGGGGACCTGGGTTGAGGGAATGACGTTGTTGCTGACGGGGGCGGCTGCGGGAGGCGGCGCCTTCGTCGTCGTTGCCGACGTCGCGCTCGATGCTTCCTTGCTTATCTGTGACTGGGAGGTAAACACACATACAGAACTAGCGGGCGGCGGTGGTTCGGACTACTAGCAAGCAATGCTATGTCACGGAGGCGGACACAGAGTACATTGATTTGGAACGCATACGGTTAGTCACAACCCACAGCACCGGTTTATGCTGAAGCGTGGAGAATCAAAATCGATAAATAATGGGTTTTTAAGGGCGACACTCGGACCACGGTTGCTTTGGTTCTTGCCATAGTCCGGAACTAACGTGATTGACGTATAATATTAACTATAAACAACTAAATTTGAGACTGAAGTTATGTATTATATGGAAAACAAAAGTCGACATTACGAATATTTGTCAAAACTTTCTACTTAAAATACAAGTATAAGTTGATATATAGTGTGTTCATCAAATCTAAGATAAATTTAGGAACAAAATTTGACAAAAACGCTCGAACAGATTATTTAGCACTACATGGACCATATGTCTTTGCACTTTTCGTTTTATAAAGATATACATTATTTTAGTTTTACCTAGTAAACTATTTTATTAATAATAACAAATAAAAAAAATGGACAAGATGAGTTTTTAATAAAATAGTACCTACTTTATTACTCGTTCAAGATGTTTTTAGACAAAAGTGAGCCAAAATTAGTAAAAGTGAAGGATCAAGATTTACAATTCCACAAGCAGGAAGTCGATTTGGGTTTTTAGATTGTTGTAAATTTTTATTAAATTCGAAATACAATGATAGAGATTATTACGAAACAATGGACAGGACACTTTTTCAAAATTATTCCTGCTTTGGCTAAGTTGAACAAAAAATGTGTAGTGTTTATGGACAACGCATCATATCATCAGTCCAGTTGGAAGCCAGTAATATTTTCTAGTGAAAAAATTAATTTAATTTAATTTAAAAAAACACTTGGGTCCCCCCACAAGGTTTCGCCTTCTTTAAAAAAGGACAATTGGTACCCCCGACAAGGTTTCATATTCTTAAAAAAAAGACATTTGGGGCCCCCGAGAAGCTTTTACATTAAAAAAAAACAGTTTGAACCCCCGAGAAGGTTTTCCATTATTAAAAAGAGATTTGGCACCCCTGAGAAGGTTTTACATTTTTAAAAAAGACAGTTGGGATCCCCGAGAAGGTTTTACATTTTTAAAAAAGACAGTTAAGATCCCTGAGAGGGTTTTACATTTTTAAAAAAGACACTTGGCGCCCCCGAGAAGGTTTTACATTTTTAAAAAAGACAGTTGGGACCCCCGAGTAAGTTTTACATTTTTAAAAAAGGCAATTGAGACCCCCGAGAAGGTTTCATCTTCTTAAAAAAAGACATTTGGGGACCCCGAGAAGGTTTTTATATTTTTAAAAAAAGACAGTTGGAACCCCCGAGAAGGTTTCATACTCTTAAAAAAAGATACTTGGCGTCCCCGAGAAGGTTTTACATTTTTAAAAGATAGTTGGGACCCTCGAGAAGGTATCACATTCTAAAAAAAAACATTTGGCGCCCCCGAGAAGGTTTTAGATTTTTAAAAAAGGCAATTGGGACCTTCGAGAAGGTTTCATCTTCTTAAAAAAAAAAAATTTGCGACCCCCGAGAAAGTTTTACATTTTTAAAAAAGACAGTTGGGACCCCCGAGAAGGTTTAGATCCTTAAAAAAAGACACTTGGCGCTCCTGAGAAGATTTTACATTTTTAAAAAAGACAGTTGGGACCCCCGAGAAGGTTTTACATTTTAAAAAAAGACAGTTGGGACCCCCGAGAAGGTTTTACATTTTTAAAAAAGACAGTTGAGATCCCTGAGAAGGTTTTACATTTTTAAAAAAGATAGTTGGGACCCCTGAGACGGTTTAGTTTCTAAAAAAAGACACTTGGCGGCCCCGAGGTTTTACATCTAAAAAAAAAAGACAGTTGGGGCCCCCGAGGTTTTACATTTTTAAAACGAACAGTTGGGACCCCCGAGAAGGTTTTACATTTTTAAAAAAGATAGTTGGGACCCCCGAGAAGGTTTTATATTTTTAAAAAAGACAGTTGGGACCCCCGAGAAGGTTTTACATTTTTAAAAGACAGTTGGGACCCCCCAGAATGTTTCATATTCTTAAAAAAAGACATTTGGGGCTCCCGAGAAGGTTTTACATTTTTAAAAAAGACAATTGAGACCCCCGAGAAGGTTTTACATCTTTAAAAAAGACAGTTGGGACCTCCGAGGTTTTATATTTTTAAAAAAGATAGTTGGGACTCCCGAGGTTTTACATTAAAAAAAAAGAACAGTTGGGACCCCCGAGGTTTTACATTTTTAAAAAAGACAGTTGGGACCCCCGAGAAGGTTTCATATTCTTAAAAAAAAGACATTTGGGGCTCCCGACAAGGTTTTACATTCTTAAAAAGACACTTGGCGCCCCCGAGACGGTTTTACATTTTTAAAAGACAGTTGGGACCCCCGAGAGTTTTACATTAAAAAAAAAAAAAAACAATTGGGACCCCCGAGAAGGTTTTTACATTTTTAAATAAAGAGGGGCGTATTCTCACCTTTTCAAGAACGGGGGGTAATGTCATCAATACAATATTATTTTGTTATGACGCCATAAACATAGATAATCCACAATGCGAGAGAAAGAGATAAAAAAAAACAAAAAAAGCGATAGGCCAAGTTTGGAATCGAACGCGCGACTTCCGGTCTCCATTCCTGACTCGTAACGACTAGACCACGACCGGGATCCCTTACGCTTATGGTAAACTGTTATTATAGGGTGCATTGTTTTTACAAAAATTTGAATGGTTAGGGAAAAACTCAAAGCGGATTCGTACACCACATTTACAGGTCCATATTGTTGTATAACAGTTAAATCTAATAAACATAGAATTCTTTGAAATGACGCCATCAAATTGTTGGTGGGGATGATTAGCAAAATTTTGGTTAGCATTTAACCATCTACATCTACAGAAAAATGGGTACAGACACCAGACAGACAAACGGAAACGGGAGACTACTTTTTTCGTACTCTAGGGTCATGAAAAGTCCGATGGACTCGATTACTGTACTTCCTTAGCTCAGGAAGCAAATTTTTTTGATTATATTGACTATGCTTTAAAGTCTGAAATAATAATTGTCACTTCAGTGCTTTAAATCGTACTTATGGAATGGAAAATAGAAAGTGTAAAATTACTGGCAACAGTGTCAAATTTTCTAACCTTACATTAAAAATAACTTAACCTAATCTGATAAATTCGATTTTTCATTAGGGATTTTTGCATATACGAAATTGGTTACCAACAAAATTACTAGATTTACATGGCCTACTTTGCCTAAAAACATCTGGAACAGTAAATAGCTACACTAGTTTTACCCAAACCCGGCGCTATTAAAGATTCTCCACAAAACAATAAAAAAAATGTTTCGTGCTGAGGTGTGATATAAACCGTATTACAAAATATTACACAATAACTTGACCGGTAAAATTCGATACGAGAATGAATCTACCTGGAATGAAAACGTAAAAAGATACAAATTCCTCTGACGCTATCACGTAATTAAAGAATTTACGTATTAATGACATCTCGACAATGTCAAATCGGTTGTTCTAAATCCAGAAATATCCCAGACAGTAGAATATTGATTTTTTTAATAACAGCTAAATCGTGGATTCCAAAAACACGGTAGCATTAAACACCCGATTCAAATAAAACAATTCATTCACCGCGCACCTTTTGTTTTCCATAACTTCCTCCAGCCTCAAACTTAGCCTCCTATAAACCAAACACGTTAAACCCGGACCACAATATCAACAAAAAATAACGAAAAACACGCCCCAAAATAACCGCCCCAACGACTACATACCTGCTGCTGCTTCTTCATCCTCAAAGCAGACCTATTATCCCTAGCTTGCTGCAAATACGGCGCCTTCTGCTCCGAGCTAAGCGTCCTCCACTTCTTCAGTATCTGCTTATACCTGTCGCTCCAATTCGGGAACTCCGTCTTCCACTCCGGTTGGTTTATATTCGCGTACAACACAGCGGAGATCGTGGCGCCGTTGCCCAGACCCTCGTCCGCCTTCATTTTTTCCGACGATCTTTGGTTATAGGTTGACTGAGCCCCAGCCGGAGGCGTGTCCATGTCGGCGTTGTCGTTGACCGACACCCAAGGACTAGGAGGTTCGGAGAACGCCGGACTAAACTGTGGGCTACTGTAAAACGGGGTTAGAGGCAACAGTCGAATTCGGCGACGAATAACGTACTTGCTGTACTCTGACTGGTATGGGGACGGCGGAGGGAAGTTCAACGGAGAGTTTAAGTTGCTCTGGTTGACCGCTGGTAGAGCTGTCGGGCGTACAGGTGGCGCTGTAACGGGGTGTGGAGGTATGGTTTGAGGTGTGGTGGTGTTGAATGAGTTGGGGTTTTGGATGGGGAAAACGTTGCTTTCTTGAGATTCCTGAGAATCGTCGGTTAACACTCCCTGTAATTGTAACTTTTAACAACAATTTTACACGTTGTTGATAACTTACTTTAAATATGTCCTCCACGTCCTTACTATTAATACTTGGCATGGTTTCGAGGTTAAAATTGGGTCCCAATATATCGGTAAGTTCATCTTTGGTATCTTTGGAAGTACTTGCGCTTGCTAATGTGTTAGTTATATCAGTTTCGTCAGCTAAATTGGTGGCTACAAGAAAAGTGGCGATTTGTATCTGTAGTAGGTCTTGTAGGTATTAGTAAGCGGTATAAATTCGTGAGCAAAATTCTGATTAGTGATTGTAGACGACGTAATCATTCTGATTTTTTTAGTTTTGTGTACATTTTTCTTAAATATGTCAACACAATTTTCAGATTCTTCGTTATAAACCATGTTGTCTGGTTGTCAGTACTGTACAACAAAATACAATTTACTTTAGCGACTAATTCGATTTTTAACACAATTCAACAGTATTTTTTTTAAATTGAGTTAAGACCTCGATTACAGTGAAACTTTCTGAATTAATAACAATAACAATTTGCAGACAATGCGTATTAGCTATGTTCAATTTTTCCGTTGAAAAATACATTTTCTTCTAAAACTACATTGAAACGATGATACTATAAATCAATGGAATCATAGTTGTCAAGTCAAGAGTATTACGACATATCTTTCTACGAATTCTAGATTAAATTTTTTAATTTAATACCAACAAAAATAGCAAGTAATTATTTTCAATTGTGCGATAAATCGAACGTAAAAATGCACTTTGGCACTAAAAGTGTGTCCATTACTCACTCTTTATTCGACAGGATTTAAGTGTCACTTTTAATACAACTGGGATTAAAAAGTAAATTTAATCCTCCTAGTCAGTCGAAGACACAAATAAACAAACGCTACTACAATAACATGTTTTCTTTTATTTTGTTGCAACGTCAACATTTGTATGGACAATGGGGAAATTGTCGATATGAATAAACAATGTGTTCAATTTTCTATTTGTTGTAAAATATTATCGTATATAAATTGAGTTTTTATGTTAAAAAGATTTGAAGATAAATTCATTAACTGATCAATAAAAAGTTGAATTCAGACAAGTTATCTTTGTACCACGCATTATTTGTTTTTTTTTCCTACATCCGAACTCCGTCTGCTCTGTATTGGATTGTGCATAGGAAAATGGATGAAACAATATTGAATTTTGAAAAAAAAAACCTGAAAAATGATGTGGACGTTGATTTTAAGTTAAATATTTATAAAATAACGCGTAATTTTTCTAGTCCAGAAGCGGCTGAGGATTACGAAATAATTTTATAAGTTACCCAAAGCGTACTTAATACTTGGTAACATCCCAATGCTAAGTAATGAACCTTGTGATTTTTTTTTTTTTTTGATTTGTGACCTAGTTTTCGTTTATTATTTTTACAATTTTCGACAAAAATCAGTCTTTTTAAAGACTATTCCTTTATTTCGGAGTGAATTATCACGATCCAGGTGTGTTTTGACACAGAAGAAAAATTTTCACCCCAAGAAAAATGTTGCCGGATTTCTGAAAAAATGTCTAAAAATCTTCCAAAGATTCGAGAATATAGAAGTTGACAAGCTGATTCGAAAAACAGATCAATTGTCCCCGAACAAAATTTTCTAAAAATTCGGTTTGATTTTTTTTTAATATCTGTAAAACTCGAAACAGGTCAAAAAATTCGTGGAGGGCATTGAAAAATTGAGATATTTGAAAAACTGGCCTAAAAGTCCTCAAAAAATTTGACAGAAAAACAAATTGTTAGTGGTCCCTAAGAAGATTTTCGAAAACTTCGGCTTAAAGCAAAATTTTTTCAGTAAAAAAATTTATATGAAGGCTACTTATTTTTTTTTGAAAATTTGCCTAAAAATCTCAATATATGTAGATACTACATAGTGTTTTTGTGAACAACACAATAGTTCAGCATGTTTTCAGTTTCTTGTTGGGAAAAGAAGACTTCGTTTATTAAGAAAAAATGTACAAAATATAAGCCCCGCCCACCCACCCTCTCTCAATTGTGATGATTTTTTTATTCATCGTGAGCCGAGGGCGGAGCTTAGTTGCAAAATCCTCATTTCTCTACAAGAAATTACCATGTGAAATATGTATTTTGCAATTAAACTCCGGCGCTGGGTCTGCCAACGAATAAAAAAAATCATTACACCTGAGACAGGGTGGGTGGGTGGGGCTTAAATTCTGCTCTTACTTTTTAATATACGTAGTCTTCTTAAAAAAAAAATCATTACAACTGAGACAGGGTGGGTGGGTGGGGCTTATATTCTGCTCTTACTTCTTAATATACGTAACGACAACGAATAAAAAATTCATAATAATTGAGATCGGGACTTTTTTTTAGTTACTTAAGTTTTAATTGAACAACACGATAGTTAAAGGTTTTAGTTTCTTGTTGGGAAAAGAAGATTTCGTTTAAAAAAAAAAATACAAAATATAAAAATGTTCCTCGTTCAAGATTTTCTAAAACTCCGATTTCAAATCCAGAAAGGACGGAGGCATTAAAAAATTGAGATTTTTGAAAAGTTGCCAAAAAGTCTTTAAAAAATTTGATAGAAAAATGAATTGTTGTGGTCCCCTGACAAGATTTTCGAAAACTTCGGCTTATTTAAAATTTTTTGAAAAGTTGCCTAAAAATGTTCAAAAAATTCTGCTACATAGAGTTGATTCGAAACATGTAACATATAGTCCCTGATCAAGATATTCGGAAAATTTGGTCTGAAAATATTTGTTTTTTAAATCTCCAAAACTCGAAAAATTGTCAAAAAGTTCGGTGATATAGATCTCGACGAGCTGAAAAACATAAAAATGGTCCTTGTTCAAGAATTTCATGAGGGTTATTTAAAATTTTTTGAAAAGTTGCCTAAAAATGTTCAAAAAATTCTGCTACATAGAGTTGGTTCGAAACACGTAACGTATTAGTCCCTGCTGATCAAGACACTCGGAAAATTTGGTCTGAAAATATTTGTTTTTTAAATATCGAAAACTCGAAAAATGGTCAAAAAATTCGGTGAAATAAATCTCGACGAGCTGAAAAACGTATAAATGGTTCTTGTTCTAGAATTTCTAAAACGCCGATTTCAAATCCTGAGAAGAGGGCATTAAAAATTGAGATTTTTGAAAACTTGCCAAAAAGTCCTCAAAAAATTTGCTAGAAAAATAAATTGTTAGTGATCCTCTGACAAGATTTTCGAAAACTTCGGCTTGAATAAAAATTTTTTCAGTATCGCTAGAGCTCGAAAAACTATCAAAAATTGCATATGAGGGTTATTTAAAATTTTTTGAAAAGTTGCCTAAAAATGTTCAAAAAATTCTGCTACACAGAGTTGATTCGAAACATGTAACACATAGTCCCTGCTGATCAAGATACTCGGAAAAGTTGGTCTGAAAATATTTTTTTTTAAATCTCGAAAACTCAAAAAATTCGGTGAAATAAATCTCGACAAGCTGAAAAACATAAAAATGGTCCTTGTCCAAGAATTTCTAAAACGCCGATTTCAAATCCGGGGAGGAGGGCAATAAAAAATTGAGATTTTGAAAACTTGCCAAAAAGTCCTCAAAAAATTTGATAGAAAAATAAATTCTAAGTGGTCCCCTGACAAGATTTTCGAAAACTTCGGCTTCAAGTAAAATGTTTTCAGTATCTCTAGAGCGCGAAAAACGATTAAAAAATTCATATGAGGGCTATTTAAATTTTTTTCAAAAGTTGCCTAAAAATGTTCAAAAAATTCTGCTACACAGAGTTGATTCGAAACATGTAACACATAGTCCCTGCTGATCAAGATACTCGGAAAAGTTGGTCTGAAAATATTTTTTTTTAAATCTCGAAAACTCAAAAAATTCGGTGAAATAAATCTCGACAAGCTGAAAAACATAAAAATGGTCCTTGTCCAAGAATTTCTAAAACGCCGATTTCAAATCCGGGGAGGAGGGCAATAAAAAATTGAGATTTTGAAAACTTGCCAAAAAGTCCTCAAAAAATTTGATAGAAAAATAAATTCTAAGTGGTCCCCTGACAAGATTTTCGAAAACTTCGGCTTCAAGTAAAATGTTTTCAGTATCTCTAGAGCGCGAAAAACGATTAAAAAATTCATATGAGGGCTATTTAAAATTTTTTCAAAAGTTGCCTAAAAATGTTCAAAAAATTCTGCTACATAAAGTTGATTCGAAAACATATAGTCCCTACTGGTCAAGATACTCGGAAAATTTGGTCTGAAAATATTTTTTTTTAATCTCGAAACCTCGAAAAATGGTCAAAAAATTCGTTGATATAGATCTCGACGAGCTGTAAAATATGATGAGGAAGAAAAATTGAAGTTTGGGCCCATTTTCTTCGAGGAATCAGTTACAACTGCGAGGTATCGGGACATGCTGCAGGAATTTAATGACCAGCTTGATCCTAAAGAATTGCAGAATGGATATTTTCAACATGACGGCGCAACAGCTCATACAAGTTTGAACTTTCTAAGAGAATTTTATGACAACCGTGTAATTAACACACAGACTATATCTACCCACCTCGATCACCTGATTTGACACGTTTAGATTTCTTGTTGCCGACTTTAAAAAACACTATTTTACATTTTTTTTAAATTAAACTGTATCAAGTTACAACCTATTTTTTGATCCAATTTCTGAAGTAACTAGATTACAAATCAAAAATCACCCGGTCATTCAATTATTCACTTTTATTTACTTAATTATATTCAAGTTAATTTTAAATCAAATCTCTCAATCAAAACAAAAAAACAACAAATAGTACTTCGAATACCATTTGATTTAGAATTTTAACACCAGACCTTTCATGGTCGTGTTGTATTTTTTTAAATTAATACGAGTAAAGTATATTTTAAAAAATGAGATAACACCTTCACCATTCTTATTATTATTACTTAAGCCGGCTACTTAATTAAAAATTAAACCAGTTACAGAGGTTATTTAAAACCATAAAAATATTAACTTTAATAATATATTTAAAAATTTAATATTCGTAAACAAAAAAAAATCCTTCCACGAATGAGACTCGCCAAAAAAATCTTATCTTGACTACGAAAAAATCGCACATCATCTTCCAGATCGATTACAATTAAGGAATTTCTGGATGATAAATTGGTCTAAATATTTTATTAATTTTTCAGTGTGTAAGACGTAGTTATTGTGACGTGTGCAAAACATGTGATATTGTTAGCATTATTAAAAGTATTAGTATTATTAGTTAGATGGAAAAATAATAAAAAATAATGTGATCGATATTTAGCCATAGGTCGTAATTGAAAATTATTAAAAACTTTTGTGGACAACTTCACAGTTCTATAGACAGAAAAACACCTCAACTTAAAAAAATCCGAACCTTGCCACTATTTCTCTCACCCTGTATTAAATTAAAAAATCATAAAAAAACGGCCAATTACATCACAAGCTCCGTCGTCTACAACCAATACGTAATATACCGCCCACTACACCTTAAATCGGACGTACTTAAAACCAACCCACCTGTGAGAGCATCAAGCGACTCCGCATTCTTATTAAGCTCCGCATCGCCTTCGTTCATGATCGTATTAACGAGCTCCGTATCGAGAAGATCCCCGGGGATAGCCAAAACGTCTTTCAAATCCTCCGTGTTCTCCTCCTCCTCTTCCTCCTTAGGCACAATCGGCGCCTTACTCTTATCCAGCGTGTGTTTCCCGTCACCCCCTTCATGTTTCCCGCTCACCGCCGCCACCGCCTTAATCTCATCCTGCGTCAACTGGATAGTCTTATCCATATCCGAGTACCCCTTTTCTTCGTCACTACTAGAACTATCGACCTCTTTGGTCGAATCCAGGAGCTCCTTCCCGAAAAAAGCCTCCTGCAGATACGGCGGAAACGTCTCAGCTAGTTTACTCTTCGGTTTCCTCCTCACCGGTTTCCGTCTCGGTTTTTCGCCCTCAGGTGGTACCAAAGGGATTTGCATCTCGGAGCTGGTGGGAAGAAGCTGACCCGGAAGCACGTCGATGTCGTCGTTGTCTTGGCCAGTTCTCACACCACGCATGCGCACTAAAAATCCACCGATTCCGAGTTTCTGGAGGTTGCGTTGGCGCTTCCTGCGCAAGACGCTGACGCCGTTTTCCATGGTAAAGAGGGTGAAGCCTTCAGGTGGTGGTCCGTCTTCTTTCATCCATATCATCCCCTCTTTGTAGATTTCTTGGGGTTCCTCTTTGACGTCGACGAGCTCGAGCTTGGCGCTGTCCTCTAGCATGTTGTCGGTGCTTCCACCGGCCACCACGCTCTCTATAGTGGCCATGATCCCGGCTTCCTTGTCTTGAACCGTGGCGATTTTCTTGCGCTTTTTTCGCGTACCGTTTTGTTCGACTGATAGGGATTTGATTAGGTTGAAACCGACTTCGCTGAGGTAGACGCCGTCGACGTAGTAGTTGTTGTTTGATTTGACTTCGGGGCTTTTAGTAGGTGTGGGGGGCTTAAGGGTGGTGGCCGACGGTATGAGGTGTGGTGGGGGGACGTCCCGCGGTCTGCACAGCAGACAGTTATAGCCTTCCTCGGCACACTTTTCTGCGTCATCTTCGGTTTTGATTGCGTCACAGGTTCCATGCAGCCACCTTTCACACTGTACACATTGGATGATTAAGTCACCTTCGCTATAGGGTTCCGAGCAACTTGGACACGTCACGTGCGACGCACAAGGCCCACACACCGTGAAACTGTTCATCCACGTGCAGTTAAACCCAGGGTCCGTGGCCCCACACGACTGACAAATCGCACACCACTTACACTTCCAATTGCCATGTGGTACGTAATCCAGAGGTGGATCCATACAATAAATATGATATGATATATCACAATCGTCACAGAGTATCAGTCTGGCTTCATCATTCCTCTGCCCGCACCCCTCGCACACCGTACAGTCCAAACACCGCCACCCCTTCTGCAGTATGACCTTGGTGACTTTCACGTTGACGCAGTACGGGTGGTAGCACTGGCCGCACTGCACGCAAGCTATCAAACACCCCTCCTGATCCGTCCCCAGGGCGCCGCACATGACGCAGATGTCCTGCGTCAGGACGAACTTGTCCTTCGCCGAGCACAGGACGAGTCGGTTCTCGACGCCCGGCTCCTCGTCGTTCTTCCCGTCGGAGACTGGCCGCTGGAGGCCGACGCCCGGGACGCCGAAGACGCCTCGCATCTTCGCCTTGGCGCCGCGCTTCCGACCGAAGTCGGTGAGACGTTGGCGCTTCATGAAGCCCACCTTGCCGGGGACGCCCTTGCCTACCCCCTTGGGGCGGCCGGAGGCGCCCACGCTGCCCAGGCCGAGCCGCTTCTTCGCGATCTTACTGGCGCTGTAGGGCTTGCCCTTACCCAGGCCCATGTTGCGGATGGCGTCCACAGGGTAGGGGCTGTCGAACTCGGCATTTTCATCGTAGGGGGACTCCTGGGGAGGCGCCACGCATTCGCTCGGATCGTCGAGACCTGCGACGGAAAGAGCTTACTTTTCGGTTTGGATACACATATTGGGTTTTCTACTATGTATGTATAATACGAGGGTAACTCGAAAATTACATTTCGTAAATGTCTCAGCATCTCAGTTTCTTACTGCGCATGCACGGTTTATTTCTCTATGCACTCAAACACGAATACATTAAAATTTGATTGTGTGTTTTTTTATACTCAACGTTAAACTTGCTGATGTCACAGAGTCATCGTGAAAGTGTCAAGTTTAATAACGTGATAAATGAGATCTATTTTAAAACTTTTTTAAAATACTTCTTTTGTAATACGTTTAGAAACTATATGAAAATAAAACTAATGCCCTGCTGAACTTGAAAAATTGCAGACAGATATCATCGTATTTTTCATTTGCACATTTGCATAAACAGTTATAAATTTACAAACACTGGACGTAATTTGAGAGGCAGTTACAGATATTTGACCCTAAATACCATAATGACCATGTAAAAATTGTAATGCGTACTTTAACGTATAAATATATTGATAAAGCAGACGTCGTAAGATTATGCAATTCATTCAAGCCAAAACTTTTCTGTACTATAAAAAAATCAAGTTCCATCCTTGACCCAATTAAAGGAAAACTTGCGAAATTCAATGACGATCTTAGCTTTAATATTTCATGTCTTCGTGATTCTAGAACGAAACACAATTAATCCAAAAAACTCTATGCAGTATCAGTTACAATATCTTCTCAAGTGATTCCATAGAATTACTTTTTATTTTATTAACTTGTAGACACTAAATCTTTCCCTTTTTTTTAAATACTGTCACATTTTTATCAGTATTATTATATTGCGATATTCGCTATTATTAATATTGATAATATACGTATCAACAACATTAACGTCGACATGATAATCACGTAAATATTAGCTGTTCCTACCGACTTTTTTGATACACGTAAAAGCAAACAGCCACTAGGTAATTAGTTATCATAAACCATATAGATCCACCCGAGCTGGAAATAGTCATAGGTTATGTCATATTCGTAGTTCAAAAGTCATCAATATTTACAAGCTATTATTAAATAATTGTACGTCGAGTTATCAAATTAAAAAATTATAATAAATTACGAGATTATTAAGGTCACATTTCTTCAGGAAAATAGCGACCTTTGTAGCTGTGTTGAAACAGGCTCTAAAAAATTAATCAAACTCTGAACAGCCAATTGAAATTTCGATCTGGAAATTTTCGTATGGTTATAATTTTGAAACCAGGAGTTCATCGGCTCCTGATTTATATTTATATATTATATCACACATATTTTTAGTTGTTTAACAAACATCCAAACAAATGCATGTAAACACCTGCTTGATAAAAGTCAGATAACTTTGGTTTGAAGGCTCTTATCTGTCGAAATCACTTTCCTACGTCAATGTTGCAAAATGCAAAAAAAATGACCGTCGATTGTTGGGTTTTTCTAGTTATAAAATACTTTCAGCTATGGTTTTGTTCAACTCCACGATGTCAAAATGAATTATTATTTTGAATATCGCGCGCCTTTTTCGAACATCGACTCAGCGCAGGCTGTTCATGCGACTTTCACGTGATCGACAATTCTAGTCTGGTAATTTTATCCAAATAGTGGCACTTGAATAAGCGGATTATTCAATAGTTTGGTCGTGGAACAAGGCCACGGTAATAACTATCAATATAATATTGATACATTTTTAAGGGATCCTATTGTTTAGTGATAAACATGGTATTACTAGGCATTAACTGATACGAGAAATTCAATTTTCACATAAATCATTCTTACGTTAACAGTCTAGCATTTTTCTGATTAAACTTACGTAATTAACCTAGAAGCTATATATATCTGAACTTTAAGCCATGAGTGTTTCTACCTTATTTCTATGACTTGATAACAATTGCAGACATATATTTGTGTTCTTGTACTATTTTTAATTTCCTATGATGAATATATAGAAACGATTGAAAAAAAGTCGTCTGGTATTGTATGACATTGAACAAATGAGTGAATAGTATTAGATGGTACAAATTAGGGATACTTCGTAATGTTAGCTTATCAATTTTTTATGGAAAGCGTAATAGTCATGCAATAGGAATTGTCAGTGAGTGTTAAAAAAGAAATGCCTGTTAATATCTATTGTGAAAAGACTACGAACATTTAAGCACAGAAATAAGGAACGCTACAACTTTCGAGAAAATTTTGTTCGTATTTTTTATTTACATTCTGAAAAATCATACAGAATCAATTCCAACAATACGTTGCCGACGACCTGATCAAATATACAGGATGTTCCATTTAAAGTTCAACCCCGAATCAGTATTTTTTAAGCGGAACACCTATATATTTTTACAGATTCAGACTATTTATGAAGAGAACAAAAACGTTATTTGACATAAGAGTTTTTTAATCAACAGTTTTCAAGAAATTTGCATTTTTATACATAAGAAAAATAGTCATATTGAAAAATTCACAGCTCCGCCATTTCTAAAGACGAATATTTAGAAAGAACTTGATGCAGTTGACCTTATTTGACCTGTCTTAGAACCCTTTGGACCTGTATTAGGACCCCATCATTTTCTTGTCGATCAATTTGATCTGGCTTATATTTTTTGTCGACTAGTTTGACCCGTCTTAGAACCGACATCACTTTCGGTCGACCATTTAGACGTGTTTTAGAACCCCCATCATTTTTTGTCGATCAATTTTGACCTGACTTAGGACCCCCTTCATTTTTTGTCAATCAATTTGATCTGTCTTAGGACTGCCATAATTTTCTGTCGACTAATTTGGCTTGTCTCAGAAACAGCATCATTTTCTGTAGACCATTTGGACCTGTCTTAGGACCCCATAATTTTTTGTCGATCAATTTGACCTGGCTTAGGATAGTCAGTATTTTTGTCGACTAGTTTGACCCGCGTTAGAACTGAGTTCATTTTCGGTCGACCATTTAGACCTGCTTTAGGACCACTATCATTTTTGTCGATCAATTTTGACCTGTCTTAGGACCCCATCATTTTTTGTCGATCAATTTGGTCCTGTCTTAGGTAGTATCGATCAATTTGACGTGGCTTAGGACCACCATTATTTTTTGTCGACTAGTTTGGCCTGTCTTAGAAACAGCATCATTTTATGTCGACAATTTGGACCTGTCTTAAGACCCCATCATTTTTTATCGACCAATTTGACCTGACTTAGAACCCCAATCATTTTTTGTCAATCAATTTGACCTGTCCTAGAAACGACATCATTCTCTGTAGACTACTTGGTCCTGTCTTAGGACCCGATCATTTTTTATCGACCATTTACGCTATCTTAAAACCTGTATCACTTTTTGTCAACCAATCTGACTTGTCTTAGGACCCCATCACTTTTTGTCGATCAATTTGGCCGATCTTAGAACCCACATCATTTTTTATTGAGTCAAAGCAGTCAACAGAAAAACAAAAAAAAACCGGTATCGTATCATATAAATTAAACAATTATATATACAGGGTGATTAAATTTGCAAATTGTCAAGTTTTCAAATGTTTTTCAAATGCAACACCTCAATTTTTTTATAGAGAGTACGTCATTTGAGAAAATCAGTCGTATCTTAGCAAGTACTTGCCCCATCCACCCGCTCTTTATTTTCTTGGAAAGTATGTCATTTGCCGAAATTAGTCTTATCTTAGCAAGTCCTAGCCCCGCCCACCCGCCCTTTATTTTTTTGGAAGGTATGTCATTTGCCAAAACCAGTCTTATCTTAGTAGGTACAAGCCCCTCCCACCCACCCTTTACTTCTTGGAGAATATGTCATTTGCCGAAATCAGTCTTATCTTAGCAGGTACTTTAGAATTTTCCAAAAACTCTGTAGTCATCTAACCTTAACATTCAGATAACAAGTTGAATAAGATTTAAACTTTTACAAAGTGGTGGAATTTGCGAATTGTCAGTTTTGTCATGTTTTCGAAATGGGACACCTGAATTTTTATATTTTCGAACTTATTTCCAAGTAGGCTGTCTTTTGATATCAGGTTTATTCAGGTTTATCCTATCAATAATTCCAAGAAGCTATTAGGATAAATCTACACAAAATTGGTATCAAAGCAAGCTTACCTACAGATAAGCCCGAAAATGTTTTAATACCTCAGGGTGTTCCTTTTTAAATATGAGAAAATTTCCACTAAACACACTTAAAAATCAGATAAAATACTCAATACCTAAAGAATTCTGCAAAAAATTCCAGGCCTCCATCTTTAATATGGCGAAGTTTTACATCAAAATACGATGTTGAATGTTGAAAACTCTTGATGAAAAAACAAAAACTATTGTAACTTTGTTAAAATATACTGGGTGTTCCAGTTTAGCGTTTCCACTTTAATAATTGAGAAATCATTTAAAAAGACCGAAGTTTAAAATTCCGACTGGTTAATTCACCCACAGAAATCTATAAAATGAAATATATCACCTTCGATTTTTTACGGAAATGACATCAACTTTCACAACGTGTTTTTAAGTTAAAAAAAAAATCAAATCACGGCATTCTTTTCGACTTGTTCAACTCAATACCTCACAGTATGTGAAAAAAAAAATAGAACCTTGAAAATTGCAACCGTTAATTGAGAAAAAAACTACAAGTGGCTATATCGGAGTATTATACAGGGTGTTTCCCCCCCCTGTAGCTTCTTTACTCTTAAAGATAAACCAGTAGACATCGTGCACTCTAAGATCGACGCAGCTGTAAAACTGTGTTATCGTTTGCGATTAAAAAAAAATAATTCAAAAAACCACCCCCTTCTGAAGTGTTATTGTTACGCTACTGACTGACACTCCGTTGTCAGATTCTGATCACTCACCATGTTGAACTGAAAATAATCGATCTCTAGTTCTTTGAGTAAATTTGTATCATTTTAAAAGATCTATGTGATGGCAACCTCGCATTTTTATTATCACTTCCCGTAGAACCGGAAATAACGTCAACTTTATTTTTTTTATGAAATACTAAGTATTTTTTCATAAATGGAAAGATTGTTTTTTTTCGAAAAAAACAACCAATATTCTAAAATCAATACTTAAAAAGTTATTCAATAAAATAGGCGAAAAATTCATATTTATTGATGACAAACTATAGCTTGAAAAATTTGCACTCATGTCATTTATTCATACAAGTGATCTTTTAAAATGACACAAATTTGGTCAAAGAACTGTAATTATGTTTATCTTTAAAAATAAAAAAGTTACTGAGGTTCTATCAAATAAAAGAAACATGTGGTATACGTCATGTTTTTTCTGAAAATGAAATCAACTTTTTATTTCAAATAAAACCGGAAACGTTTTTTAAATGTTGCATTTTTTATGAGTAATTTAGCACCTTCCTGAGATGTTATTTATTCATTTGTAAATAATTTAAATTGTAGAAGATTAGTAATTTAGTAAGAAAATGATTGCTGTTTAAAGACAGAACCTCCCTCGCCTCTGAAGTACAATCAAACAAATCCAATTTCTTTTTTGGGAATTTTATACATTTTGTTTACTATAACCCTCATAAATTTAAATAATCCGCTATTAAAACTAGTTAAAGAAACTTGCTATGCGTATGTTTTAAGTGAGTTATTTAATAATTTTGGCAATTCTAAAAAATATGAATGCATTGATAAATTACAAGTATAGACTCAACATTTTAGATAGACTTAATCGAGCAAAATTTTGAGGTGACGTCATCGAGTTTTAGAGGGGATAAACAGATAAATTTTGGAAAGCATTCAGTTTTATAGTTTTTAATTTAAATTGTAAAATACCATTTTAAAAGTAGAAAATGAGGACGGAGTTGTAAACTTCAAGCCTGAAAGTGTGTTATTGTACGTATTTATCTAAATCAGCAACTAGACTACAGACAGACGGAAACGGTGGACCTAATTTTTCATATTGTAAGAGTTGTGAAACGTCGAGAAAATTGAGATGAGAAATATGTTATAAACAAATTGAAAACATTGTAAGTACAATTAAAAATTATTACCACTGATGATATATTTTTTTTTTATTCAATAATGCTCCTATAACCTCATTTCTAGCACTTTTGAGTGCTTCCTTTGGCCATTATGTGTTGTTTAATTATTAATATTTTGCGATAAGAAAAATTTTTCGTGGCGATAATTATGGTAGAATTGACTTGCAAACTATCGTGAGAAGTAATAAAAACGTTCGAGGTGGGTACTCATGTCCGGTCAACCCGTCTCTACGCCCACGCAAACCAAACATAACCTCAACAAGCCATCCCATGACTTAAGTCAGAAAGTGCCACCAGCGCCACAACATCATTCCCCCCCAAAGAAAGGTCTTCTCATGCAGGAAACAAACCACTCCAAACTCAGTTTCGCAACAATCAATTATCTCAATCGCACTTACTGTTTCGTTTCGAAAGTAATGCCGCCGGCTGCGTCAAATTCTTGCACATCAAACAAGCATACTCGTACTCCGGATGAGCCTCCTTCCTCTGGTGATATGTAACAAGATCAGCTTCGGGGTCGCACGTTCCATGGACGAACCTGCAACAGACATGTCCCCTCACAAATTTGACAGCTCGACTGTCAAATCGCGGCTCGTTTTACGACGCGTTTATCTTATCAGCACTCGTCCGCATTTTTGCCGTCGTTTTACGATCGATCGAAAAGGTAAAAAACCAGTCTATTTATACTGACTTGCGACATAAGGTGCACTGCACCATCTCCCTGTGTGCATGAGCGCGGTAGGCGCGGTGGCAGAGCGGGCAGGAGAACCCCTTGTTGCGCTGCTGATAGCAGGAATCACAAACGGTGTAGTGAGCGTGCCAGCGCGAGGACAGGCCAGCACCGGGAGTCCGCGAGCCGCAGTCGCCGCAGACCCTGCAACACTGAGACGGGGATTAGCTTAAGAAAACGGTGAGTTTTGCGCTCCTACTCTGCACTTCCAGCCGTACTTGGGGATGGAGGTGACGATGGGCCGCTGACATGTCGAATGGTAGATCTTATCGCATTGTTCGCATGTCATCAGCTTGGTCTCGTCGCCGGTCATCCGACATACTTGGCAGATGCGGCATTTTCTGCACTGCCATCCGGCTCGGACGCCTGAAAATTTAGTAGAGGTTGGGACACCGACCCTTGCGACCATTCATAATCGTAAAGTACATTGTGTGGCTTTCATCACTGTGATAAGATTTTTCATTTGCGGACTTAACTACTAGGTAAATATTTCGTGGTATTTAAACGAAAACGTACAAATAATTATAATGCTAAGGTCAACATGAGTGGTTCGTTTTGTAATGTTCACTAAACAGCTTGTTTGTTGCGTAATTTGTTTACCGATTGTCAATCATTAAGTTGGCTTTTGGAGAATCACTCGCTATTGAAAACAATGGTAATTAACAGCGATATTTGAGAAGTTGAATAAACAATTCTAAGAACTCGAAAACGTCTACAAGTAAGTAAATAAAGACACTCATTGGTTTTACTATCGGAAGTCGTAAATTACTGCACGATTTTCCTATCATTAATGAGATACTGTTCACACAAATGAAAAACGATAAACAGTTTTAAGTCACGTTAAAAACCAACTTTTTTAGTCGAAAAACTTTATCTGACCTAATTATTAAATACATAAATACAACTTTTACTTTCGGATAGGCTAAAGAGATAAAGGCAAATTTTTTGCTCTCATTCTCGAAACTTGTAAGTCGCTACTATTTTTACTTTAGCTTTTTTCACCAAGTTCGACAATTTCTTATTTATAAAGGTTTTTTTCCGCAAAAAATGCATAATACTGTAATTAAAAGTGAAAACAGATTCCCAACTAACTTCAGTTCCAACACCGACAACGTCATCTCAATTGACGTCATCAAATTTGTGGGAGGGATGAATATGTAAATTCTGATCTTTTAAAAAATCGTCCTTCAGACATATTAATTGTGCCATCGTATGCAACAATTTCATGTTAATACAAAATTTTGGAATACAAAAAGCACGTTTAAAATTTATTTTCAAGAAAAATATTTAGCTGATTTGATGACAAATCTCGAGTTCTTTGATTTCTTACAAGCTGGATTTTCAACATTTTCTATTTTGATTTTTTTTACTACAAAATTCCGTTTATGAATAAAATAATAAATCTTTGTTGACAAATCTGGAAAACCGAAATATCACATTTGGTAAACATATTTTTTTAATGTTTACTATTTTTATCTCTTATATCAAACATCATACACAATTTAAAATGAACTATTACACTGACGATAGTTTTAATTAAGAGTTCAGGGTTTTTCATACCTTGTCAGGAATTAATTAAAACGTCATCGTGTGAAGTAGGTCGTTTTAATTTTTAATTTTATAATGTTAATTATCTGTCATACAGATTAAAAAATTGGTCGAAGGTTATTTCGACAGAATTTCTCTCTCCATTGATGTACAGTCCAACAAATCGCGCTTCTTTGAAAAATGATAAAATTTGCCAAAATCAGCCTTATCTTAGCAGGTACTAGCCCCGCCCACCCACCCTCTCTTTTCTTAGAGGGTGTGTCATCTGCCAAAATCAGGCTTAACTTGACAGCTAGTAGCCCCACCCTCGCTTTTCTTAGAGGATAGAAAATTTGAACATCTTTAGTTTTTAATTGGTTATGCTTTAATGGATTTATTGGTTTTGTGTTTGTTTATAATTTATAAATGTCTTATTAAATATTATTTATAAAATTAGGTTTTTTTCGTATTCTGCATTATAACGAATATTTTTTTTATTTTTTTGGTACTCCCGAAACCCCCGTACATAACGTACTGAAGAGTTAATCCGCCATTTTCCAGACACCCGGTATTGTTACCATAAAAAAATTAAGAATTCCAATTAAATTCCTACTCAAAATTATCGCACCACCCAGTTTTTTGGTATATTTTCATGGTTAATAAAATAAGGAAATTATACTACAAGTCATTGTCATTATTTATAATAAACTTTAGTAATTCTTGTGCATTGTTTGTGTAGCAAGTGTCCAAGAATTGCTGCAGAAATCTAATTACGGGCATTGATCAGTTGCGCGCCACGGTCAGAAAAATCTGTAGGTGGTCCTAATACCACCGCACAGTTGCGCGCACACTGCCTGAGAAGTTAAGGGACAGTTGTGCGCAGTAGTCAGAAAAATATACATATAATTTTACGGTTTAATACCGAAATAGTTGTTGCCTGCTGTGGTAGTTTGCGTAGGTGTTAGTCAGATTAAAATAAATAAGTACTCGGAGAAATAATTTAACTTTCACACAACTACACACGTATTTATTAATCATTAAAAACGTCATTAGAGCTTAAAATATTTTTATTGGTTAAATTTTCCACCAATAGGTTCATCCTATAAAAAATAAAACGATTGAGAAATCCAAAAACAGATCCGCTGATCTTTTTATCCCTGTAGTACTAGACTTACTATGAATGAAACTCATTGAATGTAGAGGGTTTCATGGTACCTGTAGGTAATGACTACTCGTATAATCCACTATTTGTGGGAAAGTGTGCTATGACACCTTTGGGGATTAGACCTCCCACATGGGGTAAATTAACCGTGGCGCACAAATGACCAACACCCCTAATTGCAAATCAGGTTGTTGACGCATTTTGGTAGTGATGCGATTATTTCGAACAGGAGTTTATTGTCTTATTTTATTAATATCCTTCATGGTATATGTTGGTTATTATTTTTAACATAATTATGTTGGTATTGCAACTACTTGACTCTTTATTTGACAGCTATTTCACATTACTGTCAAACTAACAAAGGAAATTGTAAGTAGTTTTTAATAAGATAAGACTGATTTTGGCTTTTTGACATTTTCGACAATTTTTCAACTATTTTCGAAAATTAGTTGAAGCTATTTTCTTGTACAATTTGATATATAGAAGTTATTTACGACTTTGTTTATTCGGAAATTCCTAGCGTTTTTCCAAAATCGCTAATTGAAATGCAGCAATTTTTACAGATGGGTATACAAATTTTGTAGACAAAAAGGTTGTTGTTATTAATTTTTATTTCACAAAATACAATTGTTCCAAGAGTGTACTTTGTAGGTTTTATATATTTATATTTTGCTTTTTTTAAACATACGTAGCCTTCTTTTCACAAACTTAAAAACTGTCCAAAACAGTAAATTTCTGTATGGAAATATAGATTTTGTAATTACACTTCACCCCCCAGACTAACAACAAATGAAAAATTCATCACAATTGAGATTGGGTTTTTTTTTTAACATAGTTTTCTTTGAACAATACGATAGTTGAACATGTTTTTAGTGTTTTGTAACGAAAAGAAGGCTACGTATATTAAGAAAACATGGACAAAATATAAGCCCCGCCCACCCACCCGATCCCAAACGTGATGATTTTTTTTTATACATCGTGAGCCCAGGGGCGGAGCTTAGTTGCAAAACCCTCATTTCTCCACAAGAAATTACCATGTGAAATATGGTTTTAAAAGGGCAAAATTTTGTAGAAAAGTATAGATTTTGCAGTTAAACTCCGCCCCTCCTTCTGATTACGAATGAAAAATTCATTACAATTGAGACAGGGGTGGGTGGGTGGGGCTTAATCTTTGGCTTTTTTTTCTTAATATACATGGTTTTCTTTCAACGATCTTGTGACAACATAAAGTCAATGTATTATTCAATAATTTTGGACTATACTGCTATTTTAAGCCGCGTAGAACAACTTGGTGTTGCCAAAATTATTTTAAAAATAAATTTCATGGCCTACTAGAGAACTTTTTTTTTCAATGATATAGAAAATGTTGTTACGAGTTGTGTTGGCACTTTCCTACTTTTTTTTTTTATTTTAACAAATATCTCGAATTTGAGCTTATAAAATTGTGCTACTTTATCTAACGTGATTTGAAATGTTGTACATTTACATAATGCCGAATTTTATTAAGTATAGAAATTATTTCTCCTATGAAACTTAATATTTTTATCTTAATTTGTTTCTTCTTGATCAATCAAGATAATGGTTATTAGCTGCAAATTTCAACCTTTTGGAACAGTTTCGTCAAAATAGCTGGGTTTATAAATTTTGCAGATACAAAACGGAAATTATTAATTTTTGTTTCACAAAATACAATTGTTTCAAGAGTGTACTTTGTAGCTTTAATATATTTATATTTTGCTTTTTTTTAACATACGTAGCCTTCTTTTCACAAACTTAAAACTTGTCCAAAATAGTAAATTTTTGTAGGGAAATATAGATTTTGTATTTTACACTTCACCCCTCGGACTAACAACGAATGAAAAATTCATCATAATTGAGATTGGTACTTTTTTTAACATAGTTTTCTTTGAACAATACGATAGTTAAACGAAAAGAAGACTACGTATATTAAGAAAACATGGACAAAATATAAGCACCGCCCACCCACCCGATCTCAAACGTGATGATTTTTTTTTATTCATCGTGAGCCCAGGGGCGGAGCTTAGTTACAAAACCGTCATTTCTTCACAAGAAATTACCATGTGAAATATTGTTTTAAAAGGGCAAAATTTTGTAGAAAAGTATGGATTCCTTCTGATTACGACTGAAAAGCTCATTACAATTGAGATAGGGGCGGGTGGGTGGGACTTAATCTTTGTTTTTTTTTTTTTCTTAATATACATAGTTTTTTTTCAACGATCTTGCGACACAAAGAACAAGAGATATTATAATAAAACACATAAAGTCAATGTATTAGTCAATAATTTTGGACTGTACTGCTAATGTAAGCCACGCAGAACAACTTGGTGTTGCCAACATTATTTTAAAAGTAAATTTCATGGCTTACTAGAGAACTTTTTTTTCGATCATAATGCAGAAAATGTTATTACGAGTTGTGTCGACTTTCCTTCGATTTTTTTTTTTAATTTTCAAAAATATCTCTAATTTGACCTTAGAAAATTGTGCTACTTTATTTAACGTGATTTGAAATGTTTTACATTTTCAAGGTGTATTGCAATGTCGAATTTTATTAAAAATAGAAATTAATTTTCCTATGAAACTTAATATTTTTATCTTAATTTGTTTTTCCTTGAACAATCAAAATAAATGTTATTAGCTGCAAATTTCGACCGTTTGCAACATGCATGCACTTAGTCATTTTCTTGGGAATATTTCCACAATTTTTTTTACTTGAAACGGAACTTATTTCCTTTCCAACAAATTATTTTTTCGAAGGTTCCTGTTTTAATATAATTTTCTTTGAACAATACGATAATTAAACATGTTTTTAGTGTCTTGTAAGGAAAAGAAGACTACGTATATTAAGAAAAAATGGACAAAATATAACGTGATAATTTTTTTTATTTATCGTGAGCCGTGGGGCGGAGCTTAGTTGCAAAACCCTCATTTCTCCACAATAAAATTATCATGTGAAATATGGTTTTAAAAGGGCAAAATTTTGTATAGAAATATGGATTTTGCAGTTAAACTCCGCCCCTCCAACTGATTACGAATGAAAAACTCATCACAATTGAGAATTTGGGGCTTAATCTTTAGTTTTTTTTTTCCTTAATATACATAGTTTTCTTTCAACGATTTTTTGGCACAACTAACAAGAGATATTATAATAAAAAGATAGAGTCAATCATTATTCAATAATTTTGGACTGTACTGCTAATGTAAGCCATGTAGAACAACTTGGTGTTGCCACCATTATTTTAAAAATAAATTTCACGGCTTACTAGACATTTATTTTCGATCATATTATAGAAAGGGTTATTACGAGTTGTGTTCACACTTTCCTTCGGTTTTCTTTTTATTTTCACAAATATCTCGAATTTGACCTTAGGAAATTGTACTACTTTATCTAATGTGATTTGAAATGTTTTACATTTTCAGGGTGCATTGCAATGGCGAATTTTATTAAATATAGAAATTAATTCTCCTATGAAACTTAATATAGTTTTCTTGGGAACATTTCCATAATTTCTTTATTTGATTTGTTGCTAAATTATTTCTTACAAAAAAAAGATTTAGGTCTTTCAAATTTTAATTAACTAGTCTATTCACAGGCACAATTTGGAAAAAATGTTACCACATATTTCAATGCACCAAGTGTCCAACGGAAGTTTTTTTTTTTTTGTTGCTTGTAATATTTAAATTCTCATTATTTATTACGAATAGCGAAGACATAAAACTCAAACAAAACTTTGGTGGTTACGTCAAAAAATCCCATCTTTTAATACATATTTATATTTCACGTAATTCTTTATACTAAGAAAAAAAAAACAACTAAGATTCGGAACACCTGGGGATTACTTAATAAAGAATATTACAGTATTATGAAATATTTGGTGGTACATCATTGCATAATTGACTTTCATCTAAAGACATGGTATGAAAAAAAAAGTGGATAGCTCTTTTGAAATTACTAAAAAACAAGTGATTCTTCTTAATTGAAAAATGATAAACAAGGGTTCAGGTGGTATCCAGCATAACTGAATGAATGTTTTCAAAAGTAGAAAAAATTGTACTCAGCCAATTAAAATTTTTCGGAACTTAAGCGGAATTTGCTTTTTGTTAGACATACAGTGACTCATTAGAAATAGTTGTAACACAATAGATAAGAAAAAATTGTGGAGACTAACAAATAATAATAGTAATAATACCTGGTAGCTGCGCCAATCCCACACATATACCGTGATAGTGTTCCCCACATGATGAACAGTACATTAGATTAGCAATATCCCCTAAAGTTTTGCATGTATAACACACAGCATCTAAAATAATAAATTCCATTAACATTTAAATGAATAAAAAAATAATAAAAATATTACTTTCACACTCCAAAGAAGCTTGTCCAATATGATTACTGCAAAATAACGTAAGCGAATTTAACACTTGGAAGGCACCAGAAGCAGTTGCACATGGAAAATGAAAAACTTTTGTACATCCCTCCACTTTACACAATATACTTGCTCCATAATGATTACAAAATGAACACTTCCTGGAAGAACTTTGTAAGACGGCGGGACCCACGTTTTCCAATGCGGAATTTTCTACACAAACAAAAAAAAAATTAGCGAACGAAAATCTCAAAACAGTCAAAAATACCATTTCTGACTACACCATTAGACCACAACGCACAGCTCCTATGTGTATAAAAATACCCCGTCGAATCGAACAAGGTCGAGACGTGGGGCTCCTCCGTGTACCCGATGATGGTTAACTCATCCACATACTCGCTAGTCAACGACGGATGCCTACATTTGTTAAAACTCTTCTGCCTCCGACACGTCACCGGCCCGCGCGGGCTCTTATCGCCTGAATCCCTCTCCGGAGTGGGAATGGTGTTACTCAGATTCTCCGGCGTATCAGGCGTAGTCCTTTGGGGGATAAAACCGTCCGGACAAAGCAATCGCATCATCTCCCCCTGCCCCAGCTGACTCCGCTCCCCTAAATTACAGAACGCGCAAACTTTCCCCGGCCACTGCTCCGGAAAATACGGTAACTCCTCGAAAACCGGCGCCGGCTTTTCCCTTTCAGCGAAAATCAGAGCCCCAGTTTCCGGATCGACTAGAGGGATTTCGTCGCCCGGTGACTGCGTAATGCACGCCAAATCGAAGTCCAGACTCTTGGGCTTCTTCCGCTGCGACAGCCCCGGCGGCTTCGGCTTCCTGATCCTGTTGGCGGCGGGTTGCCGCCGCTGCGCCGGCTTACCTGTCAGCGCCCCGGTCAACCTGGCTAGCGCGTCCGGCTCGAAGGCGCGCCTGTCCATCTCGAAGGGCCTCTTGTCCGACTCGAAGGAGCGCCTGTCCGGCTCGAAGTCGCGGCGGGGACGACCGCGGCCGCGCCGCAAGCTGCTGAACGGCTTGCCCGAGAAGCCGAAGGGCAGCGGGAAGTCGTCGTTCGGGGGCGAGGAGGCGGCGGAGGTGGCGGCGGAGCCCGACGACGGGAACTGGAAGGGCGAGGGCAGGGCGTCGTCGATCAGCTCGTCCTCCTCCTCGTCGAGGTCCGAGCCTTCGTCCAGGTCCATCAGGTCGTCTGGGTCGAGTCCCTGGGCGATTTCGTCCATCTTCAGAAACTGAAACAGGCTTATGTAAAGTTGCGTTCAAGGTTAGGCGACGGGCGGCGGCGGCGGCGCTACGGGCGCTGGAAAACGGGAAAAGCGCGCTTTTCTCGGGAAAACTGCCCCCGCCGCAGGGGCCGAAACACCCAAATCATTTCCGTGGAAATCACAATGAACCCCAGCGCCATGTCAATTGTGTACATGGAAGCGATGCCGCGGCCAAAACAAACACGACGGGAACGCGTCGGAGGAGGGCCGAATTATGGCGGGGTTTGGAGGTTGAGGCGATTTTAACATACTTTAACTTACATTAAACTAATTTTTACATGTTAAAGTTGTGTACACGGAACAACACAAAAAAATGTCACTAGCTAAAGGAAAGTGGGAGAGACCATCTCGCCGGAACGCTGGCGGACGGAGCCGAACGGACACGATTGAGGCTGCAGCCAACATAACAGGCGCAAAAATTCAAAATGGAAGGTGCACGGTTCGAAAGTTTGGTGCGAATTTTTTATTTTTTACTAGTTAATTTTTCAAAAGTGATACTAACACGGACAAATTTTAAACTTTTCATTAAAACGATTTGATTTTTAGTTCTAGTTTTAAGAACCAATGGGTTTTTTCGAAACCATCTGGCGATGCTCCAGACACCAAAGGTATATCCACAATCCTTCTTCGTAAATTATCGTTTACGTCCCTTGTGCGTTTTAAGTAGTTTTTTAGTATAACATGACTCTGCAAAAAATCGTGTTTGTCACTATACTGAGGGCGCCACTCTATTGAATTTTATGTATTCACGACTTCCTGCTTTAATATTACTTCCACACTAGTTTCAATAGTTATTTTTAAACTTTTTTTTTTGTAAATTTATTCACAAACAACTTACCGTCCTTCTAAAACACAGCCAATATCACATGCATCCCAGGAATATTTTAATTAAAAATAATTTTTTGAAGTAAACCGAACTAATATGGAATTATTAAAGATGACGTCATTAACTTGGCAGAGGGGTGGAGGCGGAATCAATAAAACGCTATGTAACATATAAATCAATATTGTCTATTATTTTACTACAGTGTCTAAAACAATTTTTTGTATAATATGTACATACAAACTTTAAATAAATTGTATATTTTAGGACATACTTTGGCTAGTCTTTCTGATAATCTTAGATGAGGCACACCTAAAGTTAAAGTAATTGGTAACCCTTGACCCCTCATGAAGTCATGTCCTGTTCTGCCCCTTTTACTTTCTCTTCTAGTGAATACTAATTTTTTATCGCCGTCTATAATTTAAAATTTTTCGATTCTCCAAGATCTATGTACTACGTTATTATGACAAATTTGATTACGAGAAAACTTCCATCAACATGTCATACACCTAGTGACCTCTGAAATTTGCCACTTCTTAGTAATGGTAATACTTTTAAAGTTTTAATTTCGCTATTTGTAGTTTCGTTACCATTATCAGTTGCACAGTCAGAAAGAGGCGGCACAAAGCAGTGCCCACTTGGATGTACGAATCATTTATGAAAGCCGTGTACTTGTAATTACCATTATTAATACGCTACAGGCGTTGAATAAATAACAATCATTAAGGCACCTGTTTTTGTCCCAGCATATAAAACTGTCAAACATTTTATTAGCTTATATTTTCAATAAATCTTTAATTATGAACAAATTACTTTCCTATTTCGTTTTCGATAAGCAAAAATTATGTTTTATATTTTCCTATCACTGAAGGAAATTACCATGCAGTTTTTTATTAATTCTTATTACTTGTATTATTTTTTAATATTTTTAAAAATAGAAAATAATTTTTTTGTGGAATTTCACTGCGACACCAACGATAAACTTCATTCATTACTGGCGAAGCAAATTTTTGGGTTGGTAGTTTCGAATTATTGGCAGCATGTCAGTTCAGTGCCCAAAATTTAAATCTGATATCAGATATGCCGTCATAAAATTTTAAATATGTCGCCAACCTGGCAAAAAAAGTGTAGGATGAAAATTTACAATTTATTGAATAAATTACATTGAAGATTGTATACATTTTTTATTTTTATTATTTAAATCAAAATTAAAGCAATCTGTTCGGCAGTTCCAAAATTACCTGTGTAATAATCAGGCCAATAAACGATCGACAAGTGGAAAGAGAACCTGCATGTTTTATTTTATGAGCTGTGACACCTTAAGAAGATCCGAAATTCGACATTCGTTACAGTAATTATCATAATGAATGGTTTGAAAACAGCAAAAAGGGTGTTTTTTGTTAATATATTATTGAAGAAGTTCTCAATCCTAGCGAAGTAAAAATTCTGACGTCAGGGAAAAGAAATAAACCGTCATACATTTAATCTATTTATTGATCAATACATTAAATTTATGTATAGAATAAAGATCAGTTATTAGCTTTAATCACTTTGTTTTACAACTTAGTTTCAAAGAATGAGCAAGTGAAATAGAGCCATTACTTTGTTAACAATTAATCTGTATAATACACGTTGAGTAAAAACATTTTATCCTAAAACTAACTTAAAGTGTAATCAGCCTCGACATATATCTCTAAATATACAATACATATCACTTTAAAATCGTCCTACAAAATACGTAAACGATTTTTATTAATTTCATTATTTGGAGATACGAATTAATTTCGTAAATGTCCAAATTAAGACTTTAATAAAAACAATCATACCACATAACAGGATATTGTATGTACAGAAAAATTGCAATGAGATGAATGAGCATGCTGCTATAACAGAAATCACAAGTTAGTACGTAAAGTAAGTAAAAACCAACCAAAAATACGTTTCTTTTCTGCTGAATGAATTTTGGCACTCAGGGACGGATAAACACAATTTTTCAGTAAAATCGTAACGAAAGCGCAGAAAGCATCTCATTGCAAATTAAAACATGACGAGTACATTGTAGAAACTATAAGTACGGGTCTAAACAATTATCACAAAAGAAATATTTACTTCTTTAATTTACTACTTGATATGTTGATCACCTAATAAAAAAATAAAATTATGTATTGTTCAAACAAATCAGTCTTAAACGTGCTCTTCTGCAGTCGGTTTCACCCGACTTCACGCTCAAATGTACAACGAAAACCGCGATGAACTAATCTCTGTCAACGAACCTCAAAGAAATAAATATTTCTTCGTGCGAAATTATAGTAAAGCACTAGTATAACATCTCAAACTTTGTACATAAAATGGAAAATAAATTACATAATATCACTGACTTAAATGTCTAAAGTGATTCAGAAGGGTTTTAAAGCACTCAGATAGGTAATGCAGGAAATAAAATAATCAAATATTGTTACAATATTTGACGAACAAACAACTCATTTATCTTAAATTATTATATTTGCATAATGGCTATACTGAGTAAGAAGCAGTTTCTAACACAAGCGATTGCAAAATAATTAGTTTTGCTTGACGTACATGAAAAGTTGTATAGTGACATGATCTACGAAAAATGCATATCAAATTTCATGTACCATCAAACTCCACATATACGTAAACACTACGTATAGATACCGATCAACATTTTCTGAATCACAGTACGTTCTGACACGTTGTCAATGTACGTTTGCGAAACGTTATTTTAAAAATTAAAACGAACCAGAATTTATTGGATCAAATTTCAAAACTGTGTATATGAGGACTAGGGCGAATTAAATCATTATTCTAGAAAGTTCAGCACGCGAATTGATTGCGCGTTTATGGGCAATAGGCCAATCTTGCTTAATCAGCATGCAGCATTTAAAATAAAAAATACATTGACAAGTGTCGCTTAAAACACGGTTTCAGTCTAATACATTGCCATTCATGACGACCAGTTACATTTCTAATAAACATGCTAACATATACACAAAACTATCATAACATAACAAATGTCGTTAAAAAATTGCGTGACGATGTCTTTGTCTATAGTCTTTTAATGCGTTTTTGCTCTTAATATAAGAAAATTTAGTGAACAAACACTAAATTGATTTTGGTTCCGCGAATGTCTAAGTAATAAATAGAAGTTAATTCTACTCATCCATGAGTCACCCTTTTTCTTCAGCAGGTAAAACGATCGAAACTGATTTCCTGGGGCCGTTCCTGTGCACTCTGTCGTAATTCGAATCCACGAGCTTTTCTTCGTCTGGAACCTGGACTAGATTCGGACTTCCCATTCTGAAAACAAAGCAACTTTATGTGAGTTTTAGTACCTTTTAACACAACTTGGGAAATTCACGCGTCTGAACTAATGTTAGGTTTCAGGTGAAACATTCAAGTTAGTCAGAATGGGGCCTGGACTAGATGCGGACTTCGCATTCTGAAAACAAAGCGAAATGAGTGTTTAGTGGGTTTTCAAAGAGCTCGGAAAATTCACGTGTCGGAACTTAATGTAGTTTCAGGTGAAAAATGAGTTAGTCATAAAGGTGGGGTAATTTTAGACTGATAGCCCTGATCTCATTTTACGCGAAAAAATTGTGGGTAGGTGAAAATCGCGAACCCCATCCAAAACAAACACGACTAATTGCTTTGTGTCTGCTTGTACGTCGTTGGAACTTTAAAAATAGGTACCTAAGAGTCATATTGTTGGGCTAGAACTAAGCACAAAGGGCGAAACTCTGTAAGAATTCAAGTTTTTGTGTTCAGTATTAAATATTTGTAATAAAATTATACAGCTTCAAAAATTTAATGATCTAAAAACCCAAACTTCTCACATCATAAATCTTTAGGTAGCTGAAAACACGTCAGATCTTTTATGTAAAGTAGCAGTGCACTGCCCTGAAAACTGTGTTACTTGTTGATGGCAATGGGCCAGTTCACAGCGGTAGTCGATTTTCTATTATATGCACCGTATTTTAAGGAGCTTTAGGCTAAATTCAGCTTCAAAAACTGTAATATCTGGGCTTCAGTCAGCGGAATTTTCAAATTTCCAATTCGCGCTAGTTCTGGAGATTTTTCAAATTTTGGGGAATTTTGTGACGGTTGGTTGACAAATGTCAGATCGAAATATCTGAGGGTTAAATTTTCATAGTGATAAATTATTCTTAACAATGTGGGGCAGCTGAAGACAATTTTGCGTCCCCCGAAATACGAGAAATCGTCCAAAGTAGTAGAATGCAGAATTTATACCCACAAAAGGAAGAAAGTTAGGTTATATTTGACATTTGTGACAGATGACGACTTTTTAAACATAGCGCGAAAGTTCCGTTCACATTCAAATCATTTCTGTTGATCGCCCCATAATTCAAATATTTAGAAGCTTAGTTTTCTGGTGTTTAGACATTCCCCAGCTGTAAATAAACCCTGATATAATTCTAACAGTAGAAAACTTTAACAGAGATATTTAAAACATTTCAGTTGTATACACACATCTCTGACGCCCTTCACCGCCACTAACAACCTAAAATTAAAATAATTATTTTCTCTACCTGAGGACAACCTTAAATACTCAACTCGTGGACTTGACACGCAGTATAAATAAAAAACCACAAAAAATTTTCGTTTCCGCACAATTTCCTCGATATAATTAGCCCCAGACCAAAACTCAGCCAAATTTAAAATAGCCCCACTACTTAGCTTAATCAAGCTCCTCGCAATCGATCGAATTTTTACAACAGCTTAGGCCGACAAGGTAAATAACCCTTAAGCAAATATTAGGAAGTTAAATTAGGAATCGCCTCGTCTGTGCGCCACTAGAGTCGAGTATTGAATTTCACGTGAGCGCGTAGGCGCTAACTTAGGATAAGTTTAAATGAGATCGTGCTCGATGGTGCTAAATTTGGTGAAGGATCCTTTGTGCTGTGCTCGTCCCGTCTGATAATTTTTTTGTCGGCTCTGTGATGAATGTCGTAATGAAGTGTGAAGTTCTGACCCAAATTTGCGTCAGAGTACCTACCTCTCAAATGACGAGGGGGGCGGCGTAGGCGTTCGTGATAAGGGGAAGCTGGCCACCTCTCGACTGGCCGCCAACGAGCGGATCGAACCGAAGGGCTGATCGGGCGACAGCTGGGCCGTAACCGGGACTAGGCCGCTGGAATTAAAAGAGATTTTTTTAATTTAAAGCAGAGGAAATTTTTTCTTTATTCCTACAAGTTTTCGTAACAAGAATATTGGATTTTGCACTTTATCCTATAGGAGATAAACCAAAAAAAAATGAAGATACATATCTCATTTTTTATTTTCCTATTTATTTAATTTGTGTAAGTTTAACTTAGAAGAAAAGTTATTGCAAAATCAAAAATCTACCAACACCGCAAAAAACCAGTTGGCAACGTTGTCATTGTCAGTTTTAGTGATTTATTCTAGTGTAAAATAATTCAAGGTTATGTTTAATTTCCTTCTCATTGCCAATAGTTTCTTCTCATTTTTAAATTTCAATCTGACAATCCGTGGCAAATTCCCAATTTTTTCAAACTGAATTGAACAAGTGGTGGATCGAAATTCTTTGAAATTACTTCAAAAACAAGAAAAGTGTCCTGAAATTTTTTCAAACTTCATAAAAACCAAAATGAAAAGGATCTCCGAAATTCTTTCAAACTACTTCAAAAACCAGCCATAAAGAGTCCCCGATATTCTTTCAAACTACTTCAAAAATCACACACAAGCGGTCCACGCGATTCTTACAAAGTACTTCAAAAACCAGACACAAGCGGTCCCCGACATTCTTTCTAATTACTTCAAAAACTAGATACAAGGGGTCTCCGAGATTCTTTTAAATTACTTCAAATACCAGACACATAGGTTTCCCGAGATTCTTTAAAACTACTTCAAAAACGAACCACAAGGGATCCCCGAGATTCTTTCAAACTACTTCAAGAACAAAATATAAGATGTCCCCAAGATTCTTTCAAATTATTTTAAAAACTAGACACAATGGGTCCCCGAAATTCTTTCAAATTACTTCAAAAACCAGACATAAAGGATCCCCGAGCTTCTTTCAAACTACTTAAAAAATTCGAAATACGAGGGGTCTTCGAGATTCTTTCAGATTAGTTTAAGTACAAATCACAAGGGATCCTAGAGATACTTTCAAACTACTTCAAAAACCAGACACAAGGGATTCCCTAGATTCTTTAAAACTAAGTACTTCAAAAATCAAACACAAAGGACCCCCTAAATTCTTTCAAATTAGTTCAAAAACCGAACACAAGGGATTCTCGAGATTCTTTTAAATTACTACAAGCACAAATCACACGGGATCTTCGAGATTCTTTCAGATTACTTGAAGCACAAATCACAAGGGATTCTGGAGATACTTTCAAACTACTTCAAAACCAGACACAAGGGATTCCCGAGATTCTTTAAAACTACACTTCAAAAACAAACCACAAGGGATCCCCGAGATTCTTTCAAACTACTTCAAAAACAAAATATAAGAGGTCCCCAAGATTCTTTCAAATTATTTTAAAAACTAGACACAATGGGTCCCCTAAATTCTTTCAAATTACTTCAAAAACCAGACATAAAGGATTCACTAGATTCTTTCAAACTACTTCAAAAATTTGAAATACGAGGGATCTTCGAGATTCTTTCAGATTACTTCACGCACAAATCACAAGGGATTCCCGAGATTCTTTAAAACTGCTTCAAAAAAGAAAACAAGGAATCCCCAAGATATTTTCAAACTACCTACTTCAAAAACCAAACACAAGAGATTTCCGAGATTCTTTAAAACTACCTACTTCAAAAACAAAACATAAGGGACCCCCAATATTCTTTCAAACTACTTCAAAAACCAGACAAAAAGGATCCCCGAGATTCTTTTAATCTGCTTCAAAAATTTGAAATACGAGGGATCTTCGAGATTCTTTCAGATTACTTCTAACACAAATCACAAGGGACCCTTGAGATACTTTCAAAATATTTCAAATACCAGACACATAGGTTTCCCGAAATCCTTTAAAACTACTTCAAAAATAAACCACAAGAGATCCCCGAGATTCTTTCAAACTACTTCAAAAACTTGAAGTACGAGGGATCTTCGAGATTCTTTCAGATTACTTCAAGCACAAATCACAAGGGATCTTCGAAATACTTTTAAACTACTTGAAAAACAAAACATAAGAGATTCCCGAGTTTCTTTAAAACTACTTGAGAAACAAAACATAAGAGGTTTCCAATTTTCTTTGAAACTACTTCAAAAATTTGAAATACGAGGAATCTTCGAGATTCTTTCAGATTACTTGAAGCACAAATCACAAGGGATCCTGGAGATACTTTTAAACTACTTCAAAAACCAGACACAAGAGATTCCTGAGATTCTTTAAAACTACTTGAAATACAAAACATAAGAGTCTCCAATTTTCTTTGAAACTACTTCAAAAACCAGACATAAAGGATCCCCGAGATTCTTTCAAACTACTTCAAAAATTCGAAATACCAGGTATCTTCGAGATTCTTTCAGATTACTTCACGCACAAATCACAAGGGATTCCAGAGATTCTTTAAAACTACTTAAAAAAAAACACAAGGAATCCCTAAGATATTTTCAAACTATGTACCTACTTCAAAAACCAAACACAAGAGATTTCCGAGATTCTTTAAAACTACTTCAAAAACAAAACATAAGGGACCCCCAATCTTTCAAACTACTTCAAAAACCAGACAAAAAGGATCCCCGAGATTCTTTCAAACTACTTCAAAAATTTGAAATACGAAGGATCTTCGAGATTCGTTCAGATTACTTCACGCTCAAATCACAAGGGATTCCAGAGATTCTTTAAAAGTACTTAAAAAAAACACAAGGAATCCTCAAGATATTTTCAAACTACCTACTTCAAAAACCAAACACAAGAGATTTCAGAGATTCTTTAAAACTACTTCAAAAACAAAACATAAGGGACCCCCAATATTCTTTAAAACTACTTCAAAAACCAGACAAAAAGGATCCCCGAGATTCTTTCAAACTACTTCAAAAATTTGAAATACGAAGGATCTTCGAGATTCTTTCAGATTACTTCACGCACAAATCACAAGGGATTCCAGAGATTCTTTAAAAGTACTTAAAAAAAAACACAAGGAATCCCCAAGATATTTTCAAACTACCTACTTCAAAAACCAAACACAAGAGATTTCCGAGATTCTTTAAAAGTACCTACTTCAAAAACAAAAGAAAAAGGACCCCCAATATTCTTTAAAACTACTTCAAAAACCAGACAAAAAGGATCCCCGAGATTCTTTCAAACTACTTCAAAAATTTGAAATACGAGGGATCTTCGAGATTCTTTCAGATTACTTCAGGCACATATTACACGGGATCCCCGAGATTCTTTAAAACTACTTGAAAAACAAAACATAAGAGGTCTCCAATTTTCTTTGAAACTACTTCAAAAACCAGACATAAAGGATCCCCGAGATTCTTTCAAACTACTTCAAAAATTTGATATACGAAGGGTCTTGGAGATTCTCTCAGATTACTTCTAACACAAATCACAAGGGATCCTCCAGATACTTTCAAAATACTTCAAATACCAGACACATAGATTTCCCGAAATCCTTTAAAACTACTTCAAAAACAAACCACAAGTGATCCCCGAGATTCTTTCAAACTACTTCAAAAACTTGAAGTACGAGGGATCTTCGAGATTCTTTCAAATTACTTCAGGCACATATTACACGGGATCCCCGAGATTCTTTAAAACTACTTGAAAAACAAAAATAAGAGGTCTCCAATTTTCCTTGAAACTATTTCAAAAACCAGACATAAAGGATCCCCGAGATTCTTTCAAACTACTTCAAAAATTTGAAATACGAAGGGTCTTCGAGGTTCTCTCAGATTTTTCACGCATAAATCACAAAAGATTCCAAAGATGCTTGAAAACTACTTCAAAAAAAAAAAAACACCAAGAATCCCCAAGATATTTTCAAACTACCGACTTCAAAAACCAAACACAAGCGATTTTCGAGATTCTTTAAAATTACCTACTTCAAAAACAAAAGATAAGGGACCCCCAATATTCTTTCAAACTACTTCAAAAACCAGACAAAAAGGATCCCCAAGATTCTTTCAAACTACATACTTCAAAAATTTGAAATACGAGGGATCTTCGAGATTCTTTCAGATTACTTCTGACACAAATCACAAGGCATCCTCCAGATACTTTCAAAATACTTCAAATACCAGACACATAGGTTTCCCGAAATCCTTTAAAACTACTTGAAAAATTTTAATTACGAGGGATCTTCGAGATTCTTTCAAATTACTTGAAGCACAAATCACCAGGGATCCTGGAGATACTTTCAAACTATGTACTTCAAAAACCAGACACAAGAGATTCCCGAGATTCTTTAAAACTACTTCAAAAATTTGAATTACGAGGGATCTTCGAGATTCTTTCAGATTACTTATAACACAAATCACAAGGGATCTTCGAGATACTTTTAAAATACTTCAAATACCAGACACATAGTTTTCCCGAAATCCTTTAAAACTACTTCAAAAACAAACCACAAGAGATCCCCGAGATTCTTTCAAACTATTTCAAAAACTTGAAATACGGAGGATCTTCGAGATTCTTTCAGATTACTTCAAGCACAAATCACAAGGGATCCTCGAGATACTTTCAAACTACTTCAAAAACCAGACACAAGAGATTCCCGAGATTCTTTAAATCTACTTCAAAAACACGACAAGGGTTCCCCGAGATTCTTTCAAACTTCAAAAACAAAACTCACGGGACCCATGAGATTCTTTCAAACTACTTCAAAATCGAAACACAAGGGGTGTTCAAAATTCTGTCAAATTACTGCAAAAACAAGTCCCACAGGAGTCCCCGAGATTCATATTGCTTCAAAAACAATACACATGGAAATCGGGAGTTTTCCAGAGGTGCCAATGGCCGTGGTACTCCAGAGTCCAGAGCACCGGTGCCCGAATCCAAATTTTATATACCGCGAAATGACTGAATCTGTTGGCAATCCTGGATTTTTAGTTGAAATTGGTATCATGATGTTTTCTCTAATTTCCGGTTGTCAGCTGCCAAGATTGATAGGTTGTTGACATTTTTAATTTGCAAAATCCAGGACATAACC